GAATATAGAACTAGCATAGTAATAGAATAATTCTTATATTACTAATAATTCTAATAAAGCTCTTTCTAGTAATATCTATAATATCTAGTTATAATGCAGAAAGAAGTAAATATATAGTAAGATACTAAGAAAAGTATATTAAAGAAGTAAACTTTAATAGCATAGATAAAAAGATAGAGTAAGTAAAGAAAAAAAAAATATAATAATTAAAGATAGTAAAGTTATATGCTAGACTATTACGTTAATAGTTCTAATAATTCTAATAGTACTAACTATTTTAATAAAGTTTTATTTTAAAGTATATTTAATAATAAATATAAATTTCTTAAATTAATTAACTTGCTAGCAACATAGTTAATTCTACAGTATTAATAGAAATAAATATTTAATAGATTTTTGGTTTTCCTAACGATATAACTATTCTTATAGTTATCTATTATTACTTAATAGTTATCTTTCTATTTATAGAGAGTAGTAGTTATTTATCTTTATATTACCTACTACTTTCTTATATATACTAGTAGTATAGATTATATAAGTTAGTATAGAGTCAGTATTTAATACTATAAATAAAATAATTGAAGATTACTAGTATAGACTAAGCGCCTAGTCTATCTAAGATATTATAATTCTTAAGTATAAGATAATAAATAAGAAAAAAGTATATAAATATTAAGGTAGAGAAAGATTTAACTATACTTACTCTTTTAGTAATAAGTAACTTATTATTTTCTTTATCTCTAGTAGATAATACTCTGCTACTAGATAAGAAGATAGATAATCTTCTTATATTACTACCTCTTATTTATATACTAAATAAGAGTAAAAGTATATATTAAAGTAATATAAAGAAGAATAAAGATAATAATATATATATTATATAATAGAGCTTTAGTACTTCTTTATATTATGCTTAGCTATTATAAAAATAAGTAAAGCTATTACGCTATACTAATAAGCGTAATAAAGAAGTATAATAATAGTATAGTTAGCAAATAATATATTTCTTATATTAATTATAATATTTACTACTTTAACTAAAAATATAATATAATAATTAACGTAATCTACTACTAAGTAATCTACCTTACTAAGTAATCTAAAATTTCTTAGTATAAGAAACTTTAGTTATGCATCTTTAATTTTATTACTATCTATAAGAGAGCCTATATCTATTATACCTATATCTAATTTAGAAGATATCTCTATATTCTTTTTGCATATCTGCGCGTTATGCCTAGTTCTACTATAGTTTCTATAGCGCGTATAAGTAGCTAGTTAAGCTCTTTCTTAACTACCTCTACTATAACTCTTCTTTAACTGCTTAGTAGCTATAGACGCCTCTATAGCTATTTGCGTTGCTATCTTACTATACTCTATAGTACTACTCTGCTAGATCTGCTTATACTTACGTAATTTCTGCTTAGTTATTTCTACTAATTACTCTTTAAGCTTATAAATCTAGATATATTAAAGAGTATTTTTATATAGCATTAGCTTATTATCTTTTATAAGCTAAGAGAAGCTAGCTTAAGCTAAAATAAGTAACCTAAGTAAGAAATTGCGTATAAGCTTTAACTAAGATCTAAACTTATAAGTATTGCTTAGAGTCTTTAACTGCTATAAAGTTACTAAAAGAAAAGATTCTAGTAGAGTATATAAGTATACTTCTAAGTAATCTAATACTACTTATATATTAATAGAAATAAGTCTTAAAGCTTTAAAAGCCTTTTAATAGTTCTTTTCTATAAATATATTAAAAAACGCGTCTTTAAAGATAGAAAAGAAGCTTTCTTTATTAATATAGAAGATATATTTTTATGCTAAGTTCTAGATATATTAAGAGTACTTACGCTTTAATAATAAAAAATAGACTATATTAAGTAGCTAGAGAATATACAATAAATAAGCTAGTATATAAAGAGTTAAGATCTTATTCTTAATGCAGTAGTTCTTAAAATTCTAGTTAAGATAGCTCTTATAGCTATCTAGAATAAGTAGCTAGTATACTTCTACTTAATACGCCTTTATATATATATTAAAATACTTTAACTATTCTAGACTAAGCGTATTATTTATCTAGCTATTCTTAGAGACTAATAGCTTCTAATTATGCAGTATTAAAGCCTTCTTATACTATACTAAGATATAGATATATCTTTTATAAATAATAAAGAGTAGAGTTATATACTTAGCAGTATAGATACTCTAGATTACTATAACTTACTTATAATTACTTAGTTAAATAAGCTTAGGTTAAGTATATCTCTTTACGCCTATAATAACCTTTATAGAGCTAATTACGCCTATCTAGAAGCTAGTCTTATTAAAGTTATACATATTATTCTAGTAGATACTATACTTAGCTATAGTCTTATCTATAAGCTTAAACTATACGCTAATAATCTCTAGGTCTTCTTAGAGTATTTTCTGCTTATTCTTTACTTAATTAAAGGCTATCTTAAGCTTAGATAAACGCATTATAAAGCGCTTAGCTTAGTACTTACTAATAAGCTTACTATCTCTTATACCTAGTAGCTTATTAGCTATATCTGCTATCTTATATAGCTAGAGCATAAATTCTTATAAATTAAAGTTAAGTATATATTAGATAATTATCTACTCTTTAGTTATAGTAAGTTTCTAGCAGTTAAAGGTAGTTTCTGCATAAGAGATAAGTTCTTTAATATAGTAATTAAAAGTATAGTAATTAATATTAAATGCAGTAATAGCAGCTTAGTAGCTTTAGAATTATTTAGATTATATAGCATTAATAGTAAGCTAAATTCTAACTTTATTTTAGAGCAATAACGCGTTAGGTAGTTAAGATATATTAGAGAAAAAGAGAATATACGTAGCTTAGTAAGTTTTAGGTTACTTAGTAAGGTAAGTTACTTAGTAGTAGATTACGTTATATAAGATAAATAACGTATATACTTTTCTAGAATTAATATAATAATTATATAAGATAAATAATATATATATCTTCTAAAATAAGCTTAGTTTACTTATAACTTATTAGGTACTATAAAACTTAACTATAACTTAACTTTATAGTAGAATAACTTAATCTAGACTTAACTTTATTATATAATACTTAACTCTAACTTATATAGTCTTAGCATTAACTTAACCTTAGTTAACCTATATTTAACTATACTCTAACTTATATCTATATATAAGTTATCTATACCTATTTACTAGCCTATTATACTTAGTATCTTAATATCTAAATTTTTATATATAATATATCTAGAAAATATAATTCTAGTTCTAATAGTAATAGAAAGAAGATAAAGAAAAGAGTATATATTAAGATAAGTAAGCTTAGCTAATAACGCTATAGATACTATAGTAAGGCAGAGCATAATATGCGCATATATAAATAAGAAGTAGTAGTAGATTCTAAGTAGAATAGCTTATTATAATTCTTAATTACAATTCTTAATAGTGCTCTATAGTAGTGTATAGTATAGATTTTAGTAGAAGCTTAGTAAGACTAATCTACTTAGGCGTATAATCTACTCGCCTATAGAGTACGTTACTAGTAAGTATACTACTCTATTAGAATAATACTTTATAGACTTATTAGTCTAGCAGAACTCTAAGCTGTAACGCGAGATACCTATCATCTAGTTTCGCTTATTCTAGACTATAGATTGCCTTGCAGCAATTAGAAACAGCAGATAATAATGAAATCAGGAGCATCTGCAAAAGCAGTAAATTCGAGAGTCTATATTCGACTAGTTCACGTTATGTTCGTGTGGACTTCTCTCCATCAAAGCAGTTTAAACCTAAGCAATATAGTCTTATAAGTCTCCTCGCCAGCGGAGCTTACTTAGTTTGAGTTCGATTAACCTTTCACATATCGTCGCACTTAACGAGACACGACTTTCGCCAGTTCCTTCATAGTTCTAACAACATCGTCTATAATACTTTTTTTCTCTCCTCATTTGCTTCAGGACTGGGCGTGCATAGGCTTCTGTCGTAGAAGCATCATAGTATAGAATAAGTACTCTGTGCTGTACATTATGCTCCTCCTGTAGTTGTTCCAGGTGTTGGCGACGCCATGGCCAGTTTCTATGTAGCCTGGAATAGTGCGCAGAATCCAAGACGAACAGGTTTAGCTTCCATGGCTTCGCGACTTCGTCTTGTAGCTGCCCGTACCTGTTCTTGATGTATATTGCACCTGGAGCTACAACGTCCGTAGCAAACTTAATCTTGCTACTGCAGCCGCTCAGGTTCATAGGTTGAGTTTAGAATCGCTGTTATGGTTGTGATAATTAAGCTTTCCCCTTTTTTTTTATTTTTTTATAGAAAAGATCGAGTGCATCTTTGCTGTCATAGTAGCCCTGCCGAATCTCTAAGACCATGGCCCTGTAGTTCTGTCTCATGCCTGGTTGGAGAAGCTCAAGCGGCGGCTCGCGGTCATGAATGAGGGTGAGCGTTCGATTGCAAGCGCAAAACCAAGCGCCCGCGATGAATCTTTTCGGCATGATGACCTGTTTTACCCAAAGCACTCGGTTTAGGTGCTTTAACCATGAGAAAGCGTGGACTTTATCGACTTCGCTTGGCACTGTGTTAAACACATCAAGCGCGGGCTGCACTGTCATATAGAGTGGTGCCTCGGCCGTTTGTGAAGGCTTGATAAAATTTCAGCGCATTGGGTGATTCTGTATAGCCTCAGGTACGCAAGCTGATTGATAGATCGCCTTAGAATAGTTGCTCATTCCCTCCTGGCGCCGGAAAGCGGAGACCGTGCGCCTTCCTTCACCTGTGTACGCATTGTGAAATTTGATTTCACGTCTTAGTCGTGCGCAATCGGCACGCCCCTCGGCATGAAAGCCCCAATTCTCAAAGCTCCCACTCCCCGTTCCCTACAAACACCCAAGCAACCCTCCCCAACTCCTCCAACTCCACCTTCTCAATTCGATCGAAGCTACCCACACGCAGCCCTACGTACCAAACACGCCCGTATACTGCGTCTATCTGTCTGCAACATGGATCGAGCGAAGACTGCCTCATCGTTTTGGGCGCAGAAGCGTGAAGAAGTCAAGGCACCGACGGCATCCACCCTCATTCCCACCGTGGCTACGCCCAAGCAAAATGGAGAGCTCACTGAAGTGAAGCCTCGCATGGTTCTGAAGGGTGAGCAGAACTTCCTTGATACAACCGACACGGCGACTGAAAGCATGGCAGGTATGACAAACGGCGCCAGCGCAACATTTACTCAGAAGAAGACCAATTGGGCCGACAGCGACGACGACGAAGACTTCATCGCCAGCTTACCTGATAGGAAGAGCCCACGCATCACCGCGCTCGAGGCTGAGGTTGTGCAGCAGGTCGCGCAGATTGTGACGCTTGAAGCTACTGTGTCTACGAAAGACGTGCGTATCGCTGAACTTGAGGTCGTTGTCAAAGAGAAGGACACCTATATCGCCGACCTCGAGAGCAACGTAGAAGAGAAGGAGACAACCGCCGAGCAACTCAAGACTGAAAATCATACCCAGTTTTTGTACGTACAAGAATTGGTTGGCGAAGTCGACGAAAAGAGCCGTCGTGTCCACCAGCTCGAGTCAGAGTTAGATGAGAAATGCGTTCGCATCCGCGAGCTAGAATCGAAGCTAGAATCGGAGTCGGAGTCCTTGCCAGCGGCTGAGCACATCCAAAATGATACTGACAGCTCATCGCAAGACAAAATCGATGCAGCACCTGACGTCACTACTATCGATCCCCTACCTGAAGCTGTCTTGCACTCTGAGGCACAAGTTGACGGTGTCGAGGAATCTTCAATTCAAGCTCTTCCTAACAAATATGGCCCAACTGTCAACGAATCTAAGTACCCGAAGTTGTGGTCGCCAGACATGCCTAAGAACGTGGCTCCTGTTAAGAAGCCAAAGGTGTTGAAGATGGCTATCGATACGTCCAAGTACGTTAAGAAGGCTCCGTCCGCTATGGCAAAGAAGTCTGAGTCATTGAATGGTAAGACCAAGATGAAGCCCACATACGGCCAATCCACTCGTCACCGTGCGAAGACTAGTGTGATTCCGAAGTTCAAGGTCGATCAGGACATCCGGCACATGTCACATGCGGATCGCGTACTCTTCGCCAACGGTCCTGAGGTTGAAGTCATGCTCGGTAGTGCATCACTCATGCGGCTACCGAAATATATCTTCATGCAGTGTTCTTCTAAGGCTTACAAGTACTTCATCAACAAGCCCGATGCGACCTCGATAACCTTCTCCACTGGCAGTATGGACGTTGACGCAGCCATGGCCCATCTCCATTGGATGGACGAGATGACATACCAGGGTCGCGTTTACTCGCTTACTCTCAATGCGGACGAGAAGTTCGACGCCAAGAACCTGAAGATCTGCCAGGCTGCCCGTGTTATGGGCCTGAACAACACGTATGTCGGGCATTTCACCAAGGTCATATGTGACCGAGTGCGCAAGAACAATGCATCGACAGGATTTCTCTCCCTCATCTGTGAGCTGGCGGTTCCGGACAACGACCCGATCTTTGATTGTTTGGCAAATAACCTGGTGAACCAGCAGAACAGCAAGGGCGCACACCCAGCGCAGCCTGACGAGTTACTCGCCAAGCATCCTCATTTGGGAGAGCAGATGAGCAAGATCGAGCAATTCGTGCAGGTCTCACGTGAGGGAGACAGGCGTAAGGGCCGATTTGGCAGCCATGGCCGAGAGGAAGCGTGGGAACAAGGCGTTGGGGGAAAGAATAGCACTGCGTCCTAGTGACTTTGTGCGATGGAGATTTCATTGGGCGAAGACATCCAGGAGAGGTTATTGTATCCGACGAAATGTAGGAAATTGGGGCCCCAGTGACGGGGAATCTTTTCCATTTACAGGGTCGGAAACTCAACATAGGCGAACACTTGGCTTTAGAAAATAGTACTGGGGATTCGACGCCTGTGATTGTGTGTAGCGCTATACATGTGTGTCTTTGACCATCCTAAATTGAGGTTATGGATCGCTAAGTATTATGGTGTCTTTCGGTCTGCTGATGATGCCGACGCGGAGGGCATATCCGTCGCTGTGGTACCATCCGATGTTAGTACCGTCAGCGGGGTTGATTTTACAGTCAGACTGTCGGAAGCGCAAACGGTAATTGTATATATTAGCATATCTTGCAAAGTGTTGTCGAGAACCATGTCACCACACAAGGGAATTGCTAGGCCACGTGGATTTCGCCCACGTAGCGTCTAGAGCGCGTGGGGCGTGTACCGGTAGCGCCGGAGATATCAATAATACGTCAGGCCGCGTCAAGCCGCGTAGCAAACCGCAACATTTGATACTACAGTAAAAGTCGACCTTGACTCAAGCAGCGACCATCGCCGTAGCAATAAAGTCCCATCGCCGCTATGATGTGCAAAGGTCCCTCGCTAGTCTCTCGTAATCTCGCGTCCGCTCTCTCGCGACCCGCTCGAGCACCCGTACGACTTTTCTCTACTACACATTCATTGCACGCAGACATGGACGCTGCCGCATTTGGCGAGCAACACATTGCAAAGGGCATCGGGCGTCTCACTAAGCATGTGTTCGAAGAAGGCAATGGGACGTGGATCACAACGGACAAAGGCGTAAAGCTACTCGATCTTACAGCTGGTATTGGTGTTGTTAATTTGGGCCATTGTCATCCTAAGGTCAGCGCCGCCGCTGCGAAACAATGCGGCAAGATCACGTAAGTGACAGTGTAGATACATGCCGCGAAACGTTGGCTGACTTTGTGCCTTGCGCCTCGATAGACATGCTCAAGTCAACATTGGCTTCAGCTCGGCACAAATCACTCTACTAAAGGAGTTGATACCTATCCTGCCGGACCCTTCACTTGACACCGTCTTCCTCTGGAACTCGGGAGCAGAAGCAGTTGAGGCAGCTGTAAAGCTGGCCCGTGCTGCCACTAAGAAACCCAACATTATCGTCATGCAAGGCTCATACCACGGCCGAACAAATGCAACTTCCTCAATGACGCGGTCTAAGACCATTTACGGCGAGGGCCATGGTCCATTGATGGGCGGTGTATTTGCAACTGCCTTTCCATACTACAGCCAGTTTGGCGGAGCCACACCGGGTACACCCACCGAGGAACTTGTGAATCAGTCACTTCTGCAACTGAAGCTCACCTTGCAACAGCAGACGTCTCCCGCAGACACTGCGGCCATAATTCTAGAACCGGTGCTAGGTGAAGGAGGCTATGTCCCTGCGCCTCCGGCATTCATGCACGGCTTGCGTAAAATCTGCGACGAGCATAATATTTTGCTTATAGCAGACGAGGTCCAGTCCGGGATGGGCCGCACAGGTCACATGTGGTTTGTAGAAGAGTCTGGTGTGCGACCTGACATTCTCATATTTGCCAAAGGCATTGCCAACGGGTTTCCGCTGTCCGGTATCGCCAGCAGCAAAGAGTTCATGGATCGACAAAAGCCTGGATCCATGGGTGGCACATATGCCGGTAATGCGGTAGCATGCGCGGCCGCAACAGCGACGATCCAAGCCTTCAAAGAAGAACGCATTCTCGACAATGTTGCCGCTCGCTCCAAGCAGATCTTTTCTTTCCTTAACAATCTCAAATCTTCTGGTACAAAAGCTGGCAATCTAATCGAAGACGTCCGTGGAAGCGGGTTGATGGTTGGGGTGCAGTTCGCGAACCCGGCTCTTCAACGCGACTCGTCCAATGTCGCCTCGAAAGACGCACAGAGTCAGCCGCAGCTAGCACCGAAGATTGTCCAGGAATGTGTGAAGCGCAACATGCTTCTTCTGAGCACCTCCGTATTCGATGTCCTTCGATTCATCCCACCACTGACCATAAGCGAGGATGAAATGACACAGGCCTGTAACATCTTCAAGGAGTCGCTGGAAGCTGTTGCGAAAGATCTATAAATGACTACTTCAGTTCTAAAACATGCAACGAAGTTATTCTGATTGCAGCGTTGGTGACTCGTGTATGCTCGCTATAGTAGGCTGTTCAAGCAGCGCATATCGCGATGTGGATTTTCCCTTCTACAATCGAGTGTAAATATAGTCGAGTTGGAGGTATTGTTGGCTTAGCCTGACGTGAGTGAACGTCATTGATGCTCATATGTCTTGAGTCTTTGCTTGTTTCCCCCGCTTTCGGTCCGCTTTCATCCACTCAATTTCTGCATGTCGTTGTCGATAGAAGAGTTGCTACGTGTTTCAAAAGGAACCCGATTGCAGGCAACCGTATGCCTCTCTACTCTTACGCAAGTATGCGCTGGTGTTCGGAGAACGAGAGTAGTGTTGACTTACAAACAGATTCACATTGTTATGCGCAAACAAATGCGTCATCATCAGAGAAACACCTGTTATTGAGTACTCTACAAAGCCCAAGAACACAGATTGGAGTATATAAAGCGCACTACCCGTATCACTCGGAATCGATTGAACCTTCGTAGAAGATAACGCCTGCCGGATTCCCTTAGTACATTCAGTGCATACCATAACTTTTCGCTGATTTTGTGGTTATACTCCCGCTTTTACATTCGTTATCCAGCTCATAATCCCAATAGCTCAACGAAGCACGAACAGGCCTAGATTCGTTTATGGTACGAGGACCCGAGTAGAGGATGCGAGAGACACTGTGCACTCTTAACGAGCTCGAATTTGCGAAATGTTCTCGAGTACTCGAAACAATGTGCCACTATTTATTCGCGTACTATCGGTGATTCGCAGCAAGCATCGTTTCTTGAGTTTGCGCATTGTGCAAACATAAAGAAGGCAAGTAAAGTGCTGACGGTAGTGAATTTCTCTCATGATTCGCGGTTATCCTCGCTGATTATGAGCTCAGTCATCCCGCTTAAGGAACAATGTTGAGGCTTGATTAGCCAGCGTGTCAGTGCCATGCCCACTAGACCGGAGCTCATGACCAGGGAAGCAACATGAGGCTTCTGAATTTCTTCCAGCACAGTGGTATTATCCTTCGGTACGAGATAAGGCCGATTGCTACGTGAATAAAAGATGCGAGACGACCAAAACGGCACGAAAGTACTGAGACGGAGGAATCTAGGACTGTGGGAATCACTTCCTGATGTGTTGGTTTCTGAACGTTGCCGTTGCGCCTTGATAGTCGCTATAGGACTTCGTTGAAGATCATGTCGTATCTTCTGGCGCACAGGTGTTGGCTTCTTGATATGTCCGTTGCCTTTTTTCGCAATGCTTGGCGGAGTCGAGGCTTTGTCAACAGCAAATCCTATCGGAGCATCATCGAGATCCATCAGGCATGGCTGCCAACTTTCATTAAATTCGACAGGTTCGAATGAGGCTCCCTTGTTGCGAAGGAAATTCTGTTCGATGACTGAGCTCCCATGTAGCAGCGCCGGGTGTAATGCGTTATGGAAGTTGTGTAGATGTGCTAAGAAGGCGTCCTCAGACGTGTAAAATTCCTGATTGCACGAACGATGTCGATGATAATTTTGCGCGTGCTCGGCATGTGGCGTACGATATCCTGCACCGCATAAATGACAGTGATGGGCCTTTGCAGAGGGAAAGTCTGAACAGAGTGGCGGGCCTGCATTGTTCGCAGTAACGTCGTCGAAGGTTCTGAGGAAACGACAGCTCCAGACCTTACAATGACTATGCGCATTCATCTCTTTGACATCCGTGAATACTTTCAGGCAATAGCGGCAACGAAACGACTCAAATGGCGAAGCTGAGTAGAGGTTTTCCAGGTGATTCTCTTTCCGCTCGGGCCACCAGGCAGAGCGATCGTGCTCGCGAGCGACGAGGTGTTGCGCGACATGCTCACAACGCTCAGACCAGTCTTTCGACCTTTTACCACACATACCACAGTGAAGCATTGGGTCGTCTCGCTTCATGGGAGCTCCGAACCGTCGCCATCTCATAGCCAGGTCCTTGCACCCAAAGTTGTGACCCTCTGTTGCCATGAGTCGCGCTTGACAGCCAACACGGACGGAAGGGTGTTTTGCATTCGCGAAATGAATGTGGTGAAGGTGTTGAATAAAATGATCTCGGCGATAGAACGTCCGCTGAGACTCTGGCTTGTTCGAGCATTGTTGATATTTGTGTCCTGCCATGTGAGCATCATCAGGATGCATGTGGCCACAGAATGGACACGTCTGGAGAAACGGAGCCTTCGTATCGCAACAGATCCATGTTGTTCTGAGTGCATGTACAGAGTCTTCGTGCCTGACCCACTCGTATTTGGTTTTGAACGCTATTCATGTCAGATCTGGCATTATACTAATATGGAACAGAAGAGTTTGCACTGCGAAAAACTCACCTCGTGGACAGAAGGTACAGAAGAAAGCAAGATCCTTTTGTGGCTCGCCAGAACTGTTGACCCCATTGAACTTCGCACGGTTGTTGTGTGGCGATTCTTTCCATGCCATCCGGCGTCGACCACGTCTCCGGTCACGACCAAAAGAGGAGATGTTGCTGCGACTCCCACTTGAAGAAACCGTGAAGCTTGTCGGAGCTGTGCCATCAGAAGAATCTACGGAAGTAATGATAGAGCCAGTGCGGCCTCGAGGCATCCCCAACCAGGCGTCGTGAAAGTCTGCGCTGCCGCTTAGGGTGTCGGTTTCGAGAGCCGCTTGTACATCCGGAAGCTGAACGGCCTCTTCTTGATATGATTGTGCAAGATAAACGGCCAACGGCTGAGGTGGCTGAACGTCTTCGGCGCCTTGTTGTTCGAGTGCACCCAGGCTGTCTCTGGATAGCCTTGCTCCCAACAAGCACCCGACTGCATCGACATGCTCTTGCTGAAGTGTGTCAACATCTGATGAAATGTCAGTAAGATTATGGGATTGGAAACGTCAAAGTCAACTCACCACCACCCTTCTTTCTCGCTCTCGTGTTGTTGAACCAATTACGAACTTTCTTCACGTCGAGGTTGGCTTGGTGGGCAATGATGTCAATCTCCCACGAACATGGATAAGGATTCGCAGCGAATTCGTCCTCAAGAATTTGTCTAGCCTCCAAAGGGATGCGGCTCTGGGCCCCTTTGCGCTTGGCTGATGCAGGCTTCCAACTGGCGGTTGAAGCTTGCCGGAGCGGTATAGCTGTTGGCGTCGGATGTAGAACAAGGTCCTTTTCGTCATGCAAATCAGCAGCGATGTCCCGGCCTGGGCTCCCGAGCCCGGGTGAGTGCATCTGAGATGATGATGAAGGCGCGATATACGGGCGAGGGTTTTGATCAGATGTGGCGTCCTGACTAGCAGACGCGTCTTCATAGTCTGGGCGCGGAAGGGGATACGTGCCAGCATCTCCATCATGTCTGATTTCGTACGAACAAGTCTGAGGATAGCTGGCCTTTTGGATGAAATTGTGCGTATGGAAGTCAGGTGACGCTAGAACATGGGGCGCATCCGCAACCCAATCCATAGACAGGACCTGGCCTGGATGAACAGAGGGGTCATCATGTTGTTGGCAAGGTGTAGTCACAGTGCGAATTCCATGGTCATGCTCCAACTGATCAAAATCGAAGAACGCATCCAAGTCATCAAACGCGTGGGAGGCCATGATTGCCGTGTCCCCATCCGTGCACTGGGGCTTGAATCGGCGCGACAAGATCGATCAAGGACAATGTAGAGCGCGAGTTTCGGGCTTGTAGAACAACAGTAGCGAGGTGTAGTGCAAGTCGTTGGGCGGTTGGCTCATGGTTGATCAGATCAAAGGTGAGCTATGATGCGGCTGTTCCCAAGACGAAGAAGGTGCGCATGATCGTCAGGCAACGAGCCGTCCTGCAGCGTGGAGCCCTCTGCGACAAGACACTGGGCAGCGCCACTCGATATGGTCAATTGCGCTCAGCATGAACGTCGAATGTAGCAGGGCAAACGGCGGCTGGATATAATTCGACAGCGACAGCGACAGCGACAGCGTGAAGAGTACTGTGCAATGTGTCTGTGGACGTATAGTTACCTTAGCCAGCACAGCAGCTTGGGGCCTTCAAGTCCGGGTTGCCGCTAGGCAATGATTGGCCCCACTTTGCAGAAAGTCTCCACCAAAAAAGTTGCATCGTGAACGAGAGAGCTTCAAAGTGCCAGCACGCTTCCAGACACCCAAACGCGAACATGGCGGCCGAGGTTCAACTGCTGCAGCCGCTCAAGCTGCCAAAAGGCCCCTCGACACTGACCTCGGAGCAAAAATACTGGAATTCGTACGCGTCGGAATTGCGACTCGACCCGTCGCAGCACTCGTCGCCTGTCACCCACATCTCGATACCGCCTCCTCCGCCCTCGAGCCTGCAAACCGCGGCGCAAGACCTCTTCGCCGTCACCACAGGATCGCGCGTGCAAATTTTCTCGTCCAAAACGAGAAAAGTGGTAAAGACCATCTCGCGGTTCGGTGTCGATGACATTGCGCACTCGGGTAACATACGGCGCGATGGCCGCATATTGGTCGCAGGAGGCGAAAGCGGTGCCATACAGGCCTTTGACGTGAAGAGCAGGGCCATTTTGAAAACATGGAAAGAGCACAAGCAGCCTGTGTGGGTGACGCAATGGCATCCGACCGAGCTCACCAACCTCATGAGCTGTTCCGACGACAGGACAGTGCGGCTATGGGATCTGCCGAGTGACAAGAGCATGACGAAATTCGACGGCCATCAGGACTATGTGCGCTGCGGTGCCTTCATGCCGGCGCAGAGCGGACTGCTGGTCTCAGGTAGTTATGATCAGACGGTGCGCCTCTGGGACTCGAGAGCAGGCGGCAAGGCAGTCATGGTCTTCAAGCACGCCGCCCCTATCGAGGCCGTCTTGCCCATGCCTTCCGGTACCGCCGTTCTCGCCTCCAGCGACAATGCCATCAGTGTCCTTGACCTCATTGCCGCAAAGCCAATCCACATGCTGCGCAACCACCAGAAGACCGTCACCGCCCTGACCCTTGCCAACAACGGCGAACGCCTCCTCTCCGGCGCGCTCGACGGGCACGTCAAGGTGTTTGAGACCACAGGCTGGAACGTCGTGGGAGGCCTCAAATACCCGTCTCCCATTCTCTCCCTCAGCGTCATTCCCAGCCAAAATGAAGACAAGCACATTGCTGTCGGTATGCAATCGGGTCTCTTATCACTCAAAACTCATCTTTCGGGCGAACAAAAGGCCCAAGCACGCGAACGCGAGAAGGAGATGAAGGCCTTGATGGAGGGCAAGATTGAAGAGTACGACCGCGGTAAGAAGCGAAAGCGCGGCGCGGGCTGGGAGAAGCGACTTCGTGGCAAAGACTACACCGGCGAAAGCGCGGACATTGTCATTGAGGGAAATGCGAGGGGAAAGATTACAAAGGGAACAGCATGGGCGCATGCGTTAAGGGCGGCCCAGTATGCAAAGGCTTTGGATTTAGTCTTCGAAGTCAAGGTATGCTCCGACATAGCTTCACGTTGGAAGCCGGGCTAATCAACGTAGGACCACAACGCACGCGACCAACACCTCTCTCTCCTCACCGCACTACGTCACCGCTCTGCGCTTCGGACTGCCTTGATGAACAGGGACGAAGTCACGCTCCAACCCATCTTGCGCTGGATCATCAAGAATATTTCCGACTACCGCATCACGCAGCTGACCACGGATGTTGCTCTTGTCGTACTCGACCTCTACGCCGATCAGCTGGGTCGAAGCGAGGAGATTGATCAACTTGTTTCAGCACTAATGAATCGGGTCAAGGTCGCCGTAGATGCAAGTCAAAGTGCATGGAGTGTACAGGGTATGGTAGATATGCTTACAGCAAGTGTCGGCATCGAGGAAGTTGTCGAGGCGTAAGTCTGTACAGTGTTGCTTGGGTTTGCATAGCGACGGCGTTATTGTTGAAATGAACTGGCTATCAGCTATCACCGACAATTATATGTTGGGGAAATTCTTCCAAAAGTGATTTGTATCCTAAAGTCGTGCAAATGACCAGATAATTCTCACGGGTGCTTGAATGGGATGAATGGCATATTGTACAAATCTAGCTCTCCTCCAGCCATATGCTTGACTGCAATGCTATGCATATGCTACATAGCCAATCTTACAATCTACCATAAGCAGTACTGTCGTTGTGCGATAACTGGTCGATCAGATAGGGCTGTCCACAACTTTCGCTTGTCGCGCTTCTTCTTAATCTCGTCTGAGATACGCATACGCGTCTTCTCTTCCTTTAGAAGGACAGTGAAACCTGACCAATGTAAGCAAACATGTGTGTAATGTCAAAAAGAGCGATGGACTTACTCGTCGTCCTATGCCGCAGTGTGTTGACCATTCCTCTAGCCCTGAACTCGGGACTCTTCCACATCTCGCCCTTGCCCACCCATGCCTGGTCAATGTAGATTTCCGACGGATCCGTGATCATCTTCTTGCTTCCATCCTTCATCTCAATCACACCTCGGCGTATCGGTGCTTGTTTCGTGTTCTGGGTAGTCAATGTGGACTTGTCGCCTGCAGACGGTAACCCCCTCTGCTTCTCCCACCTCTGCGTTGCGCGTTTGCCGTCTCCAAGACCCATTCCGCGGCCTACAATAGCCTCATTCTGTGCGATCTCGAGACCCTTGATGACATCGCGGGCGATGCGCTTCTTTGAGAAGCGGAGTTGCACGAGCGCTTCTGACACAGTCTTGCCAGCAATCTGGTTGACCACTTTCTGGAGCTTCTTCGTTGAAGTCGGCAGAGCTTGCGACTTGAACACACTCTGACGCTCCGTGCGGGCGATGTTGTCGGCTTTTGTGAGACGGCCATGGCGCTTGACACGTCGAATCACGAGTTCGCGTTCAAGGCGCCGTCGTGCTTGTGGGTCGGGGTCAATGTTCAGCTCTGAGAGTTTCCTCTCATTGTCGGCTTGTGTAGCGGCCCTTCGGGCCTCGGCCTCGGCCTTGAGTTTTGCTTGCGTCTCTTGTGGGAGCGCGGGGCTCCAACCGGGAATCTCGCGTTCAGGACGGAACAGCGAATCTGGGTCCTCATTCATGCCTCCCTCGCGCAATTGCGGCCTTGCAGGCGTCTTGTCCCTCCCACCCTTTGCAGCCCCCTCCTCAATCTCCCTCCGCTTGAGATATGTTTCTAAGAGCGGATTCGACAAGTCTTCCCCCGAGTCATTGGCCTTGGATTTGAAAGGATTCGAGATGTTTCGTCGCGCGGTGGCGGCAACAACGATAGTTGGCACCCATCGTGTGGATCGAGGCTGAAAGATGGCAGAGGCTGTTCGAGTCAGTCTACAGTGTCGCTATTGAGTTCTGCTCGGCGGTGTTGGAGGGCGTAGGCGACATGTGTACTGGAATTGCCGTGTATACAACAGCCTGCCATGGGAAATGGGGGGGTGTGCTGTATCGTACCTGAGTGCCCCAGCCGCCTTGAGGGTATTCGGGCGCTCATGTCGATAGCCAAGACCCGGTTGTGTGGTGCTGATGGCTTTTCGGGTTTCGCGAAGTCTCCGAAATTCTGAGCTTAGTTCGGCATCCCAGGCCGCTTGTAGGCACGTGACGATCTTCGGGCTGAGTCCAGTCCTCTTGCAGAGAGGCAACGATCAACGATCAGCTCTCCGCGAAACATGCGCAGCAAAGTCTTTCCTAAGTAGCGTAGTCCAGCCACACAGCCCGCCGAACTCATGTTCTTGCGCCTCATCTCCTTGTCTTCACTGCAGTCTGCGCCCTGTTTTCTCGTGCCATCTGTCGGCACACCGCAACAAGGCGTTCCGGCTGTGAGCTTCGATGTCATTACTTGATTAGCTTCGGGCCCAAGCTTGTCTGCTCGTGAACTTTCTTCTAGAACCCAAGCTACAGTGCTCCTCCACCACCACCAACGGTCGCATACCAACCCTGTCCATTCACCCTCCTTCTGGTCCGATTAGCGACTCCGACGCTCCTTTGCAGTAGCGTCCCGTTTGCTACCCCTTCGTCCCATGCCTTTCGTTACACGGACATTGAAACCTTGAAGACTGTAGTTTGCGCCTGCGTCCGGGATAGTGCACACTACCTCGAATGTTCGTATACGACACAAAAGTCCAGTCGCGCGTCACATTTTGGTGAACCAGAGCGGGCAATAAAACATCGCGTCGTCACCATGGACATCAACTCGTTGCTGTCGCCGAGCGACTCGCCTGCAGGCACTCCCACTCCACAACCGCCACCAGCCCTCCCGTCGCCGTCAGTGCTGCACTCGCCGAGGAAGCGCGTAGCACGCCAAATGCCGTCGCGAACCCCTTCAGGTCTCAGTCAGCAGATCACCTCCTCGCCGCAACCACACGCCACGCTCCAGCAGATACCCTCTCCAGGCTTTGCGCACATCGCGAACGGCGCAAGAGCTATGCACAGCGCCATGAGCACCCCACAGCCTCTTGCGTCGCCTCACGATGCGCGCATGACCCCTCCGCACCCAATGTTTAGACAGGCCTCGACGCCGGGCATGGACACGTTGGCAGGTAGGTACCCGCTCTCTTTTATAGCCACAGCAGTCATCGAGACAGGACATGCACATCGTGTGCTGTGCAGTTGCCCGCCGCGCGTGTATCTGTATTTGCACAAGATAGAGGCTATATGGCATGTGAGGCCACAAACCAATAACTAATCATTTCCAGATCTTGCTAGCATGCAGCAACAGCAGGCTGCTCGACAGACCCCAGTAGCTCACCAGCGGCCAGTGACGTAAGTTTTGCCAATCTGCCTATCCACTCCCATGCAGCTCTTGTGTTGTGCTACAGCCGATTTTCGCGGGGCACGTTCAGAGTTGCGCTCACTCGCGTTCACGGGTCGCGACTGCCTGTTTGCTAGCCTTGGCGTTCTTGCGCAAACACGTTTCCCCACCACCGCTGACTTTATCTTTGCAGACTACAACATCTCGGACAGCACCTTTCCGGCGAGTCGGTGGCCAGCATCATGTCAGAATCCTCGCCACGGCCGCGCACTTTCGTTACGAGGTCTCTAGATCAACAGCACATCGATTGGCTGATCCAGTTGGACCAGACGCTGATGGAGAATCCATTCGACTACTACAGCCATCTATCTCTCGTCACCACCCTCCACCAAGGCTTCCAGAACCACCTTTCCACTTTCGAATCTGGCCCGCACGCATACGAGTTGATTCATACCTTGCGGGATGCGTACAAGTCCATGTCTGAGAAATACCCACTTGGCGAGACTCTGTGGCATTACCGACTGAACGACGAAAAGACACTAGCGCAGAATGCTGAAGATCGCATGGGCGTTTTGGAGTACCACAAGCAAGCAACTCACGAAGAACCCTACAGTGCAAAGCTCTGGGCCGCCTATGGTGAGTATACAAGTTATCTTGTGGCTTGCTCCTGGGAGCAGGATCCACCAGAGCATTGGTCGGAAGAAGACCGGCTGATCGGCCGCGAACTCTTCAAGCCACAATTAGTACTTGAAGCGCTTCAGGAAGGAGCCGACAGGGTCAAATACAACCTCCAGGAAAGCAACCTGGTGTGGGATCGCTATCTGCAAGTGCTCGAAGAAGATCTAGAGCGTGGTGGGTTCAGTCAAGAGAAGGCCGCTCATGTGGCCGGAATCTACACAGAACGTCTCGCTCAACCCCATGCGACATGGTCAAACACCTTCTCGAGATACTCGTCTTTCAACACACGATACTATAAGGATCATTACGAGCAGCTTATGGAGCAAGCTCTGCAAAAGAACACGCACATCAAGCAGCAGTACGCCAACCGTGAAGAGTATGAATTCAAGGTCCTACAAGCAATTCAGGCAGGCGATCAAGATGCGGAGTACCACGCAATCACACGCTATCTCAAATGGGAGAAGAAGACCATGGGCGTGTACAGCTTTCATCTTGTCAATGCCCTCTACGAGCGAGCGACCTTGCGCTTCCCCGTAGACCCTTCACTGTGGGAAGATCACGTCGAATTCCTCATCTGGCAACAAGATCGATCTGTTGATCTACTCAACGTGCTCGAGCGTGCTACAAGGCACTGTCCGTGGTCTGGCGCACTGTGGTCGCATCGTATTCTAACACTTGAAGCGGAGAACAAGGCTTTCGAGGACCTTGAGCATGTGAAGCACACAGCCACTGGATCTGGTCTCCTCGAGCATGCCGACTTGGAAGAGCTGATCAAGGTGCAAACCGCCTGGTGTGGGTACCTCCGGCGGAGAGCTTTCGATGACCCTCGAGCGACGGAAGATGATGTCGACATCGCCGAAGTTGGTATTCGTTCCGCCTTGGAGTTTGTGAGAGAAGTTGGGATTAAGAAACACGGCCGAGACTGGTCTGATCCCAAGTGGCGGCTTGAGCGCATTCATATGAAATTTTGGCTGCAACGAGGCAATATCGATGAGGCACGTCAAATATTGGAATCACTTGCTGCAAAACAAGGTGACTCATATGACTTCTGGTATCGGTGGTATATCTTCGAGATGGTCTTTTGGTCACAACACGCTACTCGCAACAAGGCAAACGCTGGCCAACAGCTTCTTACTCCATCGCAAGCTACTGCGGTTCTGGAGCGGGGAATGGAACGGCTCACGACACTCGACCTTCCAGAACACCTTGTTGAGATGTATATCACTCATTGTGAACAACATGAGTCGGTCATCAAGGTTCGAAGTGCGGCAATTGAGCGGCGACGCGCTGATCGGACTATATCAATCCGAAGAGAGAAGGAACAAGCATCCGCAGCAGCTATAGCCTCACAACAAGCGACTCCTCCGAGCGAGCTTGCGGAAAGTTCGGCGAAGCGGAAGCGCGATGGAACGAGTCAGGAGGAGGTTGTTACCACCAAAAAGAGCAAGATGTCGAGTGCCTTGGAAACGTCGGGCGCTGTTGTGAACGGTGAACCTAGGGATACTAGTGAAGCTCCTTCCGAAGCCCAGTCGTCTGGCCAAAAGCGAGATCGCGAGCATACGACCATCATTGTGCGCAAACTACCCGCTGACACGACGCAAACCAAGATCAGGCAGTTCTTCACAGAAGTTGGCACTGTCCGTAATCTGGTAATGAAAGAAGAGCATGGCGCCTTGACGGCTGTTGTGGAATTTGAGTCCCCTGACGAGGCTGAGTATGCTTTGACAAAGGAGGCCAAGGGTTTCCACGGACACGAAATTTCCATTGAACGAGGCCAAAGCACGACACTCTACGTCACAAACTATCCGGCACATGCCGACGAAGCTTACCTGCGCAACTTGTTCGCTCCCTTTGGCGAGGTTATCGGTGTTCGGTTCCCGTCCTTGAAGTTCGACACGCATCGCAGATTTTGTTACGTTCAATTCGACAACGCCGAGAACGCCGTTGCAGCTACGCAGCTCGATGGTACCGATGTTGAAAGCCTTAAGTTGATAGCCAAGATCTCCGACCCCAAAGCCAAGAAGAAGCGTGAGAGTGCCATCACTGAGGGACGAGAGGTGTACGTATGGCACCTCAACTTTAAAGTCAAGGAGCGCGAGATCAATGATGCTTTCAGTCGGTTCGGCACCATTGAGAGAATCAAGCTGCCGCTCAAGGGTCACGGTAACAACAGAGGTTACTGTTTCGTTAACTTCAAGACCAAGGAGAGTGCGGATGCCGCGGTCGCGGAAATGAACGGCAAGAATTTCTGGGGCTTGGACCTGCACGTAGAGATAGCCGTCGATCGTGCTGAAAGCAAACCAAAGACAAGGTCTACACTGGAAGCTGATTCGGACGTGCGCGAAGCTACTCCAGGCAAGACGGAGGCTACCCAAGACGCTACGTCTAAACCAGAGGGAACGATCGGATCTCGATCTATCGCCTTCCTCAACATACCTGACACCGTTCCTGACGTGCGCATCAAGCCCCTCGTGGAGCCATTCGGGTTCAGAAAGATCACGCTCGAGCCAAAACACGGAGGAGCTATTGTTGAATTCAACACGGTTGAAGGAGCCGGTAAGGCAGAAATCGCACTCCAAGGCCAAGACTTTGAGGGACGTAAACTTCGCGTTGGTACGGTCAAGGATCTCAGGTCTCAAAAGAGCGAGTGGAAAGCAAGCAATAGTTTCGTACAGCCCAGCCGCATCAACAGACCTACCGTTCGTGGACGCTCCGCAGGCGGTCGAGGTCGTGGAAAGTCTGGTATCAGCGTTGGTCGACCTTCGATTCCCAAGAATGCTACAACCACGAACGGTGAGGCGAAAAGCAATGCGGATTTCCGTGCCATGATCATGAATAAGGGTCAGGCTCAGGATGGGGACAAGATGGAGGAGTAATGGAAAGAAGGTTACGAATGCATTCCAGGATCAGTTCGGTATCCTGCTGGTGTTTTAGGGATTCGGTCGGGCTACTTCTTTCGAATCTTAGCATACTTCGGCGTACGGTAGCTCTTACCTCGATATTCAGAGGTGGCACACTAGTCTGGGACAGGCGTATCTGCATCTTTCAGATGTTTGTAGCATAATGTAATAACGTGGAAACTTCAACATGGCGACCACGTACACCAAACCTATACTAGCCACTAGGTCACTCACAATTCATGACAAGATTAACGATCCAAATAGCCAAACTATATCATAATTATGACTTAGGCTCGGGCGCATGGGCACTCGGGCCACCAAGCCATGCTCACTTGCAGTCAATCGGCAGGTTGTGGCCTCTTTCATGTATATGGCCCACGTGTTGATCGCTCCAGAATAGGGACACAGGCTGATTTCTCCGTAGTAAGCTACAAATTATGCTCCTTCAAACTTCAGTTACGGATTCTATTTGCCAAAGTCCATCAATCTGAACCAGACAATGACGGAGACATAGCCATATGGCCATCGGACCGTCTTCGGGGAGCTCATGACAGAGTTTGACAGCACAAATGTACCTTACTATCAAACCGTACACCAAGTTAGAGGTATACGACCACCCTCAAGACCGCTGTCACAGTTCGAGGGCAAATGAAATGACAAAATAAAACATTCTTTACTGGTTCGCCAGAACGGGCAGTACTCAGCAAGAAAGGGTAAGAACATGTCTTCTTCGGCATTAGAGACATGTCAGAATGGATGGACTACGATAGCCGATCGCGAGGAGGAAGTCATGGTTACTAAGCGAGAAGCTATGACGTGGTACATCGTTCGGCATCGCGAACTCTACTTTTCATATCTTCATCAATTGCTTGTCCCCACGGCGCAACACAGTCCTCAAACCCATAATGGCAACCACACGCCTAGCAGCACGCTCATCACGGGCTCTCTTTGTCACACCTCGCCTGACCTACCGTGGCTTCAGCACCCCCGCCGCCCGCAGCAATGAGTTCGATGCCCTCAACAAGCGCACAAACGACACTTCGGAAACGTACCGTCGCTACCAAGTTGAGAAGCCGCTGAACCCTCACATGACCAACACAACGTCTACCATCGCCAATGAGATGCCATCAGTTGGCCGCGACAATGCGCCGCCTGAGCTCGTCACCAATGTGGACCCCAAGTTCACGCCCAAGGACTCTGTGCCAGAAAATACTGAGCGCATGACTGGCGGTACGCAGAGCGCCGACAAAGTGAGTGACGCCAACTCAGAGCTGGGTGTGGGCGAGATGGAGGGCGCCAAATTCAAGGTGGAGCCAATTCGTAGAACGGGAGAAGACCCGAACACGATGCGAGCGAGGTTATTATGTTCGTTGCTTGCCCTTGCACAACAGCCCTTGCAGTTTTCTTAAATACATCACATTTGTTAATCGCGAGACTGACGACGATACAGACCAAAGCCGGAAGCGCGGAACACTAGAAAGTGATCTCCTTCTCAGCACCTTTGCCGACGCCCATCTTGCTACCATGCCTCCGCCTCTCCTTCAGCAATACGACCTTTTTCTCGATGAGAATGATTGGGACATTTACTACTGGGCGACACAACAGCCTTCATTGACATCTAGTGAGTATGCTGAAGGTGCTGGGCCTGACGCGGCTACCCCGACTGCACAGGGCAAGGCGCCAGAGAAGGACGTCAGGGCGCGTGAGCCTGCAACTGGTGAATGGGCACAGACTGTAGGCACCTTCAAGCCCGCATACCGACCTGTACCGCAGCGATGGAAGGGCAGCGAGATTTTGAGCCTGCTCCGTAAGCACGTCAAGGAGAGGAGCGCAGGAGGTGTCATGGAGTTCTTGGACGACGGCGGCAAAGCCACCGACACTCGCGGCAAAGGCCTGGGTATGATGCCCGACATCAAGAACTTTGACCAATAGTCTCTCTATAGCGACAAATACCACTGACTCCTCGACTCAAATACTTCCAAACACAGCGAGACTACTCATGACTTTGCCATCATCTCCCACCATCAAGTTCCAGCCACAGCTACTGCCAAGTGGCGCATTGTCGATCCACGCAGGCTCCCAGTAGAACAGTCCAGTCCCTTTACCATTCGGTACTGCGACAACGCGCTTCGCCAACTCCTTCATCCACTGCGTTTGCCCATCCACACTAATAGGTATGCTGGTCGTGTCCGAAGGGAAACTTGTGGAAGGGTTGGGACAATACGAAGGCCAGTTGGTTTCTACGACCATGACCTGTTTCCCATATCTACTAGCCATGTTGTTCATCGAGCTCGACAATGCCGACAATGTCGCCGCGGCATTGTAGAAGGGATAGTACGATATGCCCTGTATGTCGAAATCCGAAGAGGAAAGCCCTGCAGCCAGGATGGTATCATACCACCACTTCTGCGTGTCCCATTTCCATCCATTGTCCAAATGAATCATGATTTGTGGTTTCGGTGACATGTTGCTTTCCTTGATTGCCCTGCTCGCACTTTTGAGCAGCGCGGCTACATTTGCTGCACCCTCACCTGACCCAAGCTTCCCAACAGGAAATAAAAGCCCGGGCGTGATCTCGTTGCCGATGCTGACTATGTCCAAGCCCAAGCCATTGGTGGCAAAGGTGTTGATGACGTTCTTCGTGTAGTCGTAGACCTGCTTGACGAGCGCATCTTTCGACAAACTCTTCCACGCAGCAGGAACGACCTGTTTTCCAGGATCCGCCCAATTATCGCTATAATGGAAATCGAGGTAGATTTTTAAGCCCGCTGCTTTCGCGCGCTTGGCGAGTTTGATGTTGTAGTCGAGGTTGTAGTTGCCATCGCTCGGATTAACCCAGATGCGTTGGCGCACGGTATTTACTCCACTGGATTTGAGGATTGTTTCGAGGGGCTGCGTTTGGCCGGCGGAATTCTTATACGTCTTACCAGCTTTTTCTTCGATGAGTAGAGAGGACCAGTCTACACCTTTGGAGGGGAGAGCAGCGAGAGCCGTGGCGGCAAGGATGAGGAGGGACGGGAGACGCATCGTTTTCGTCGCGCTGGTGGGAGACTTGTTTTGTTGGCGCTGGTGGGACGACTTATTGACTAAGAAACAGATCTATATAGTCGAACTTTGAGCACAAAGCCTAGGCATCACACAGTCTCCAAATTGCAGGGCATGTCGACGTACGATGGTCGGGTGCAAAGCCAAAATGGAGTACATTTGCCGCATGGCAGATCGTGTCATTGGTGGAATGTTCGTTGAAGGGGTTTCGGCCATATAGTAGCTCAGGTCTAGCTCAGTCTGCGTGTGGGGTACCCGTGGTACCTGTATGGGTGTGTTTGGTGCCGGGTATATCATGGTTGTATTCCCGTCATGAATTGCACTTTGGCGACGGTGGCGGAGGATCTGCGCAGGCTGTCAAGGAAGAAGTCGGGAGTGCGCGGAGCAAAATAGAAGCAAGGGAAGCCAGGAACGTTCGTAGTGAAGAACGCTCGATGCCAAAAGCGTACTTGATGACAAACAGAACAAAAAGGGAAAGCTCCACGAGTGATGTTAGTAGTCAGACATGAGCGCGATAGAATTCGAATTCGAAGGCGAGTATGCACTGAATTGGTTGGTCGAGCCATCCGCTGATGTTTGGATTGTTTGAAAGAGTACATAGCACTTAAGCACAAGACTCCATAACCTCCCGGATCAAAAGCATGCCTAGTCCGTCCCGAATGTGCAAAGGAAGATGAGTGTGATCGTAACCTTCCGCTAAATGCCTTTTCGTAATCTCATACGCCCCGCGGCTTGGTATCCATCTACTGCTCCTCAGAGTAGCCCTCGCCACCCTCTGCTGGGGCCTCGCCCTCACCCTGCTCGGCCTGCCTGGCCTGTTCCGCTGCCTGCTGGGCGGCGATAGCCTTGGCGCCGTAGTCCTGGGACATGGGCTGCACAACGGGCTGCTCCTCCTTGGGCTCGATGATGGTGACGGAGTCGGGGAGAGTCTTGGATGGGCCGGCCTTGCCCTCGGGGTCTGAGCCGCGCATAATCTTGACCTTGATTCCGAGCACACCCTGGCGGAGCAAGACGTGGCGGGTGGCCTCGTCGATGAAGTCCTTAGCAGGTTGGCCGGAGTGAATCATGAAACCGTCCTGTGCAAAGTCAGTATGGCAAGTCGGGCCTAGACGAGCGGTTTGTGCGTACAGTGAACTTCATGCTCTTGGCACGTGCGGCCCTGAGCTTTCCGGAAACAACGACTTCGCAACCCTTGGCGCCAGACTCCATGATGAACCTCAGGACACCGTAGCAGGCCCTTCGGACGGCCAAACCATTGAGAAGCTTGTATCGGAGGGACTCGCACTGGGCGACTGCAGAGAGACCACGGTTCTGGACCTTGGCGGCGTAAAGCGAGACAGAGTTCTCGGGGAACTTGAAGCGCTTCTGGATGAGCGAGGTGAGCTCACGGATGCGGCGACCCTGCTCTCCGAGGACCTCTTGTGTGTGGGTGGCGCGGATGATGATGTCGGTGACGGTAGGAGTGACGCGGACCTCGACGCCGGAGTAACCCTCCTCGGCCAGCTCGCGCTGGAAGAACTCGTTCAACTCAGCATAGAAGACACCGTCTGTGGGGGTTATGTCAGCCAAGTTCCGTGTGCGCAATATTCTGCGTTATCTGTGGTGTCCCCCACAAGTCTGCAGGGCCTGTGTCGAGGACACGACCCTACAGACATGGAGTCGACCAGACGCTCTCCTCTTTTCCCTCAATGCGGAATTGGGTATATCGTACCAGCAACGAACTTCCTCCTCTTGGAACTGTATGTGGTCAGTATTGTTGCACGGCGATGCAGGTGGTTGTCAGGCAAACTCACATAGCTCCCTGGGTAGTGGCCATTGTGTCGGACTGTGGAATTGGCGTCTGAACTTCCGCGGTGGTGTTCAGAGAGTCGGGTTCCGTGTTGTCGTAGTCGTCAAGTTGTCGCGAGAATCAAAATCAATGGTGCCTTCCTCGCTTAGCCATCCGTGGGCGGGACACGGGCCACTCACAAGCCACGCTAGCGCCACAACCCACTATGGTATCGATAACACTACTACAGCAGACTGGGTGGCTTCAGCAAGTGGCACGGTGGGTCTTGTAACCACGCTGTGTGGTTCTTGCAAGCTCAACGAGTCTTGGAATCATATTGTGTGGTACTTGCAAGCTCAACGACGCAGTTATGCTGCTATCGAGCCAAACTCCATCGGCAATGCGTATGTACAAACACTACTCCCGCTACGGACCTCTCACCATCAGTGGTGCTCCATCGGGTCCTCCGGCAAGAGAGGCTCGGGCCTCCTCTCCACGCACGACTTGAGAGGTGGCCTGATCAAGTCGTTGAACAGGAACGTGCCGTATACCAGCAGCGCGAAACCGAGGACTTGGAGCCACTTGAACGTCTCCCATCCCAGACCGAGCGACACGACCCAAATGAAGAGTGTACGGCAGGTATCGATCGTTGAGCGCGATGTAGCCGAGACAGTGCGCGTGACGGAGAGACCGAAGAAGTTGAAGCCACTGCGACGTGTTAGTTGACGAGCATAGTGAAAAGGACATGGGTGTGCTCACCCGATACTGATCATGATCAGAACTGAAGACACAGCAATGGCGCGAGAATGCGTCATCTGGTAGAGGCCCTCCCGTGCGTTGAAGTACCCCGTGCCAATTGCAAAGTGCAGGACAATCATGCCAATCAGTGTAACAAGGAATCCAAATAGACCCTCCCAGCCAACGACTTTGATCGGCTCCATGGCGTACTTCTCCATGATGCGCTCCTCGAGAACGAACTGGGTGGCAGTGAAGATCTGCGCGCCTGCGATGAGAAGCACACCAATGATTGTCATGGCTGCTTGTGATAGCGCTTCCTTTTGCTTTTGGGCATCCGCTGACCCAGACGCCGTGTCGTGAATAGCCTGGTGAGACGGGGTCGCCTTGTCATCCCGAGTGATGGCGCCCGCCAGGCCAACGACGGCAACACCAAACACAACCACGAAGAGCGAGAACCACTTGTAGAGTCCAAGGTGGCGCTTCAAGAACCAGACACTGAACAGTCCGACGAAGAGCACCAGCGCGCCTCTAGTCATCTGGTAGATACTGGCAGCTACAAACAGCAGTCCGACGTTCATGAGCGTCGTGCCTGCAATGTCACAACATGCCGGCAGCGCTAACAGCAGTATGCTCCGACCCTGTAGGGGAATCCTGCCTTCATCATCGGGATGCACGGGTCTCAGCGGATTCGCAATCGGCGCAGTCTCGCTATCGTCTGACAGCGCCGGTGTCGCAGCGCCGTCATGGTCTGTGATAGCTTCATAGCCCGCACGGCGGCTGGCATAGTTTTGGTAAAGCGAAAAGGCGCCAATGACGAGCCAACAGCCCATCTCGCCGATGAACATTTGGAGCGTCTGGAGCACGGGCTGCTCGAAGTGGTCGCGGTATTTGGAGTTGGGCGCGTCGCAGTTGTTCACACATTGCATGTCCTAGGTGCTGCCGTTAGCTTAAGTTTCGGTCTGGGGCTCAAGGGCGTGCCTACTTGGTACTTGGTCAGCAGTGTGTTGCAGACGCCCGTGAGCAGCATCATGGCCACCAGGAACGGCACCGCGGCTTTGACCGCCATGACAAGTGTGTTTGGAGCTCCGTCGGAGCTTAGATGGGATGGCTTGAGGTGCCCGAGCGACTGAAGAGTGATGAATCGAAGAATGGAGCTCTCAGGACGAGAGATGAAGTACGGTTGGAGCGACACTGGGAGCGTGACAGCTTGCAACGGTGCTAGGCAGCTTCAAGCTGTGACTCTTGGTGCTCGTGACTGGAGTGAGGCTGGGTGACGCTGATCCGGCGATAAGACCCCTGTCGCCGATCTTAGCGCGCCTCGGATGTTCGCGCCCAGGTGGTTCCCATCTATCGATGCAACCGACTATGCTCAGCTTAAGCACTTCACGATAAATACCACAGCTGCAGTCAAGACCAGGCTCGACAACGACTTCACATTGCACATAGAACATGCGGAGCCCCTCCTCCTCGATGAAACCCCATTTGCAGGCTGGTGAACTACGACTCTGCATTCAGCTACTGAATGACCATCGCACATGACCATCAATTCCACGCATCTAGCATGCTGCAACACTTCAAATGATTCTTGTCCGTGACCTTGCGCAGCTAACACCGGCTTTACAGAAACCACCTAAACTCGGGGTTATTGGGGCCATCCTTCAGCTTCTCCGTGCTCACATCCCTCGCGCTCAGGTTGACACCCTGCTTTGCGTTTCTTCTCTTGTTGTCAACCGTCATGTAGATACCCAGTAACAACGCAGCTAATGCTCCAGTAGCCCCAAAAGCCGCTGTCGTGATAAGCGCAGGGATATACTTCGGTTCGTCCTGCGGACGGAAAATGTTCGAGCTCACCACACCCATGAGATTGGCAAGGGGCACACCCACGGATGTCAGAGTGACGCGCTTATTCTCGTCTGCGACATTGTTGTTGTACCATGTCGACAGCAAGACAGATGGTGCAGATGTGCCCCATGTCATCATGAAGCAGGCAAAGTATGCGACCTGGATGGAATGTGCTACGTCTATCGTGGCAAATATGATGAAGCCGGTGAATGTCAATAGGAAACCAAGGACGATGAATGGGAATCGTAGACGGGAGTAATCGGATGCGAATGCCAGGATAAGCAGCACGACAGCGCCTACAATATTCGGTGCAACTGTGTACAAGTTGGTCTTGATCTTGTTGTAGCCGAGTCGTTGAACAATCTGGGGGAGGAAGAGCGATACAGATTGTAGAGGAACGCCAAGGCAGATTTCGATAGCCAGGAAGCCGTACGTAGAAGGCACAGCGAAGATACCCAAGGCTTTCCGAAGGTTGAAGGCTTCGCCCACTACGGATGACGAATCAATCTGAAGTCGGGTGTGTGCGAGCCTCTTCTCGTCTTCGGTCAGGAACTTAGCCTCGTAACCATTCTTGGGTAGGTACCAGTAAGCAAAAAAGCTGACTGAATTTTTGTTAGGAAGCGATGCCATCTACAGCTTACAGCAATACTTACATAAAATGGTTAGAGACCCCTCGATGATGAACAGATATCGCCAAGAGTCAAGCCTGGATTGGATGTGGAACACGCCAAAAGCCAGCAAACCAGAGAATGCGTTCGCAATGTTTGACGCAGCGTAGAATAATGCCAGTCGTCGTGCAAGCTCGCCTCTACGGTAGAAGGTCGTCAGGTAGTAGATCACCAGAGGAAAGAAGGCAGACTCCGCCATGCCTGATTTTCGTTAGCTTTCCACATCGAATCACCACATGACTGGAAAATCGTCCACACCCAAAAACCATCTCAGAGCCATCATGCCAGACCAATTCTTCGCACTCGCAGCCAACAAAGTCGCACTCCCGAAACAGAACATCATGATCGGTAGTACGCGATGTGGTCCATACTTCTTCCCGAGCATGCCTATCGGCGGTGCGAAGATGACATACGGCACGTAAAAGATGCTCAACATGGTGTTGTACTGGTTTCCGTGGAAGCCAAGATCTTTATCCATACCATCAGTTTTCGCATTACCGAGATTACCCTGCAGATTGTCAGTACACGTACTTCAGACAATCCAATTACAAACCTTGTCCAAAGCATTGAAGAGGTACATGACTGCGAGCATAGGCAGCATGCGCAAGTCAAACTTTAGGCACAATGCCTTCTCGTGTTCAAAGTTTGGCAAATGGATGGTTTCTCCTGCGCGAGGGATGGGTGCGGTGGCATTCTTTGAAGATGAGATAGACGACGTGACTTCCAAATCATTCTTCGCGATTTCGGGATCCTTGGGGGCCGACATGGTGGTTTGCTGGGCGTAGACGTAGAGCAACTCCTCGAGGCGTGCCCGCGAAATGAGGTTACCGAATATGCGTGGTTGTGCGACGACACTCGAAATCAAAGAGAGGCAATCCAGAGATTGTAAAATTCAACTCTTATCTATGCTTCTCCAAGAGTGGAGGAACGGGGCAGTGGTTCTAGGAGATTTTCCGCACACAGTGAGTACGATGCAGGAGGGCAAGCCCTTATCCGGGCCTCAGGTGAGATCCACGTTGGATGAGGTAACATTTCTCCGGCAATGTTACAGTCAGGCACGCGTCAGTATCCTACGCCATGTCGACCAATCCTCACTTCGACTGAGCAGCGGCCCGGTATGCCTCTTACAGCGAGGATCGACGCTAACATCCTGACAGGCTGCTGATAAGAGATGGCCGTCTGTAACGTGGGCTCGGTTGAAGCCGTAACGACTTCTTTGGCATCTTCCTCCCTATCTTGGTGAAGACGAAACGTGTGCTATGATGGATGAATGAGCTTCTAGTGTCTCAACGCGAAATCGGAAAATAAACGTGAGAGCAGGGATTGGAGCATTGCTCCTTCCACACATGGCGGGCCTAGTTTTCATCTCCCCGCATTATCGGTTACTAACAATCGCGTTTGCCATTACAGCCACAATCCCAACATGCGCCAGACTAGTATTATGGAACATTCCTCAAGTTCTACGTTAGATGCTCCAAAAAAAAATACTTGTCCAGCTTATCTTGGCTGCTCAAGTGTGGCTCATGCATATAGAACACCGCCGTTGTCGATAAGAGACATAGCACAAGATAACGCGCCGTCAGCAATTATTGGCTACCGATACTGCGCACAGCCCCTGACATCGATCCGCGTCCAGTGCATCCAGGCCGACTTGTGTGTGCGTGAAATTCCCATGCATGCCATCATGCTCGACATCGCAATCAATACGAGTCGTACCAGCAATCACAAGTGCCGAGTGGGAAGATGGAAGGAGGTATGCATATGGAAAAAGCATGTTACCGAAGACGTCATACGTCACGTTGCCTTACTCGATTGGTGAATCCCAGAAACTGCACACACGGAGGAGATCTTCCTCTTTTCCCACCAGGTCGCAGCTGTTATGGATCACGACCTTGGCAATGCACGGATTCTGCCCGGTAAACAGCCCCGTGCAGGTAATCGTTTCGGGCAGACCGTCTTGGCTGTGGAGTCCCTATGGGGGGGTTATCTGGCACACCATCATGGCGGATGATGCGGTATCGGCTCTCTCTCTCCACAGATAGATTATGCGCATGTGTGGAAGCGAGAACCTTCCGAATGGAGACATATGCAAAGGCGTGTTCCCTGTCGCAAGCTGAAGCATGAGTTTGTATCTTCGAAAAGGTGGCTAGTCTGTGGAATATATGAGCATGCTGGAATAAGCGGTGTGATACCAGAATAAACTTTGTTGTGTGGTCTTATCATACGCTAAGTGTCTACCTCCTGTAAACAGGTTGCTGTGCTCCAGTGCCGTCTATGCTTGCCATACGAGAGACCTAGACTTAGAAAAACATATCCGCAGTATGATGCGTGAACCTCGATCTGCTGAGGCTGAATAGAAAATGCGTGCTCATGAAGTGCCTCTCAATCGCACATTAAACGCCCAAGGGGTATCCTATCCGGCAAAATGAGACTTTTACTCTTTCACGCCTCTATGACAAGTAAATCAGAAAGAGAGAAGGATGAAGGTCCAATGAAAAAAAGATTATATCACGGATTGTGCGCCGCTTCTTTACCCTTGGATGAGTGAGGATGGAGCAGGTTTGGTCGCGCCCATTTGGCAAGGTTGCTAGCGTTGAAGTGGAGAGGCTCTTTGACGCCTTTCTCCCTGACAGGCATTTTGCGCTTCGACCGGCCCGAGACGTACATGGGTTGTTGCGTGTGACCATTGTTGATGTTGGGCATGCTCGGTCTCGACCTCAACTTTGGCTTCTTGTCGCGGTGCTCATCATCAGTCGTCTCGGTCTCGAAGCTTCGCAAACTGCTTCGCTCTGAAGAGAATCTGGGTTCACTAGTGTGACTAGAAGACTGCGTAGAGATGCGCTGCAAGGGACTCATTCTGGATGAGTGGCTTGACGATTGCGATTGTGCGCGCTCAATAGGACTCAGCAGAGCAGCCGAGTCGGCGAGGACATCCAGCTTGGAAGGCGCCCTGTCCGCCAACGAGTGAGTTCGAGATGAATATGTTGGAGGAGGATCCTGGTAATCGTACATGATTTCAGAATCCAGACTTTTGTACTTGACTGTGCCATCAAGCTCTTCATCGTGGTTCCAACAAGACTCGTCAACGCTGCTGGCAGCTGGTAGGAACCTGATCTCATTCCAGGTGACATCTTCGTATTGCAAAGTAATGTAGAGGACGTCGCCCTGCATCTTGTCGTGTGCGATGCAATGGTCCTCGAGGAACGGGTAATCCCATACATCGCGATGGATGAGGTCTGCGGGGAGAAGTGTCAAAGCCATCCGACCAAAGGGTTCGTCAGCTGGGCGGTGACCTGTCAATGGCATCCAGGGTCGGCCTCGGAAAACACCTTTGAACGCGTTGTCGATGCGGTTCGCGAAGCACGAACTGTCCTGAGTTGGAAAGTCTAGATTTTGCTGTAATTTGCGTGACGCACATCGCTTGTAAGCATTGCTGTCGGGATCAAAGGCGAATCGCTGCGACTTGCGCAGCACAAAGATAACACGCACGCTCCACGACAACGGGTACTTTTTGTCGGTTCGAATGGGAAGTTGGCCAATCGAGTGGTGAGGTTGGGTTTGCATGAGAAGCGGGACTGGTGGAACTGGTGTTGGTTTGGGAGTTGATGTGCGGGCTCTGGGTGTGGAGGGACCGGGCGTGACTTCTCTTGACATTCCTCCAGCATGCTCGACTCGATCGACTCTATTCTCCAAGTCCATACTGACGTCGTCCAGCATGACCAGACGCTCCTGCATGCCTTTGATCTGGTCGCTGAATTCAGTCGTCTTGTCCACCACAGCCTCGACCCTGTCGTCCATGGATAGTTTCAGGATCCTCATGTTCTCGTACATGCGTGCCTCTATGGCGCGGCTCGTTCTGACCAGCTCTTCACGTGCCATGCGCTCCCTAAACAGCTCCTGTTTCCAAGTTTGCTCGAGGCCTTGAAGGCGCTTGACTTCTTGCTTGAGCTGCTTCATCTGTTCGACAGCGTGGGCGTAGTCGTCCATTGTCACGACGGACAAAGGCTGCGATTCGTGGTGCCATGCCTGGTGCCCGCAGCCGCAGCGGGAGCGCAGGAGCGAGTCTGGGTAGAAGCTGCGGCATGTGCAGCGCTGGCGCGAGGAATTGCCCTCGGACTCAGGGACGATGAAGGCACATTCCCCGCGTGGAAGCTGTGCGTCTTCACTGGGGGCGGGCTTTCCAGACAGGTGGACGCGAGACTGGGCGTTGTTATGGTACATCAGGAGCTGACCGCAGGCGGTGGTGGTGGGCTTGGTCCTGGACAAATGGTGGGCGGCTCATGGAAGGCCGGATGGGAGGGCGGCTAGGGTATCAGGAGTCAAAAGGAACGGATGCTCGCGTGGTTCAAGAGCCAGCCAAGAGCCTGAGACAAAGGGATTAGCTGGGGATAAGGCTATAGCAATATATAGAACAAGCAAGCAGCCAGGATCGGGGCTGGCGCACAAGATAAGCAACCATGGACAGCTTACAGTCAGGAACCACGCTGTCGGGGCATATGCACGGGAGCAGCCGAGCAGCGGTGGCACAATCAGCAAGGAGCGTCACTCGGAGGACGCGTGCGCCCGTGGGAGGAGGTGGTGGTGGTGGTGGATTGCAGCAGCAGCAGCAGCAGCGGCAGCAATAAGGAGCGCGGTGAACATCAGCAGGACGGACCACAGGATGTGCAGGTATTCTTTCTTTTTGGTAGCGGACTAGCTCCCGCGCCGGGGATGGACAGCCCTGGCATGCCTGGGGACGGGGGACGGGGGACGGGGGACGGGGGCACGGTGGACGGTGGCCGCTGGTGGGTTCAGCGCGAAGCTGGAGTTGGGGCGTGGTGTAGCCAGGAGTAAGAGATAAGACTCATGCGTTCTGGCGCGCGTGGGAGAGGAGGCAGCCCGATTTGCGAACCTCGACCATGCCGCAGGCCACACCCCGTCCCATTGCGTGCCTGTCACCGCCCCTTCACTGCCGCAATCGCTGCAGCCGCATGTGCCCTGCAGAAGACATATTCCCCATGGCCGTTGGCCGTCGCTCTCCTCCTACTACCAGCAGGAATGTGCATCGTGAACACCGTTCAGCCACAGCCCACGGTCCCATGTCGTCGCACGGTATGCCAACCCCACGTCTGCGGCCATTATCAACGCCTTTTCGTCAGCGCTGTCGTGCCACCACCGCTGCCCCTTTGCGTGCTGCTGGCTGCTGGCTCGCCGTGAGTGCCGCAAGCAAACGCTGCTGTCCCCGACCAGGACCACAGCCATGCAGGGCCATTGTCCCTTTGCAAGAGCCTCTGCGCTCTGCCGCCGTCCCGGCCACTTGCAGTCGTGGTGCTTATCGGGCTATCTGATACACCCCACGTTCGCCCTCATTGGCTGCCGTCTCGCCACAGTTGCAGCGCAAAAGCTCCCAGACGCCCTCCGAGAACTAGCAGAATCCACTGCCACAGGTTAAACCAGCATGTCGCCCCCGAACACGCAATCTGTGCCAACTACCACCAAACGTGTCGAATCATGTCTTGCATTCATTCGCCGACGGCCACACAGCCATGTCGGCTTGCTACACACGTAGCAATTGATCCCCATCTTCACATGTCCGTCACCAACCCAGCTTATGTGTAGAACCTCGCGAGATGCGATGCGACCGTGCTATAAAACCACTGCCAAGCACATCTACTTGCATGTCGTCTTCCATGTGTGCTGGTGCGAGGAACTGTAATTGGCGATTGAGCCCCAGCCCCACCCGCGATCCTACGCTGACCCCGGCATTGCACCATAACTTGCTGTGTACACGTTGGCATATGAAACAATGAGTGCCTTTGTCGAATCAGAACGCATCTGTCAAGTACAGACAACACTGGCGGGTTTTTCACCTCAGATTTGAGCCGTGCTGACAGCCCAGTGAACCACTCTGGAGCTCGCAACACTTCGGCAGTGAGCTGAATCCCACGTTTCGTAAAAGGCACACGCCCGCGGGGTACCAAATGAGTCGCTTACAATGAAAACGGCCCACAGCTGAACCATGTTTGCCACTTCATTCCAGCTCCCACGCGTGGCATGTCTCTCATAATTATGGCGTGGTTGAGGCACAACCCTTGTTTCAACGTCCGTAGAGTACTCAAAGCGACACCGCAATCCTATTTGGACACGTCTGGCAATCGACGGCAGTTTTGCGAAAAGTCGTGCAACCGAATCTTCCTGCTCGTTACACGCGCGACATGTCGAGATACGACGGCATCATCACACTATCTCGCGAATACTCCTCTGGGTCCAGGCTACCTCTCTACGCATCTACGCCTCTATCATGCCTCAGATCGAATTGTCTTATCTCTGGAAATATCATGGCACCTTCCTCTATGTTGCAATTGTGACACGTCTTCGTCGCGCGCTGCTCACGCGCTCGAATTGGCTAGCATGCCGATGCGGGAGCTCCCGTTATGTGGGATTTAATTGTATGTCATTCTGTTCCTGATCTGAGTTGCCTCAGGTCGTTTGACTTTTCCCCGTGGTGACATGCTTGCTGCATTGAACTCGCATTATAGATTAGCGAATGCTCTGCCAGATCTCGCGTCTCCAATTGTCAGGCTCCTAGAAGACGCTTTAGTCGTCTTATGCTCCGTGCAGTATGCACAGATCTGTCGCGATGGTGTTTCTGATGCTGGAGACGGCGAGATTTTAGAGATCTAGGTCAACTGGGATATGCTTGCTTGCGAAGAAAGCATCACGGTAGCGATAATATTGGTGAGGCGAGGCAGGCCATTTCCTGCCCTTCTCCCTGGCAAATGCTCGTTTACAAAGTTTAGACCTGTCGCGCGATTGAAGGCGAGATTTGTTTTCACAGCCACGTTTGGTGCAGGCGCATTGAGACTGAATTTGACGTTGGGCCGTAGTCTCATTAAAGCAATGGAGCGCCAGCCCCATCCGCCCATAAGACGCGTACGACAGAGCCATATCGAGCTCACCTGGTTAGTTAGGCGAATGGATTTCGATTGATGAAATTACATGCATAGCAACATGAGCTGTGATAAAAGCCCCCCTGACGAGCTGATCTTCGAGTCTACAGAACAAAGTTGCCTAATGAGACATACTTGTTAACGCTCGGATCCCCGGGGACCTTGGCATGCCGAAGCTAACCATCACCTTCCCTCACATCATCGATCAATCACATCAACCCCCGAGTCCCCCCAAGAGAGTCGAGATCCCGCTCTGAAGTACTCTCGTGCTGGAAAAGCAGCCAAGCATGCCGGAAGAAAATTGGGCCGCACATGGCGGCATACAAGCCGTAGGAAACCCCTAGTAAATGCGTACATGCAACTAATGGGGCTCTGCAGTGTGATTCTTGCCATGCTAGGAAGGTCAAATGCGATCGCAAAGACCCATGTGCCAATTGTACCGCTTCTAAGAACGAGTGTCTTCGCAACAGACATAAGCGGACACCTCGTCCGAAGGTCCGAACGTGAGCATTCTCCCACCCTAGACCTACCTAATGATGCTCACATTGGCTTAGCGATGAAAAAATACAGGCTCTTGTGCAACGCCTCTCCACGCTTGAGAATTCTGTTCGTAGCACCACACGGGCGCCAAGCACTGCAGTTCCGGATCATACTAAATCTTCTGCAACTCCCGAGGATTCGGCATTAGGCGAACGGCCATCAAAGCGAAGACGAACTGCAAGCTCGATAACTCCATCGGCCCCGGTGACCACTGTCGAATCAGAAACTACTCAACAGCCTGCGACCGAGGCCCGGACTCTCATCAGCAAAGAACTTTCGACTAATGGCTTGCTCTCAGTACATCAGCGCTCGGTGCTCGAGACAGCCATCTCGTTTGTGGATCACATCTCCCATGCTCCAGTACCCCCAATCACAGATCGCAGTACCTTTGACAAGTCCATGTACCTATCAACCGATTTGTCACCAGGCGAGATATTACATGTGATCTTAGCTAGTAGGTCTAGTAACCTCTTCGAAATCTCCAACTAACATGTTACAGCCGAGCCACAACAACTGGATCCTACTTCCATTAATTTTCATAGTCTTGACCACATCCCGCCTAAGGCCGTGGAGAGAATAGGGCTTGCGTTGATGGAAGGTACTGCTGATGAGAGGACACTTCTCTTGTATAAAGTCATCATACATTTCAAGGCCGCTGTCATTCTTTATACCAGCAATCTTCAAGGTCCGAAGAGCGTGGGAGTCCAGAAACACATAAAGCAAATGGAGTATGACCACTTAACAGCCGCGCTCACGGCCTTGGACAAAGTTGGCCTGCTCACGAGCCCTTCACTCCTGCTGGTCCAGGCTTTAATTACAGGAGTAAGTAACTATGATTCATCTGTCCCCGCTACACACCCTGACTCTAGTGCCGCAGGCCATGTTGATGCAAATCATGGGTAACCCCACGAGCTGTTGGGAGCTCATCGCACATGCAGCCCGTTCGATAGTAGCACTTGGGTACCACAACATAGCCGATAGCGAACCAGAGAGCGATCTGGACGAAGAAATCTACGCAGCTCTGGCGTGGTGCGGTCAATTCGATAGCGTCATGAGTTTGTTACTCCTTCGCCCGAGATCTCTACCACCGCTCAACATAAAGATATCTTCCTTAGTAAAGCCTGAGCCCACCAATCCGATGTGCATCTTCGAGGTCTTTGGCATGGAGTTGATACCTGTCCATGACAAGATACTTGACATCACCCTAGAAGCGGCAGCGAAGAGGCCGGTACACCAATTGGGAGAAGAAGTTGCTTGGTGTCGCGCAACAATGGCGGACATCCTAGTTCTTATGGAGCGGGTGAGTGAAACAACTGTTTTATAGTTTTACGTTCTGATAGCCACCAGGACTGTCCTTCACATTTATTTGACACCCGCCCCGACATTCTTCTCCATTGGAAGTGCGTGGAGTTCAAGTACTATTCGACACTGGCTTCAGTTCATCGCCTGAGTCCTTCAGTAACCACAGTGCCGGCCGAGCGAGAAGCCTGTCTGGACAGCGCACGCAAGGCGCTCGTATGCGTAAAGTTCATTGAAGCAACAAGCAAAAGTCTTGGGTCACTTTATTGAGGGTTACGACCCGTATCTCTCTTGGTAAGGCCATCAAACAGACACACTACACGGTGCTTCGCTAATATTGCCTAGGACTATGCTCTCATATCCACTGTGTCCCTTCTTCGTTGTGTTCTGCAACGTGGTTGGCACATCGAATGTGCAGGACTTCCAGCTGTTACAGGACGTTACCGACAGCATCTCTGAACTAGTCTCAGAAAACAAATTCGTCAATCGGTTGCATCGCCTCTGTACCACGTTGATCGGCCTCTGCAAGCCACTCATCGAGTCGGTCCAGATGCACACGAACAACGCCAATCTCACGATGCCGGAAGCTACTGACTTGTCGATGGACACGAGCACCGGCCCACTGAACCTCCCTGATACAAATGCGCACGTTGACGACTTCCTGACTTCCTGGGACGACGACCGAATGTGGACTTTGTTCCAGTCGCAACCCTCTCTCGATTGGTTCAATGCGGACATTCTGGACCCTGCTTGGGATCTTGGGTTGCCGAAATGAATGGCTCCGATTCATGAGATAGCAATGTATGCCATGCCACATGTCGAAATTAAATTACATACACAGCAAGAAGATTCAAGTTGTGCCTCAATGAGTCCATGCCTATGGACCTTGTGGCTTTTAGCTCACGAATGTTCGCCATGTTTGCATACATTAGCTCCTTTGGAATCATTCCGTATCTTTCTTTATCCGTCAGAGTGAAGAGCAGTTTGTACTATTTCTTGAACTGAGTGTATCCATGTTTAGCCTTTTCCCACGTTCAAAGATTAACTGTATGTCCTGTTCATACTCGAACTTGGCCGAAGCACTTACTATCTGGACGTTCCTAACCCTTGCAGTTATTCTAGCTTAACAACAGGACGTTCGTAGGATTAATGTTTTTACATAGGATCACGCAAAGGACGGCACATTGCTGTATGAAGCCAAAATACACTTATTGAAATAAGCGCCATGACCGACGAAATTCCAACCTAGCCCATACGGTCTTACTTACTATAGTATACTTACCTCAGCTTCTAAATCACTCTTTCATCACTCTACACTCGCACTGGCTGAATAGTGGCTAAGCCAAGGAGCTGTAGCTTTATCGCGAAGTTGAGAGAGTCATGGTCTTGCCCAATTCTTCCTTCTTCCCTAATCTAAACACCTCTCTCCTCTTCTCGTGCTCCTGATCAATGCTAGTCATAGCAGACTGTAGAGTCTTCTTTTTAGCGTGGCCGAGCCACTTTTCGAATGCTTTAATGTCGAGGAATTCCTTCTTGATCCGGCGATGACACAAGTCGTTAGCAATATGTTTGAAAAGCGGATCAGTAAGATGAGTACGATTGACAATAGCATTCCGTTCCTCCTCGGTGATCAACCGTGCACTGATCTCGCGTCGGAGGGCGTCAAGAAGGGGCTTGGTGTAAACGTAATAGATTCCCAGGGAAAGACAGGCTTGGTACAGGAGTACGTCCTGGAGAAAGTTTGTGCCGGTGAGTCTTACTTCTTTGGCTTCGAGACCGGGTTTCGTGGTAAAGATGTCCAGGAGACGTTCTATACTCTCGACGTCCACGTTTCCAAATACGCGATATTGCGTGACGGACTCTTTGGTCTGCATTAAGTCGATCAGCTTGGTAGACGAGGCCATCAGTGCTACCTGCGGGACGTTGTCACGAACGACAACGTTGCTGTCTGCTACAATGCTAATCTTGGGACCAGAAAGAAGTCTCGAGCATTCTTCGGTACTCAATGTGATGATGTTTACTGGAAGCTTAGCAGCCAAGCTAAGTTGTTCTTCTGAGAAAATAGTATCCCAGTGCTTGGGGATAGCCTTTGGACCAGATAGCGTAAGTGGTGCGTAGCATCGTGTGCTAAGCATTTCTTCAGATTGAGGAAGTGGATGGGTGTCTTCGCACATAGTTTTTGTAGTCTTAAGTGTGTGCGAAATTTGCATGTGTAAGGACTTTTGTGCGCTGTTCAATGTTATTTGGGAAAATTGCTATATACTGATGATGCTCACTAACAATGTTCCGAATGTTGAAAGTCTCAAAGAGTGCGGCAAAGAAACGCCAGATAGGCGCGCATTACCCATGTCTTCTGCGGCTTTGTGCACATTGTACAGCGTCTGTTTTCGAAGCTGAGCCTTTGTCAACGACATTGTCTGAGAGCTGACTCGCTCGAACCTGGGCAGAACACAAAGTCAATACAATCAGTGCGACTGCAAGCGGAGTGCTTGAGCGAACGTGATATGCATAAACATGTTTTCTGGCATGATGCTTGCTGCGTCACTGACGATTTGACGCATCGCCAATGACAAGTTAAGCACGACTCTAGTAGAAAATGTAGATGGTGACTCTGCGCGATGGTATGACCTACGAATATTAACAAGCTTCTTGAATGGAGGTGCACTTGAAGATAGAAGGTGCGTGGTGTGCCAGTGCGCTCGACGATGACTGGTCTCCCGGCGCTCGAGCGTCTCTAATAATAGTGGACGGTGTCTGATTCATAGCATCGTCATTGATGTCGATAATTGTGGAAGCAAGCAAATAGTTTAGTCTTCCTGCTGCCTGTACAGCAGCTAAATGCCAGTCTCGGCAGCAACTTTGGTTCGAGCATGAATAAGAAGCAGTCAAGGACCTAGTATCACTCTGACACGTTTCCCTATGTTATATTCTTTACTCACTCTTCAATCGTCTTGGTGACATTTCTTGACACCTTAAGACGCCAAATTTGGAAGTATACACTCCTCTTCGCAATGTACCCTTCTGTCACATTTGATATTGGCCAGATACACAATCGAACTCTTCAACAGTGCGCACTGACTTGATGACATCAATGATAGCTCACCAGATGTATCTGATTTTATTGCCTTTTTTGTCTCGTATGAGGAGACGAGGACTTTGACGGAGCCAGGATAATGTATGTCTCCTGCGCTCATCGACTGCTACGGACATATCTTTAGATCCATGCGCATCAAACCAAGCATGAATCATAACTCTCGGCGCGACTAATCATTTGTATACAAAGTGATCGCAAAAGTATGTTTGTATGAAGACCTCTGGGAGCTCGGGCAGCAGGAGAAAGTGTACGCAGCTTGCGCGCATCTTCTCTATCTTACTAAACCCTCATTCAGGATTTAACCCTCCTCTTCTTGATCGCTCAGATCCTTTTCACCTGTCATTTTCTCGATTCTAGAGGCCGATGTTGCGAGAAGGTTCCACCTAGCAGGCGGATAGCTGCATGATCACGTGCGCTGCCCGCTGTTTCCCTATGAGCGTTTGCATGTAAACAAACCCCAAAGTCCTCCTCAAACTCGCGCTTGGGACCTCTCCAGCTCTTTTCCACACCAATCTCGAGTGTGCGACCTATTCCACTTTATTTCGAGTATATGCAAATCTAGCAAACGACTTTCAACTGTCCAATTGTGCGACCGTAGTCGAGCGGCAAGTGACCCGATTTATGTCTGTCGGACATGTTCGAGATCCATCAGAGTACTAATTAAACTGTAGTCCAGATTACGTCGAGCGCTACTCCACCTAAAGCCCAATAGCGCATTCATTGCAAGCATGGCTGAATATCTACCGAGCAATGAACGCTCTCCGCATGTCAAACAGTGAGTCGGTCTGGATGCACTTCAACTTACTCCATTCTGACCACGTATTCACAGAGAGCCTACCCATCCAGATCAACCACCTTCCAAGAAGGCAATGGCCCACCATCGTCGCAGAGCTGCTCGAAAGGCCGCTAAGCTCACCAAAGAGTCACCAGTTGGGCGTGCCAATGCACAGAGCTCGCAAGAGAAGGCTAGGCGGAACAATGATGACACCAAGCTCAATATGAATGGTGACTCAGTTGATAAGTCAGGGGAAGACACAGCTCCATCAGCTAAGGCCCCAAAGGTTGTTGCTCCGGAAGTTTCGCAATCTACGGCATATTCTGCTCGAGAAGAGCCTATCAGCATTTCAACTACGACCGCGGACGCCAATCAGACTCGAAAGCGTAGCAACAACTCCCATATTAAGACTAATGTGTTTAACGAAAGCTCTTCGCACTCTTCTTCGGCTATGGCTAGCAAGACCATCACACCAATGTCCTCCAAGTCCTGGGCCTCAGTGTGTTCGTCGCCGATCGTTCCTAGTGCGTTTGTATCTGAACCTCTCCAAGTAAACACGAAGCTGGTCGACAGTGTGACTCCAGTCCAGCAGTCATCAGTTTCTGCCGAAGTTGGGAAGGTCGCCAGGTCGGCCGTCTGCCCTCCTACCATCACTGAGCTGAATGACTTCATCTACCATCCTAGCACCGAGAGAGATATCGCGGTAGGCCGTTCTATTAACAAAGATCGAGAGGAAAAGAAGAAACCAGACGATCAAGCACAGCAGCTGGTAGCTACGGCCATGGTAGTTACCAACGTCCTTGCTGGTTCTCCATTAGAATTCTCGGCGTCGTCTTCAGTGTCTTACGCAGAAACCGCCCAAACACCCTCACAGAATACTATCGATTCTAGCACAGATGCACCGCCCCAGCCAAAAGTGTTGTGCGAGTCTCCAGCTACTGGTACCATGGTAGAACAGCCGCTCGACAACCTCTATGTGATGATACGTCAGCAGCGCCTGAAACCCCTCAGTGGCCCTTTAATCACGATATATATCGGCGACATCGAGTTGACTGGCATCTTCAAGCGGCTCGCGATGGCTTGCTGTTCGGTGTTGAGCAAATACTTCGCCGAATTCCCCGAGTCGCTTGAGTACCGTTTCGCGCCTGATTCCATAGCCCCTGCTGCCGTTGCCTATCTTCTTACTAAATGGGCAAAAGACATGAGTCAGAACTTCGAGACCTATGCAGTTCATATGCAGGGTTCGTTTGCCAAAGATGTCGCCCTGTTGCGGGCTTCTCGCCTATTGGGTATGGAGCCGTACACTAAGCACATGCTTAGCACCTATACTCACTATCTGAAAGACAGCCTCCCGAGCTACCAGGAGATCGAAATTGTGGAGTTAAACGCTACAAGCGAAAAGGACCCTTTGTGGACGCACATGGTTAACCACCTGTGCCACGATCGTCACAAGAAGCTGATCCCCGATCCCGAGAACTTCGCACACTTTCTGGAGGAGCATCCGCGTCTTAAGGAGGCTATGAAAAAGGCTGATGTCTACTTCGCCGGCGTAGCCAAGAAGAACTGGGAGGAGAGGAAATCTGAATGGGAGGCTTACGAAGCCGAGCGGCGTGCGCGCTGGGACCTGAATGAGAAGGAGAAGCGTGAGCGTATTACCAAGGAGAAGTAGTCCGCGTCATCTTTGAGGAAGAAGATGGACGCCAAAGGCGGTTCGGGCTTGATGATGGCGACTGCCAAGGAGGCTGCGTTTCTGCGTAATCGTTGAAACCCTTTCCGAGAATGATGACCCCACTGAGTTCCCAAAGCTGGACGACATAGCCATGGGGAAGATAAGAGTCTACAGCGACTGGAAAGGCTTCGGAAGGTGCACGGGCGTAAATTGCGAATGGCGATCGCATCACGAACGAAAGGCCGAAGCACTGTGTAGCTCGTCAGGCTTTACTACGTTCCACAAGTGATGACAAAACCAAAGAACCATAATGGATTACTTCACTGTGTAAATCATGTATTCGTTTTTCTCTATATGCCGTCTCCACTAACGCTTGAGCTCCTTGTACTCTTCTACCACCCCCTAAATCCATCTCCCTCCTGGGCTTGCTCCCACTCCTCGACCTCATCTGCAGTCTCAGCCCAACCTTCATCCACTCTCTCCTGCTCCTTCTCTTCCACCACGAAGACTGGTAGATGACACTCCTTGCAGTCGACCTTGACATGTATGCGATCGTGATGTTGTCCAAAAAGCACGACAATGACGGTGTTAGTGCAGCCCGAAGTTGCGCAGTTCACCGTAAGAGCGCTCGCCGATGTCCCAGTCGATAGGGTGTGCTTGGCAGATGGCTCAGTGACCGCGATGGATGAGTTGGCGATGCGTATGCCATGTTGCGGTGCGCGACTCGCGACTTCAGGGTTGTTTGGTGGGTAGGACATTATTGCTTTTGTAGTTGTCTGGCTTCTGGAATCTGTGAAGTCATGGATAAGTGCGATGATGAGGAACGGAAAGGTGCTTTAATAGTGGCAAGGAAAGATTGCAACATGTTCGACAGCAAGCGGAATGTCTCAGGAGAAAATGAATTGTTCCAGGACACTGGTTTGTGCAAGCTCTATTGGATTCTATGACTGGGAAGGCCCATCTATTTTGCGCCGTGAAACTGGACTGAGAAGGTACACAAGATACAAACGTGCGCCTGTAATATCAGATTGAAGCAAGACGTGCTAAAGGATATGCTGGAACTTGAATGCACCCTACTATTGCCATCCGTTCTGAACGTCCAAACGATTGCCATAAATATCCATATCTGAGGCGTATTCTGTGGAAAATTCCTGTTCGCCCATGTAAATGCCGTATCCATATTCATTATCATGCATCGGATATAGAGCGTCGAAATCATCCATGGCAGAAGTATTGGGAAAGTCAAAGGTCGTCAGTGAGGTGTCCAACATGTTGCTGGGGAAACCCATGGTGTCGTTGTGCTCCAAGAGTGTGGTATTTGCTGCGATATTTGAATAGCTGATCGAAGATGGCAACCCATCGGAATTTGCAGGTAGTCGATCCATTGGTTGGCCATGGTACTCGTTTTGACCATCTGGCTGGCCCACGAGCGATTCTTGTAACCTCAAAAGCTTCGAAGCATGGTCTTGTCGCAACGTTCGCTTCCTGTCCTGATCCATAGAAGCAGTGTCACTCTCCACTTTGCCTTTCCATTCGGCCATCGTCTTCCCATCTTTGAAATGATTTGAAATATGTGCCTCTCTCAGATCCCAAGTAGCAAGCTCGTCTCCGCAAAATCCGCACAACCACTCCTTGTCCGCTTCTTGTGCGCTCCTCAAGCTCCGCCATTTGTCCCTAACCTCATCTGGCAGCGATGTTTTGTGAAAATTCTTTGCGTGTTGGCGGAGATGGTCAGGGCGCCCGAACGTCCTGTCAGCTTCGCTTTTCTTAGAGCATTCTAAGATGCGATGCGAGTTAAGGAAATGATCTTCGCTGGGATTGTTCATTTGACAGAATGCACAGATAGAGGTTCTGCCGGAACGTGTAGAAATAGTGAGGCGTGGACCTGTAGCGAGACATGTCCATTGATGTTTCGGTCGGTGTTGGGTCTCTTCGTGGCGACGCCATGACTTGGGCGCTAGACGTAGGAAGCAAAAGGTGCACTGCCATGTTTGCTGTTCCTGTGTACCAGTGTTGGATGATGGAGTAGCCGGTGTCTTTGTCATATTGGATTCGTCGATTGGTGAAACGGTGTTCATGCGTCGATAATCCTTCTTCTTGCCGCGTCTCGAAGTCTGCAATGCTAGCTGAGGCTGATTAGAAGCAGATATCCCGGAAACAGGTGTGTAGTATGGATCGCTTGATGGTGTGTCATAGCGGATCACAGGGCTCGTCGTGCAGCTTGGTGTGTTTGTGATGTTGGAGAAGTCTGACTCGTATGCGCCTTCATCCCCCGAACTTCCCTGAGACACGTCATTCAGCAGAGGCAGGTTGCGTGCCCTAGTGTTCGTGAACCATGTTGTGACTTGTTTTTCAGTGATGCCACATGCTTCGGCAAGCGAGCGCTTCGTATCAGAATTAGGATAAGGATGGTCTCGATTTGCTTTGAGCCAAGCACGTAGCTGATGTAAAGCATGAGGTGGAAGCTTAGTGTGTCTTCGGGCGCAAGAACGTCTAATTGTAGGCTCCTGGATGGGCGATACAGGAGAGAGAAAATCCGGGTCTTGAGCACACGAAGGACATGCGGCAGATGTTTGTGGATCGATTGCGTACGCAATCTCACAGGCTGAACACCGAGCTTTACTTCCACTTTTAGATCCATGCCGAGTATGTGATTCTTGTGGGATCTCCAGTCGTGGCACAGCTTGTTTGCCTTTTGGCTGAGTCGGGAAAAGCTTTAGTTCCTCTGGCCTTACAAAGTCCTTGCTCTTGCAGTCATCACACTTGAGGCCTTCTCCTGGGTTCGTGATGTTCCATAGCTGGCATGTGATGCATGTGTTTACATAATCCGCAAGTGCTGGTACGGGCAGTGTGTTTGTCGACAGGTCTTTACTAGTAAAGACGTTGACCCTGGTGGTAACCGGAACGATTGGTGATTCAGATCGCCTTAATCGCAATTTATCTTCGATATGTACATTCCAGAAGTTGCTACGGAATCCTAGGCTGCTGAGGCCAAGCCCGACTGATTGTCGAGGGGGTGAGCCGGGCTCCGAAAGCAGCTGAGGGCTATCAGCATTGCGAAACAATTACTAACAATAGCGTTGAGACCGCTTACATGGACCTGTTCGTCGTCCTCTAAAGTGTTTGACCCATACCCCGAGTCGAAAGACCATATGCTTGGAGCTTTGCCTTTTGGCGAGACGTCGTTCGGAGAAAGCATCGTGGCCACTAGTGACAGTCGTCGTGGATGAATGAGCGCTGGCGTGGTGAGTTCGGTGAAGCCGTAGCTGAACACTGAATCAGAACCAAGCTGCGAGGACGAACCTGTACATATTCGGTTTTGCGCGACGACCCAGTACACCCAGCTGGCCGTCCTGAGTACCAGGGTGTCAGTGGCTGTTGGGGGCCTTACCATGCGCCTCAACCTGTGGCGCCAGAACAATCATTGGCTGTGGATTTACCTCAGCGCAATCACGACTGACTGCGCCTCAGGCCAACCTTGATGCATGATGGCAGCGTCCATTTCGAGCGATTTTGGGGTCAAAACTAGACGCTTTGAGATGCGGCGCTTGGGCATGTGGCGGTGTGCTCACGCTGAGGATACTGACCTGCACGAAAAGGCGGTGCGCAGTTCGTGTGAACGGCGGGTCGTGCGGGAGTGAATCCTTGGTATGCGACGAAGCGTCCTGGAAGTCTTTGCAGCTCCTACAGACAGACGTCATGTTGCTGTTATTCGCACATCATGTCGCTCGAGCGTGCCCGCAATCTTTGTGGAGGGGTCGGTCCTGCGAGCGACATGCGGACCTTGCTACGGCGAAGACCAAGAGCCAAACTCCCACAGGTCACGTAGTCCGCATACCTATGATTTCACTCATCGCAGCATATACAGGCCAAATCGTCGTCTCGCGCGGGAGCCGCCGCACAAGCACCATGACGACAGAATCGAAGATGCTGCCAGCGACGGCTGGTTCTGCGGCTCTGCGGGTTGCACCTTGGGGCTGTGCATCGTCGGACTGCGGCACGAAGCGGTCAGCATGAACGCCATCGTTCTGCTGACGTCGGTGTGCACCAGTTCGGATGCGTGGAGGGCGGTAAAGTGTCGCTAGGAGTGTCAGACAGACATTAAGTCGACTATGGGTTGTAGACACGAGGGGTATTCATTTTAGTATCTAAATAATGCCATAATCATGCATGCAAATGCCACACGCAGAGCCGAACAAATGGAGACTCATAAAGGATATTGTCAATCCATTGCATCATGTCCGTATGCATCCAACCCTTTCCGACTTCCCGACTCTCATGCAAAGATTCAAATGCCTCACATCATCTATATGCAATTCTTTCTCTCTGCCCATGCAGCGCGTCTGTCGCACATTTTCCAGGTGGGACTTTCTCTCTTGTCTTGTGAGTGGTTATGAAATAATGCAATATGCCCTCTACTCCATCAGATTTCCCCCTCACCAACGCCTCCACGACACCAAGGATGGTCCAGAACTTGGCTGATAGTAATCCTCTTCTCGACATCCCGATCAAGCATCAGGCGTACAAGGTCGATGCTCTCCTCGCTCATGACCCAAGGCACTCGCAGGTCGTGATCCATGATCTCGTCTATACTATAGAACGGGTTCTCTTTGTAGATTATGGTGTAGAGCAGGATGCCCAGAGCCCAGACGTCTTGCTCTTTACCGCGGTACGCGCGGCCCGCAAGGACTTCGGGAGCGGCGTAGTCTGTTATGTTGTTAGTATGGGGAATGTAGGACGGAGAAATGGGGGCAGAGCCTACCAATAGTGCCTACAAAGACGTCGAAAGGTCCACTTTTGATATACGCTGCGCTGCCGAAGTCAATGAGCTTGATATTACCTTCCCCGTCTAGCACCACGTTTTCGTCCTTGATGTCACGGTGCACAACCTTAGCTTTGGTGTGCAGATGATGTACAGCTTCGGCAACCTGGATAAAGATCTTGCGGCATTCCTTTTCTTCCATGTTGACACGAAGTTCGATGTAATCGAATAGGTCCATGCCAGGCAAGCCATGAGGTACCATCTCGATGTAGTAGTTTGTGTCGTCCTCGAAGAAGTCAGACATTTCCACGATGTTAGGATGCTTGAAGCCGTCTCGCCTTAGATAATCTAGAACGTGGATCTCAAGAGGAACGGTGCCAAGTCGTCGATCGCGCGTCCATGTGTCGACCAAGATGCGGCGCTTTGTGACATACTTGATCACCACTTTCTTTCCATTGTTCTTCTTGAAACGACACAGCTTGACCTGCCCGTAGGCACCTTGACCCATCTCTTCAAGGATAACAAAGTCGTTGATGGTCTTCTTCGTGGGCGGTTCGTCCTTCTTGGCGGGGACCGCCGCCGGCGGCATAGTTGAGACTGGCGCTTTCGAGTTATCGGCTCGTGCAGAGTCTTGTATTTGTCTTGTTAAGAGTGAAACAGGTGGCGTACTTGATGAAGATGCTGAGTTATCAGATGAGGGCTCGTCGGGGAAGTTAAGATTCGACTGTCCAGGCTCAGGTTGGCGAGGCGGTGTTCCAGGTCGTGACATGAGAGGAGTCACAGGACCGATCCCATGGTTTGCAGCGTGCAGCTGCCTAGAATACGTTATCCAAAGAGCGTATACCAGCTCTGGACCCTTGTTTTGTTTCGCTGGCACGTCTTCCTCTTCAATTACATTCTCATCAAAGCGTGGCGTCTTTTCACTCTTCACGACTCGCATCTGCACATCGACCATGATATCTGAGCCGTCGCGGTGGAGCGCAGGCAGCCCGCTCGGCCGCAAGAAAATCGCGGCGGCGTCAGCACTGCCTTCTCGCATAGCAAGCAATGCCCGGGCGCGTCGGAAACTGTGTTCAGGGATGACTATACCGTCGACCAACTCGATCTTGTCCTCGTCGGTCATTACATGCAGTATCTTATCGAAAGCTGGGATGAGTTTGCTGACGTGAATACCTTCAGGTCGCGGCTGCCCGAATAGTGCGGAGGAAAAGACCGAGTTGGAGCTTGTGACTGTGAGGTCGGATGAGGAAAGCACGATGATGCCTGCGATGTGAGGGAAGCTCGAGACTCGGAATGTCAGCTCTCCAGGCAACGCCTCGACTGTTACTGGAATATTGATACTGTTTGATGTTCGTGCGGTGTAGCTGAGCACGTCTGCAATCTCGTCGTAATCCAAGCCACCTGTGTTTGTGCCTTTGAGGCGTGGAATGCCGGGTAGTAATCGCTTGAGATCCATTCCTCTCCGCAACCGATCGCTTCCGAATACCGCGTCGATGGCGCCCCAGCCCTTGGAAACGCATCCAACCTCGTCAACATTGATGAACACAACGTCTTCTGCGATTTCTTCGAGCACCCAGATGAGGCCGCCTCTTTTCTCTTTGACCCACAAGCTGGCAGAACCTGTTGCACCATTTCGCTTCTGGATGGGAATGACGTCTCCACAAAGCAAGACGCCTCTTGATCCTTTCGACTCGTGATTCAGTTTACCTGTTTTCTTGGCATTGTAGTATGAAGATCCGCTGCCGTCATCCGTCTTAGCCTTCCTAGCCGCCACTACGCGCGATGAGGGCTTGCTCAATAAACGTGCTGTAACACCGCCGCCAACTTTCATATTCGTGGATGGGCTCAAGGCCGGGGCCTGGCCATCTCGCGGTGTGTTGGATCCAATGTCTGGATTCCTCAACTTGTCTTCGAGCCACTTTCTGCGATCTTCTCGCACGACCTCGAGGATGCCCAGCTTACGGACCTCAGCTCTTGTGACACCGAAAACTAGGCATGCTAAGTCGTTTGCCGATGTAATGGTCCATGGCGATTGTGCTTCGGTGGTAAAGATGGCTTGCGCGGCGGGAGCGTGTCGACTGCCGTGACCGTGTGGTGCTGACCCTGCCGAGTGTGGTCCCGGGACATTGCTGAAGCTCGGCTGTGCAGCGGGAATGGATGAGGGGGAGACCAGGTGGTTGACGTGACCTAGGTCGGCGATGGAGTATGGCTGTGCTAGGACATCGTTGAGCTGGCTCTGTATGGTGAGAGGCGCCACATCAGTGAGGGTGCGCTTCAGTGCGGCACGTTGAGGTCGCCGAGGTGGCGGCGGAGACGAGTCCCTTGCTTGTAGGCTTGACGATTCCGACGCTACCTCAATGGCTGGACTGCTCAGCGACTCAGGAAGTTCACTACTGGGGCTCGCGACCTGTGTCGTTGTTGCTCTGTGTACGGGCGGCCTCGCAGCCTCTAGCATGCTCTCAGGACTGTGGGATCTGTCGGCAATGGAGAAGTCCTTGTCAAAGAGGTTCTCGCCAGACATGTCCGCGGGGCCAGTGATGGGTCCTAGAGCACCCAGGCCATGTGCGCCAGCACCGTCGTGGCCTATCAAGTTTGCCCTGCTCAGCAGCTCCATCATGCTCTGCACTTCCTGGTCGCCGCTGAGTTTGGCCTGGGCGTTTGCTATGCCTGGGTTCGTAGCGGCCCACCCCAGCCTGTCCCGCATGAAGTCTATGGACCGCTTCAGCACATTTTGACGGTTGTGTATAAACTCCTCCGACTGCGTCGCAAACGAGAACGAGTGTAGAGACCTGCAGTCGATCAGCCAAGATTCCCAGACTCGTGGACCACGACAGTCTTACTCTGAGGGGAACCTCAAGAGGTCCTCGCCAAAGGCAAACGCCGGCGAGCCTGGCGCGGTGGGCGCGGTAGGCGCGGTATCGGAGGGGTGCCTCGAGACGGGCGGCGTGGCAATATTCAGTGAAGTTGCGCGCTGTGTTGAGGGCGGCAAGCGTGAGCCTCCCTGCTGGCGAATGCGGCGGAGACCAGACACGCCCATGCCATGCTCATGCTCGGGGACGATGGGCGACCTGGGGCGCATGTGTCAGCCACTGCACAGCTTGCATGTCACATACACGTCCGCTGGCTGCCTCTCTGGCCACCCCGCCATGCACGTACAAAGCACGCATACTAACCTTGTCATGCGTTCCAGCTGCCCCGCGTCGAAGCTCATACGCTTCCCCGTGTCTATCGCTGGCGGGCCCCGCGCCCTCAGCAGGTTCGAGGTGCTCTGCGTCTTGGACAGCGGGACATAGTCGGGCGAGTCGTGGAACGTCGGCAGGGCATCGTAATGGACTTCTTCGGGTTCAGAGCCTGGCGGAACAAGCGTGTCAGCGAGCGCGTCCATGCGAGGCCGGAGGAGAGTCGGTGGTGGTGTAGGTTTACATGAGGGAGTCACATCTTCACGTGGGCATGGTGGGGGCGGTGAAGCTGGCATGAGCAATTGCTGTCGCGCGGGAAGGCGTGTCGTTCCTCCGTACACTGCCAGGCGTAGACACGGTGCGCGTCACGATCGACTGTGCTGCGGCGGCTGTGTTGCAAAGCGTCTTTGCGGGGACGTCTGGGCGCGGAAGCGTAGGGCGAGGCTGCTGTGGCTGTAGTATGAAGCGTAGCGATGCGGAACGGCGGTCAACACTAGCACTGGGCGTCGCGAGGGAAGGATACTGGCATTGATGTGTGTCTATACGCTGCTGCAACCAAAAAGCGCACTGGGGACGAGAGAGTCTTTGCATCGAGACCACCTGCACGCCTCCGCACGTTTGCCCCGCAGCACAGACTCCCACCTCCCGTCGTAGTCGCCTCCACGCTCCATGCGTCCTAGATCTTCGCCATCTCACGCGAACAAAGCAACAAGCACCCGTGGTACAATTCGCATGCCGACGTCATCAGCGACCATCATCAGTCGTCGGCGACGCTCGAAGCGACATGTCGCACCAAAGTCGCTGACAACACGCGCTGCTGGAACCTTTGCGGACGCCTCTGTCTGACAGCGCCGGCAAGCGTCCGTTAGCAGCCTTGACATGTGTTTCTACCCTACAGCTCATACATGTCAATTGCATGCGCCCCCGCTACACCTCCCTCAATCGATCCATGCCCTCCACGCTATTTCAGATTACGGACCCTGTGCCCAAGATTCATCGACAGCTCATCATGTGTACCATGTTGCACTTTGTTCGCATCCAGAGCCTCTCTCGCGTACCATACAAATTGATTTTCCGTTGCTGTGCAAGTGAGCGCTAGGTCCATCCTCGTACTCCCCGCGGGCCGTCATTGGCTGAGGATAACATACCCTTCGCGGACGCTGATCACCACGTATACGGGCCGCGAGCCCGACACACTGCAGCTCGTCGCTGACGAGGGACCATGAATGGGCTCGGAAACGCGAACAGTATCGCATCTACATTGGGCTGTTACATCGGATTGCAAGCTGGTATCATCATTCTGTATGCGACGTACTCCAGTGTGTGCTTGACCCATTCATCGTTGTCGAAGAGCTTCCTTGTGTTGGTTCCAGAAGTTCCGACATCCTAGTGACAGTCGGTCAGTACTTTGTTTTCTTGCGGCAGTGAAGCACACACCTCGATGCATGTTGACCTGATCGATCCACCACTCTCCAAAGCTGTCGTCCGTGGCCATGTCTGTTGCAGTGACTCGTTCCTCTCTCTTCAGACCGCACATCATGCATGGCTGTCGTGCGGGTATGCCACCTTCCGATTGCTTCAACGTCTTGACGGGCATCGTCTCCTGGAGGTCTGGCACTAGACCAAGTGTCCCAGCCTTGATTTGGTTTGTACCAGACACCACGTGTCGAAGTCGTCCAACCTGCTCTTTCCACACTCTCACAACATCCGAAGTCTCCCTCTCCTCTTTCATGTTTTCCCCTCTATCGATGCCCGTGAGCTTCATGCCTGATGTTGCCCGTGAAGATGCGGGACCAATGCGCATGCCCTGGGATAGATGCTGATCACGTTTCCATCGTAGCTTTCGACCCGCAATGATGTGCGCGGCAACGTTTGCGAGCACGAGGTATCCCTGCAGATAATTGATCGTCGCTGGTTCAGCCATAAGCTTGTTTCTCATTGGCAATGTCTGTGCAGCCATAGGCTTGAAGAGCTTTTCCTGTGCATCTGCGAATAACGAAGGGAACAAGGATAAGAGCACACCAGGAGGCGGTACATTGGTTGGCGGTAGCTCCCCAGGCTGTGGATCTTCAATGGTCGGAGACAGTATGGGTACAGGACTTGCAGCCCCCTTCTTAGTCATTGCGTTTTCTGTGACTCTCTTACTTGAGGTATTCGCTGGCGTCTTTGTGGGAATAGAGGCCTCCCAATCATCGAATGTGTCCCAACCATCATCTTCTGTCTGTGGTGCTGATTTCGTCCCAGGTTGCTTCGGGTTCGTCATCTCACCGAACGCCCCACCGCGACTTTTCTTCCTTGTTGATTGACTCAGTGTAGTAGGCTTGTTAATACTAGTCCTCGTTCCGATGGATGTCGAGGGCTTGGGCTGCGATACACTCAAATCCCCGAGCAAGTCAACGAGTCCGGAGGACTGACGGCCTACCACTGGAGCATCGGCGTTTGAATCGACACCCTCAAAGTCTCCAAAATCGTCATCATCATCCAAGTCGTCTTCTGCGTCAAATAACACGCTCGGGTCTACTGATTTCTTCGCTTTAATTATGGGCGCTTTCTTCCATAACCTTTCGTCAGGCCGGCTTGGTTGCTTCAGATCAAAAGCTAGTGGATCTTGGATGTTCGTTGTCGTGGACCCCGTGCTCTGCGGTAGCTGTGCAGTCAATGTTGACGCGATTGCGAACGGGTCCTGGCCTGCAGAAGACGCGGGCTCAATTGTTGCAGAATCACCTTCGAAATCGCCCCAATCATCATTGTCATCGCTTGCGTTCTCTAGTGCAGTCACTGGTACAAAGTTCTGGAACTGTTGCTGTTGGTATAGTGATTGCGGCTGAGCCACTGGGGTTGGTGTTGCGTCCAAGCTGTCAAAGAAGCTGAAGTTTGGTGGCGGTTGTTGTGCCGGTCTTGCATTTGAAATCGGTTGCTTCCCTTGACTTGCAGTCGATTCTGCTGCAAACTCTGCGAAAAGATCCGCTGACATGGCTCGAATTGCACGGTGACGATGTGAGAGCGAGGAGTGATGCAGCTGGTAGATTGGCAAGGCGCGACCACGCTAGCCCTGAAGCTAACCACAATCTAGAAAGTGCTGCACACCCTCAATAATTACTCTTCATCACATCCACTTGAGGAACATACATAGCGTGCTGGAGGATGTGTTGACTCTGTCGCACAAGAGATAGAAACGAGTGGCTACAGAAGCTTAAGGGAAGAAGCAGCTGGCTGGAGATGCGGCCCCCGTTTCGACTTCGACCCAGTACCACCTGTTTACCCCTCATCGTGAAGTAAAAGTTGACAGAAGCCCATACACATACACCCGCTCGGTGTGCGATTTCATGTTGCATGGAGCTGATTCATGATGTCTTTTCTCTCGATGCTCTTCGCGTCTCCACCGGCTCCCGTGTTCACGTCCTCCTGCCTCATTGACCTCTCCTCCAAAATCTACATCATCACCGACACCTCTTTGCCCAGCAACATCTCCCTGGCAAGAACACTGTATAATCTACATGCTACAATCTACATTGGCCTATCCTCCTACGACACTATCGACATCCTGAAAGCCTCCTGTCCAAACTCCAAAGGTCATCTCAAACCCTTCGTCTACGACCCCTCCGATCTCGCCAGCGTCAAGTCCGCTGTCGACAATTTCTTGGAAAACGAATGGCGTCTCGATGTGCTGTTTGTCAACTGCAGCAATGAATTCCTCCCCTGCTTCGTTCTTGTAAAACTCCTCATGCCTATACTACAAACCAGCGCGTCGCATTTCTGCCACCCTAATTCATCAATCCGTGTCATATGGATCTCCGAAGAAGACTCAGCACAGGCCAGCTGCGATCAACTCTACTTCCTCGCGCAGGAGTTCTCACGGCGTAAGCAGTGTCCGAAGCTGAATGATTCGTATGCGCACACGTTGCCGAACAGCAATCCCTCGGGCGTGCAGCATGTCCTTGTGGATCAGCGTCGACAAGGCGCAGATCTGCGCCGCTCCTTTGGCCGATTCTTACCTTTTGGTGCGCAACGCACAGAGTATGATGTATGCACGCTGCTGTATGCTGGACTGGCTCCCAGGGTAGCAAGTGGTGATTGGGTAATACCTTGGGGCAGGAAGGGCGAAGTGTCTGAGTTTGTTCGTGCATGTACAGCACGACAGAATGACGAGACAAATGGCGTGGCCGCTGCTTTATTTGAGCATTACGAAGAGAGAACGAGAGTTTCTATGTAAACGCACCCATAACGAAGTCAGTGAGGCAAAGATCATGCAAGACATTCGTCGGTCACAGTATCAAGTCATCAACAAGCACAAGATAATGATTGTCCACCCATAACTTTCATTCAGATCATTTGTGAAGTCTATGGAGGGACTACGCCAGGAACCCTAACCTAATCGTTATGCATGATACATTTCAAAAGTCATCATAGCTTTTCCGAAGCCACCACATCCCCAGAACCAGGTATCTAGAGAAAGGAAAGAAACGAGCGACTCGAAGAGAGCGCGCTTATTTCTTGATAGCCTTCTGGGCAGCCTTGGTGACCTTGCCAGCCTTGTCGGCCTTGACGACAGACTTGATGACACCGACAGCGACGGTTTGACGCATGTCACGGACAGCGAAACGACCGAGAGGAGGGTAGTCAGTGAAAGCCTCAACGCACATGGGCTTGGAGGGAACCATCTTGACGATGGCAGCGTCACCAGACTTGATGAACTTGGGTGAGTTCTCAACAGACTTTCCGGTACGGCGGTCGATCTTCTCGAGGAGCTCGGAGAACTTGCAAGCAATGTGGGCAGTGTGGCAGTCGAGAACTGGTGCGTAACCGGCACCGACCTGACCAGGGTGGTTGAGGACGATGACCTGGGCGTTGAAGGACTCGGCACCCTTGGGGGGGTCGTTCTTGGAGTCACCGGCAACGTTGCCACGACGGATCTCCTTGACGGAGACGTTCTTGACGTTGAAGCCGACGTTGTCACCGGGGACACCCTCGACAAGCTGCTCGTGGTGCATCTCGACGGACTTGACTTCGGTGGTGACACCAGCGGGGGCGAAAGTGACGACCATACCGGACTTGATGATACCGGTCTCGACACGACCGACGGGAACCGTGCCAATACCACCAATCTTGTACACGTCCTGGAGGGGCAGACGGAGAGGCTTGTCGGTAGGACGGGACGGGGGCTCAATGGCGTCAATAGCCTCGAGGAGGGTCTTGCCGGTGGCCTTGGTCTTGATCTCCTTCTCCCAACCCTTGTACCATGGGCAGTTGGTGGAAACGTCGATCATGTTGTCGCCGTTGAATCCGGAGATGGGGACGAAGGGAACGTGCTTGGGGTTGTAGCCGACCTTCTTGATGAAGTTGGAGGTCTCCTTGATGATCTCCTGGTAACGGTCCTCGGACCACTTGGTGGTGTCCATCTTGTTGATGGCGACGATGAGCTGCTTGACACCGAGGGTGTAGGCGAGCAGAGCGTGCTCACGGGTCTGACCATCCTTGGAGATACCAGCCTCGAACTCACCAGTACCGGCAGCGATAATGAGAATAGCGCAGTCAGCCTGGGAGGTACCAGTGATCATGTTCTTGATGAAATCACGGTGACCGGGGGCGTCAACTAAGTAAAGTGTTAGCAATAGAGTTCGTTAAGAAGTGAGTTCATCACGCTGCTTGCTTTCTTGCTTGTTGTCTTGCTACTATGTCCTTGTGTTTCTGCTTGTCTTTGTGCCTCTTCAGATCAGTGCTGCTGGTGCAGGCTTTGTCGCATGGCGCGCAGTAGTGAACGCGGTTCGCGATGGCGGCTTCACGAGATGCTCTCCTGTTCAGAGCAGCAGCTGAGAGCGGCTTCAGAACCTTGCGACCCGCTTTCTCAGCATCGAGATGAGCTTTGGTGAGAAGATGAGAGTCCAAGGCGTGTTGGGTGGCGGCGTTGTGATCACACACCTCGCATCGGAACCGCTGAAGGTCTTTGGCTTTGTTCCGGACATCGGCAGCGATCTCATTCACTCTGCCAGGGTTGCGTTCGCTCCAGGCCTGATGTTGCGCCAAGTTGTTCTGCAGGTAGAGCTCTTCATCCTCCTCACGCTTCCTCTTGCGACAGCGTTGGGTCTTTGCTACATTGCGCTGGAGTCGGAGTTCATGAGCAAGGACAAGCTCTTCCTCGGTGAGCTCAAGGTCTGCTCGGACGCTCTCAGACAGCGAGAGGTGAGTGCAGCCAGGCTTCCAAGTGACTTCAGCTCGAGACCAGAGAAAGAAGTCAGGAATGAAGACGTCATCCATGATCATCTTGACGCAGGCGCAGAAGATTACAGCAAAGACTGACTCCAATGCTAGAAAGCGGGCCCGGAGTCGAGGAACAAGCTGAGGAGGGGGCAAGGGGGTCCAGCACAACATCCCAAAACATAGGGAATAACCCTGATTTAGGGCGAGTTTGACGAGGACGGGGATGTTGCCAGAACCTGTCAGGTACCCGGTGTGTCGACCTTGAACCCCAGCACTTGCACTGGTCCCAGACCCGATGTAAAGAACAGGCTCTAGCTCAAGATGTTCGAGGATGAGAGCGTAAACAGCCCAGAGCTTGGAGGCAGGAGGCTTTGGAAGGCGTCGAAAGAAGTCGAGACCAGGAGGCTTGCTTGAAGAGAGCACCTCAGCTAGACCTGGAGCGACCTGAAGAGGTGCGTCGCGGACCACGTATATGCCCACTGGGACAGCGATGCGAAGGCTACCTTGATGTCTGGGTTGATGTACCAGGAAGGAAGATTGAGGTTCACCAGCTGAAAGCCAGCAGCGTCGATGTGTGACTCAATGGAACCGTAGCGAGCGTCGTAAGGGTCCTCCATGGTGAAGTCTTGAAGAGGCAGAAAGACAGAATGTAGGCAGGATGCAAGCTGGATGCAGCCGACGCAGAAGCTGAACAAAGGTGGGATGCTGGAGGATGAAGCCAGAACACAAGAGCAGAAACAAAAGGCATCCTCCAGGTCCTGAAGCGGCAGCAGCATGATGCTGGAAGGAACATGCTACACACGAAAGCAAGAGCATCGTGAAGCAGCAGCAACAGCATCATGCGTGACAGCAAGAGCAGCAAGAGCATCATGAGCATCATGAGCGACAGCAAGAGCGTCATGAGCAACATGGAAGGAGATAAGAACAAAGAAAAGGTGCAAACATACTACAACATGTTAGCATCGTGAAGCACAGGAAGGTAAGGGTAAAGGCACTGACCTGACGGTTACATAGTAACGAGGAGTTTCGAACTTCCAGAGCGCAATGTCAATGGTGATACCACGCTCACGCTCGGCCTTCAACTTGTCAAGAACCCATGCGTACTTGAAGGAACCCTTGCCGAGTTCTGCGGCTTCCTGTGAGTGTTGTTAGCAAGATGAAGTTTAGCACGATGAAGTTTGAAGCGAGCGAAAGAACTTGGCAGGCAAGGCGCAGACGCGCTTCGCGATTTTCGTGTCGAATGTGCGTCATGGTGTTGAGTTGGCGAAGCCCCGAAATGGACTAGCGCTGGTGCAGGAAAAGTTCGCACACCCCACCATGGAAAAATGCCCCTCTTTGCGATAAGCCAAAAATTGGCTGCACGCTCAAAGGAAGCACCTGTGCCTGCAGATTGCCGGATCGAAAGAAATGGGTAACCGTACCTTCTCGAACTTCTCGATGGTACGCTTGTCAATACCACCGCACTTGTAGATCAAGTCTGTATACCAATGTGAGCTGTTGTGACCCCGCTTCGTGTGGAGGGGCAAGGCTTACGGCCGGTGGTGGTTGACTTTCCGGAGTCAACGTGGCCGATAACGACCACGTTGATGTGCATCTTCTCTTTACTGAGGAGGTTGTTAGCATACTGTGTGTCATGATGTGGTGGCGCGGCTCGAGGCACGAAGCCAGCAGGCTGACTTACCCCATGATGGCGGTTGTGTGTGTTTTGGTTTATGTGGAGGTTGAGGTGAAGTAGGTTGAGTGCTCTGCACGCAATGTCAGTGGTGGTTGAGAGTAAGAGGCAGGCGTGGTTGACTAACCAGATATACAGCTCGTGTATGGTGTGGGCGACAAGGCGAGAAATGGGTGTGGAAGGGAGGGCAAGAATATAAAGAGAGGCGGGGTGTGCCAAGGAATCCTAGCGCTAAAATTGTCGGGCTACGCAACGCAAAAACTCTGCTGGCAACGCCCAAAGGCCCCAGCCGGGATCTCTCACCTGCGACGTTTCAATGGCAAAATAGGCAGCCAGGCGCTGCAATTGGCTCTTTGGGCCCTAGCCTCTGTGACCGCCCTCTAAATCCGTTGCCACAGCCGCATCTGCGACTTCATCATGCGACTTCTCGGACACCACCGCGTCACGGCCACAATCAATAATTTTACTTAATTGGAGATGATAATTCGGGGCCTCTGTCCTCAAGCCTTCCTTTGTATTTGTTCGATATGCTCTAAAATTACAATGTAACCAAGCCACCCACCAGTCGTGTTGTGGAGGCAACATTTGCTATTGCAAAGAACTTTTGGCGGGGTACTTGCCATCATAGCCCCACTATCCTTTGTGTCTTAGTTTGACGCATTTCAATAGACCTGATTCGACTTTGCCATCTTCTTCATGCCGCCCAGAACATGCACAACACCGTATCCAAATTTGCGTTGCCGCTGCTACCCATTGCCTTCCAATCACTTCGATGAAAAAAGCAGGCACTCATTGACTCACAGTTGCATACGTCTGCCGGCCCCCCCATTTACCGCCCTACCGCCCTTTCTAGTCACCATCACAGGCCAAGCCCCGCCATCATGATGGTCGACGCAGCCAAGGTTTCGAGAATGAAGGGTATGGAATGCCGTAACTGATTGTGATTGCGAGATGACCTCGATCAAAATACTGGGACCACCAGGCAGCGGCAAAATTCGTGCCCGCTCTGCACCTAGACGACAGAAGCTACCATTCTTTAGTAGCATACTTAGTCGAGCCTGAAGGTATACACAGGTTTAAGATACTCTAGCTGATTCTGTTAGAAGTCTCTGAGCATGTACAGGCTACCTCTCAACCTCTTCTCCTCCTCTCGTCAGGAAACGGTGGGCAGAAATTTGGTCAATGCCTGGTGGGACAACTCTTGAGGCTGACGGTACTCTGGAGGCCTCCGAGTATTATCAATGTTTGGCCCTCTTTTGCGCGCCGGCGCTTGACCTGCTTGTAAGGTCTAATGCTATTTGTGAAAGGCGTTTCAAGTAGACGGGCAGCCTCGTTACAATGCTGCTCAAAATTCTGCCAATTCCGGTATGCGTCATTTGGGCGTCATTGATAATTGCCCTGCCTGAGACTACTCCATATCGACGAGCAGTTCATTTCCCGAGCTATATTTATACCCGAATAACTCACACGTATGACAAGAGGGTAAAAATTATCTTAATCGTATCCTATCTAGTCCAGAGTTGCTATGAATCGGTCAAGATATTGGACAGTACCTGCTCTCGAGCGCTTCTATGCAACTTACCTCAGGAGTATATGGCTTTGGGCGGGCTTCTTCATGCTGGCCGGAGAACTTTGGATACGTTGGTGTCATACCTGCTGTGCGGTGGCCAGCAACGAGAGAAGAGCAGGAGTTGAGTCAAGAAACAGCATATCTGCGAGAGGAGGTTAAATAACGGGTCCTTGGTGCTGATCATGTTATGTACACGCTCAGCTCCACCTACCTCACGTACCAACACTGCCGCACATCCACTTATGAAGACCCTGGTGGTTCATACGAGAAACAGAAAGCTGGATTGGGGCCTGTCCCCGTGGAGAATAATGGCTTTAGCCTATCTATATTGGAGACTTCCCCGCACTGTTGCCTTTCCGGGTGTTGTTTTCCAAGGCGATGCAGCTCAAGCCACGCTCCACAAACAGGGACGTCCACACAGCTACGATGCGAGATCTTCGGAGACAAGCAATCTTCCCCGACAAAGCTGCTGAGCTAGACCAAAGTTGATCTAAAAAGCATGGTAAATAACTCATCCGTGAAGCAAGCCCCACTCTGGACCATGCGCTCCGCGTCGGAGCTTGTCACAGAATTCGATTTCAAGATCTCAATTATGATGTCATTTAGATCTTGTCACTTGTTCTTCTTTATTCAGTCTAGATTATAATGCGAACATTCTTCCGGCAGCGCATCGTGCTGACTGCCATATGTTCACAGACCAGAGGGTCAATTCGCGTCAAGTTTAAACACAGACGACTATACTTCGTGCTCGATGTCAGCAACGCGAGGAACTTTGTGCAACCGTAAGCTACAGAATGTCGCAACGAGCTCAATCTGGCCAAAGTCAGTAAACGTAGAGCGCGGAATTCGAGGAGTTCATACGCATTGTTGGATAGTCTCAACATCCTCCATGCTCACTCCTATCCGTCTTGTACCTCGTAGATGCCATGCTGTCTCTCTGGGAAGATTCTGGATCATGATGCCAGAGAGCACCGTGAGCTCAGTCTCCACATCGTTCAGAATACTGTGATCGGACAGGTAAAGCCCATACGTGATCTGCTTACTCGTCCAGTCTAATTGCCGAGTTATAATTGAACACAATCAAAAGAATTGCTTGCCTACCAAAGTCCCGCTGCGAGGCCAGCACGTTGTCGATATTTTGTTGGTTATGCTTGTATAACCGATCTTGCCAGGCGAAGCCACGCTTCGCATTGGCCTCATCGCACTGCCAACCTTCTCTATCACTTCGTCAGGATGTCTTTCGCCTATCCTGTCTCTATCTTCTCATACCTTGAAAAGCTGTAGTCTTTGTCTTCAGCTCGCGTGATCGCATCGATGTCGAAGACTGCCTCTAGTGGTTTGCAGACACCAATGATCACGATCAGCTTGAACAGCGTCTCTCGTATGCGTCGCATCAACCCTTGTCGCTGTTCTGACGTAGTATATTCAGGTCGCTTGATGAGCTCTTTGTATAGCAATGGGGCGAAACCAGGCTGGCCGCCACCAACCATTGCTGCGTACTGCGTCCTGATGAGCATCAAAACTTTCTTGTATGGACTCTCTTACAGTCAAGATGTACCACTTGTCAGATCCAAGCGATTTTGACGGAAATTTCTCCTCGACTGCTTTGAAAAGGGCAAGTGCTTCGTCTTCAGTTGGGTCGCGCGGTATTGGGATCTCGTGACTAGTCATCTTGTCGTCTTCGTGTATTGCCGTACTTCGAGTTCGTTTATGTTGTTTATGTCTTGGTCGTCAAACTTCACTCTTTTCCAGTTGGTAGTAGATGGTGAGACTGAGGGAGCGAATTAGGACGCTTCAATGAAAGCGCCGGATTCGGCGGGGTAGGTACCCCACGCTTTCGGAGAGGGCACGACACTCCCCGAGCTCACTGCCTATCACGCACTACTCGGGTCGATGCATGGCTTTAGCGATCTGGCGCTGGATGAAGACAATGTATGTAACTCCTGACGTGTGGAAGAATGACAACGATCGCAAAGATCCAATACTACCTAACCACGTCGTCGACATCTTCTCCTGTGCTAAACAGCAGACCTTCGCCAGTAAGAAACACTGGTCCAAGGACGCGTAGATAGTCCTCAGCTTCAATATCACAGCGTCATGACAAACATGTCCTCTACCAACATGCTACCGAATGGCAAGCCCAAGACCATTATTGTCACTGGCAGCGCGAACGGCATTGGCGCTCAAACAATCCGCTCCTACCATTCCGCCGGCTGCAACGTCGTCATCGCAGATTTACCCTTCACAAAAGATGCCGCGGAGGCTGTGATTTCCTCACTGTCAGACCCAGGAAGAGCTATGTACCATCCGACCGACATCACCAGTTGGAACGATATCCGAGTTCTCTTTAGAGAGACGAAGAATCGATTCGGTCAAATCGATGTGGTGGTAGCTAACGCGGGGTTGATGGAAAGCAAAGGATTCTTCGAATTCGAGGAAGACGAAGCTGGGGAGTTGAAAGAGCCGGTGGAGGCGTACAAGGTCGTCGATGTCAATTTGAAGGGAACTATGAACAGTAAGCCAAAACAATATGACACTTAAATTATGCTAACAGTCAATAGCACTACGACTAGCCATGCACTTCATGTCTTCCAATCCACCAGACTCTGACGGTGCAAAAGGATCAGTAGTGCTTGTAGCTTCGACGTCAGGGTACTTTGGCGGCACGGGGGTGGTCTCATATATCTCGTCTAAACATGGTGTTGTTGGACTGGCTCGCGCATCGCAACGAAAGGCAAAAGAGCTCGGTGTAAGAGTCAATGTGGTCGCGCCTTTCTTCACACCAACATACATAACCACCGGCTACTCGCAGGAATGGAAGAAGAGAGGATTGCCGGCGAATAGCGTCCAAGATGTTGCGAAAGCGATTATGGAGACAAGCATGGATCCGAGTAAAAAAGGACATAGCATGATGGTAAGGAACGGAACATACATGTATTGATGCGAATGGAGTCATACTAATATTGACTGTAGGTGGCCGGAGGTCTTGTCAGAGAGATAGAGATAGCTAGAACAGCACTCACAAAACAGTGGCTTGGGGAAGAGATTGCAAACACAATGGCAGAAGGTGGAAAGTTCTTTGAAGACATGGGAGGCTACACACTACCAAAGGCACGGTCATAATTTGAACATGTTGTGGACTGACAAAATACTGGCTCAGTCCCCACTCACTATCTATACCTGCCTCTTCGCTACCTTGCAGCCGCGGCCACCCATCTATGCTCACATTCACCACTTCAAAAAGCATATCGTTCTCTGATTTGAACCGCGTGTACTGCTCGTCCACCCGCCCCGGCCCCACGAAGTTGGGAATAACACCTGCAATCTGGTTCTAATCGAAACTGTATAGTCGACAATGAGACTTGAATATCCCCGCCCATCGTTTTGCATAAACCATTGCAGTACAAACCCCGGCCTGTGTGATAAGACGTCGAAAAGACGATCGGCAAACCCGTCAAAGAAAGACTCGCCGTCTCAGAACCCGCAAGCAACCCAAGTCAGTATTTGAAACCCAGTATACTCCTTGCGCCTCCCTTCCCTCACCAAACAAGCTCCAACAAAACCGTGACCTTTCCTCCAACATAGCACGCTCAAGAAGAACTTAATAGCCAAACTCGAGATCACAAGCTCAGCGCCAAAAGTCACGATGCACACAAAAAGAATTGTTGATAATGATTAATTCCTCATATTACTAGTATTCAAAGGAACGTTTTACTCAAGAAGAATTACTACCTTTCATACCATACGCACGCTGCGCTTCCCTTGCGCATAATGATCCATATCCCAAGAGTTTCCCATGTCTAATGAACAAACGAAATAATGAAAGTCTAATAGGTGTTCGGTCTTGAAAAGACATAAAAAGAAAGAGAGCGAGAGCACGACTAGAAGAAGCCCTTCTTTTGAATGTTCGCAAAAGTCGCCAAAAAGCAGATATTGTAAAACACGGAAGAATAGAGGTTATTCCGTTGGCGCCGAAACAATGATGGTGGAACACAAGAGATGATGAAATGCCGAGAACACGCTATGCAGAACAAATGAATACACACAAACACACACAGACAACACACTTCCCATCTCCCTCATCACATCGTCTTGGGCCACTTGACGCCAGCCAACAACTCGGCGCCTTTGACCTTGTATCCAAAGTCCAAAATCAAAGTGCGCCCATCCTGACTTGTCGCGACGACGCGTCGGTAATCGCTCTTGGCCGAGAGAATCCAACTCGTCGTCCAGTTCTTGTATGTGGCATAGAGCTGGCCAGATTCGTAGTCGCTAACTTGAATGCTCTGGTCGTAACTGCCGGATACTATGCGGCCGTTGAAGGCATCCAGGAACAGGGATCGAACGAGGCCCTCGTGCTTGACGCGGCTGTGGACGAGGTTTCCAGTAGATGCGTCAAACTTGTATACAACGTGATCGTTACCGCCGGCCAGGACGTACTTGGCGTCGTCCGAGAACTCAACGGCGGCGAGACCTCTATCCTCGCTGGGGAAATCCTTGATGCTCTCTCCGGTTTCGAGGTTCCAAAGCTTGGCAATTCCGTCACCAGATGCAGAGACGAGGAAGTTGCCACGAAGCTGGACGGCGTTGACGGGGCCGCGGTGACCCTTGAGTGTGCGGATGCAGTTTCCAGTCTTGCGGTCCCAGACCTTGATCATGGCATCCTTGGAGCACGAGATAATGTACTTGTCATCGAGACAGACGTCGAGAACACCAGCCTCGTGGCCACGAAGACGGTGCATGGGGACGAACACGTCGCCGGTGATGTCCCAGACAATGCAAGTGTAGTCGGAGGATCCAGTGACCATGATTTCGGTGTCGTACTGGAGACAGAGGATGGAGGCGTCGTGGTAGTCTGAAGGGACGACGTAGAGGTCGTTGCCAGCCTTGGTTCCGTTCAGCGAGGGGTTGCTGATGACACACTCGTTGCGCTCTTCCATACGTGGAGGCGTGTTGGGAGTTGGCTTATGGTTGGGTCCGCCATAAACCTTGAGGCACTTGTACGTCTTGAGATCCCATACGCGGATAGTGCGGTCACGGGAGCCGGTGATAGCCTTGCTCTCATCAAACTGGCAGCAGTAGACGCTGTCGGTGTGACCGTTCAGGTAGATGGCCGCAGGGTTGCCGGCCTTCCACCTCTTGTTGATCTCAGCCCTAGCCGCGAACATGCTCTTCCACTGCTGCCCAGGCGCTGGGTGACCCTTGACCGACTCGCCAATACCAGAGCCTCCCATCTGAATTGGCTTGGGAGATACATGGACCTCTGGTTCGTACTTTCGGAGGAAGACATTGCGCCAGACGTGCGGCGATGAAGCGAGCTTCTTCCAGCCGCGGGATACGGACTCGGCGTTGACCAGGGATGTTGCGTCGAGGTTGGACAGGACGGCTGTTGCGAGCTCGGCAGGAAGGCGCTCAAACGGGTCACCTAGCGCAGGTTAGCATTGCTGTCTCAGACATGTGACCCAGGGGGTTACACATACTCATCTTCTTCTCTGTAACACTGTCAGCACGGACGATGTCCGAGGCACAGGTCATGTCGACGCCGCTCTCGTTGTCTTTGAATTCATCGTCTAGGCGGATAGAGGTGTCTGGGATAAGGCCGTGGAGGAAGCGATGTGTGTGTTGTTCTTGGGATTCTTCTTCGCGACGAAGTTGGTTTTGACGGTCCAGGTTTGCAGCTGCCGCGGCTTGTCTCGCGGCCGCGCCAGGCAGTGCGGTGGGAGCTGGCGTGTACGTCACGGAGGGAAAGGGCGATGGTGTGGCTTCGGGCATGGTGTTTGCGGGCCGTTTCCGTATGCTGCTGAAACGCTGGAAGGAAAATGGCTTGCGGGCCTGTGATTGTATGTGGAAGGGCTGCATGGTTGAGTCCTGGTGCGGTAGGGGATTGCGTGTTGGCTGTTCGGGGGCATGAGGGCAGCGGGTCGAGTGTGAGGGAAGAGAGTCGACGAAGCTTTGGATGGAGCCCCGGCGCCGAGGGGCGGTGGAGGAGGACGAGGAGAAGGAGGAGAGCCGGCGTCGGCTCTTCTGGCGAGTGAATTGTCCAGTCATGGCACCAAACGCGCGGGAGAGCGAGCTGGAGTGTGAATGCTGCGACGAGGCGTAGCAGTCCATTTGGCCCTCGCTCACTGCGTCCAGCGCCATGCCCGAGTCCTTGACGTCTTGGTAGTGTGTTGTGGCAAACGTCTGCGAAGCGGTGCGCTTCATCGTGTGTCCGCTGGGGGGTGCTTGGCTGCTGCTGCTGCTGCTGCTGCTGCGGGTGTCGTCGTCGGCGGCGGAGGAAGTCTTCGGGCGGTACGACAAGATGGACGGTCTGCGATGCATGGGGGGCGTTGAGGGTGCGTGTGCGGGTGGCCGGGCACGCTGCTACTGCAATGCGACGCTTCTGGGTCGACGTGAGGGCGTATCCGAAACGAGCGGCGAATCGTGCGCAGGGAGAGCCGAAGCAGGAGACGCAGGCGGTCAACGAGTGTGTACGGGCTGGAAAGACAACAAGACAACACGCAGAAATGCAAAGGCGAGGCGGCTACAACGAGACAGTGAGTGTGCACGGCGGTGGGACGAGCCGTGGTCAAAAGAGAGCGTGTAGGGAGCGTCAAATTAGGTCGTCGTTGGAAACAACACGAGACACGGGGTCTGGGTAGGGAGAGACGGGATGGGCGGTGACAGAATCTGGCTTGTCGCCCAGCCTTAAAAGAGAGCGAAGGCCTGCGCAGCCAGGGTGATGCCGATCAACTGCCCACTAGGCGAGAGCCCGCGCATCCATGACTTCGGCCACGACTCGCCGAGAACATGCACCGTCCTATTGACACTACCCCCAACCACGGAACCGCTGTCATAGCCCGCAGAAGACGAGTCTATAACCCACATTCCAGCGCAGCTTCATTGCGAGCACGACCAAGGACCTGAACACCCTGGCACGCACAGCGCAGCACAGCGCAGCACAGCGCAGCACACAGAGCCCGGTGTCATACCCTCTTCACCGCCACATCCATCCCATCTGTCATCAACACCACCACTATGATGACACTCACACACCCCGTCCCCGCATTCTACCGTCTCATCTTCCTCTGGCTGGAGCCTGCCTCCATCTTCACCGGCGCCTTCTATGCACAATTCATGCAGTCCGACTACCTGCACCTGACGCACGCATCTAGTGCTCCAGGCTCCTCGGTCCCAATCTCCACAAGCATTGTCCTGACGCAGCTTGCGAATCTCTATCTAGGCCTGGGGCTCCTCGAAGCATTGGTACTGCGTGCCACCTCGGAGCTGAGAGTCTGGAGGACATTTCTGTTCGTTCTGCTAGTTGCTGACATTGGGCACCTGTACTCTGTGGCTGCTGTGGGGAATTGGGTCTATTGGGATTATTCACGCTGGAACTCGATTGATTGGGGGAATGTGCCATTCGTGTACTTCCTCGCCCTCACGCGGAGTCTCCTGCTGCTCCGTGTGGGCTTCAATCGCACCTCTGATGTCAAGAAGCGCGTGTAATTCATTCTAATGACAAGCGCACTGACACAAGGCCATGTCACTATTAACCATGCGCGACAATCTTAATCTCCCCCATGTCCCATCGTCACAAACACAAAATCAAGCCAACGCACATCCATCACAAACGCCCCTCTGCCACTCTTTCCGATGCATCCGATCCAACACGGCAACGCAACCGATCGTCAAGAACGTGCTAGGCAGATCTCGTCGCCTACCCCAGACCCACTCCAGACCCTGTCCTGCATTCCAAACCTTCCGTCTTGCACTTCTAGCGCCACCCAATGCAATCAAAGCTAATTCACGATTCGCCTTTGTTTCGCACTTATCCGCACCATCCACCTTCACTCCCATCGGTGTTTCGAACCGCCAACAACGTTGCTGAGACTCATGTCGCACCCACCAACAGCTGTAACGTGTCAAAGAGCAAAGGTTGGGATGTTGCCGCCGCTTCGCTGCTTACTTTTGCCTTCCAAGCCCATCGGAAATTTTCTTCGAAGCATGCAGACTCGACTAAGCCCGTATGCGCCGTGCCGAGAATAGCTCCCACCGCCACACGTAACCCCTTTCGGCGCCCAAACGTCATATCGGTCGACCTACCTCGCAAGAAGCTGACGGGAAGAAAAGTAAACCGAGAAAACTTTTTGCTGCAAAAGGATGTTGAGAATGATGACAAGCGCCGACTGTTGAGCTCATGCCTTGCAACTTGCGCGGTCAACACCCAGACGCAAGTCTTACCGAGCTAGACACGCTCCGGCGCAGACAAGGACAAAGAAGGCCGTCGCGATGCGTCGTGCTAGCAGTGCGTGCAGTCAGGGACTCAGGGACCGAGTTTAGTCCATCGCAACCGCACATCGCATGTCGCTTTACGTGATGCCGGGGCAGGCTTCCGGCGGTCCCGTTTCTGTTGAGTTCTGGTGGTACTCGTTGCTATCGGGTTGCGTTCATTGTGCATTGAGAACGCTTCGGCCGGCGCGGTTCGGGCGATGCTAATTGTGGCTGGTGGTACAACAGCGGCACCTCCGAAATGCAAGCAACGTGCATGATCCGGTACGATGCGCTGCAGTTCGGGCTGGGCCGTGTGGTGCATAATGATAATCGCATCATGCTACACGCGGGGTAAGAGTTCGCTTCATTATGGCAGAACACATCATGAGTCACATCAGCATCAGCAAAGCCGTGGGTACTGTGATGGAAACCAAGTTGATTGCAAAATTGGAATCTAGATCTTCCATTCGTACATGGAAAAAGCAATAATGACGCCGTTCCACATCTCACCCACCCGGAAGAGACTGGAGAAACTACATAGAAAGGGGTATACAAAGTCCACACCATATGCAACGACCAAAAGTCAGACCCCCATGACATAAAATATTTTGCCCCCTCTATCACGCCTATCTGGTCATTGCCGTGACCTCAGTAACTCCATATCCACTCGGATAGATAAACACCCGCATGAAACATAAAGTATACAAACGCAAATGGCAAAAGACTATTGGTACATTTGCAAGATGTCTTGGAAATAGAGCCACATTATGACGTCCGAGGACTAAAGAAAGGAAAGATACAAGAAAATGACAGGAGGAGATAGATCGACATCATTAGGCAGTCGTTATCGCAGACATGTCGAGCGAGTTCCCCATGCTCTCCATAGTCTTCTCGAGCGCATCGAGATCCATCATACCGTCACCGTAGGTAGGGAAGAGCATCATGTCGTCATTGTCCATGGGAGGAAGCACCACACCAAGAGTCTGCATATCCGTGGAGAGTTGCATGTTCATTGGGCAGGGCATTGCCATTGAAGCCCATGGCCCAGGCATCTGGCATATCCATGTCCTTGAGATCGAGGTTGATGTGAAGGTTGTCGTTCTCCGAGATATCTGACGTACGCGTCGAAGGCGTGTCTTTTGGCAGAGGAGTCCAGGGCGTGGTCATTGGGGGATGCTGGGTCGCCGACCGGAAAAGGCCCAGGCAGTGTCTTCGTCCTTGAGGTCCAGAACAGTGAATGGACCATTAGCGTCGAGAGCAGCAAAAGTGTCCTCATATGAATAGTCAAGCAATGACATGGACATCAGCGGCTGAAGCTCTTCCTCCTTCTCAGGCTCCGGTGCAGCGGCTGGCTGCTCCTTCGGAGCCGGTCTAGGCATGCTAGTAGGAGTCGCCTTCGCTTGCGCGCTTGCGTTTGGCGTTCCAACCTTGCCCATTGCCTGTGGGGTCTTGAGGAAGTTCGTCACCGGTGAGCTCTTCATCCCTGTTTGTGTGGGGACGCGAGCCATTGGTGTGGCGGCGGTTTGGGCCCCAGCGGGAGTGGCGGCATTTTGCGGAGCATTAGGTGTGTTCTCAGACTTCATGGGATGAGAAGGGCGCGTTGCAGCAGGTGGTGCCTTTGCGGGTCGTCTCGCGTTGGGATCCACTCTCGCCTCGCCCGTCTTGGGATCAACATCCAAGTACTCCGCCATGGAGTCTAGCGCGAACTGGAGTGGGTTCTCGATTTTCATGTGCATTTGACCAACGTGCGAGTCGAGCTCTCCTTGTGATTCGAAACCACGTACCGAGTATTCGCAATCCACAACTTTGCATGGGAACATTAGTCGCTGTGGAGGGGCTTGCTTGCTGGGCGGCTGCTGTCGCGTGAACTCTGGAGAAAGACCCTTGCCTGTTCCGATACGAGGAGATGCTTTGGGTCCTGGTGTCGACGCCTGACTGACATTATCGAGCTTTGTACGCTTCTTGTCTGGAAGCACGAGATTCGTCACGTTCTTTGCCCCATCAAAGTAGGTCGGCGCGCCGCGGGCAGCTTGATCACCCAGTGCGAAGGGCGGTCGGTCGGTGGTAGGAGCCGAGGGAGCCTTCTGTTGTCGCTGCTGCTGCTCAACAATCTTCAAGTTCGCAGCATTGAGTTGCGCTAGTGGTCCGCTGGGGCCTGCAGGAGCTTGGGATTGTGTGCCGTTCTGTGGTTGCTGCTGTTGCGCCATCCTGGATGTGATCTTTGTATAGAATGTAAGCACTGTACGCATGTGCGTCTTGAACTCGTCAGCACTCATGGTGAGTTTATCGTGAAGTGTGCCATCTTGGGGATCGATCTGCTGGAACAGTAGTGCACGTGACTGAGCAATTTGCCGCACGATCTTATCAGACCCTGCGGCCTCGTAGCAGACGTGGTACACGCGCATTGCCTGCTCGAGCTTCTTTAGCTTTTCTAACTGATCTTTGAGTGACTTCTGGAGTGACACTCTTATTTGCGGCTGCAACGGCACATTCTGTCTTTGAGGCATCGAGCTCTCGACCTCTTTGATGATCTGGGTGAGTGCATTCATCCTGACGGGATCATTCATCCTCGTTCTGATTTCTTCGGCGCTAAGCATGGGCTGCGAAGGCTGTTGTGCCTTGTTACCCGCTGCATTAGAAGCATCCTGAGCTTTGAGCAGCTGAGCCCTCATCTGTTGTTGCTGTGCTGGAGTCATCTTTGAGATCTGCTCTTGAGAGAAGTTGATCCCTGCTCCAGACTTGGTCGGGACCATTGCGGGAGCTTGCGGAGCAGCATTGTTGCCAGTCGCATCCATGTTTCCATCAGCTGTATCATCGATGGGTCGCTTCTTGCTGGCGTTGGGCTGAGCAGGCTGCTGTGGTTGAGGTCGTGCAACCGGCTTCTGCTGTGGTGTCGCTTGAGCATTTTGAGATTGTGCGGTGGGTGGTCGGTTAGGCATTGGTTGTTGGGAGGCCATGGCAGCCAGTTGCATTTGTTGTTGCCCTGCGCGTTGCTGCTGAGCAGCTTGCTGCATTTGCATTTGCATTTGCTGCTGCTGTTGCTGCTGTTGTTGTTGTTGTTGTTGTTGTTGTTGTTGTTGTTGTTGCTGTTGTTGTTGTTGTTGCTGTTGTTGTTGCTGTTGCTGCTGCTGCTGCTGCTGTTGTTGTTGTTGTTGCTGCTGCTGCTGGTTGTGTTGCTGTTGTTGCTGTATCCTTTGATGTTGCTGCTTCTTCTGGTTCAAGATGTAGCTACGCAAGGTGTCGTCGGTGACGTTGTTTTGTTGGCCCTGCGCCTGCAGCTTCTGCCGTACGTGCATGATTTCCTGAGGCGTGACTTGGAATTGAGGCATGTTTGGCATATTCGGTTGCGGTTGTGGCGTCCGCATGGGGCCCTGTGGTGTCATCTGTTGAGTTGGGGCGGCACCAGGCATGTTGTTCTGCTGCAGGAGTTGACCAGGTCCGCCACCAGTTTGCTGTCGCATTAGGTCTTGGAAATGTAACGCTTGGAGCAGGATGAGCTTTTCCATGTTGACCCCAGGCAGCATGTTCGGGTTCTGTGTAGCCCATTGCTTGAGTTGACCCCATGTCGTGACCTCAGGAGGTATGCTTGCTTTGATTTGAGCATTCAGTACATTAGGAGGGTACGGCTTCCCGTCCGTAGCATTTATGATTCCGGGGTTATTTCGCAACATGTTATGAGCAGTGGCCAACCGTGCCTGTTGGTTAGGCTGCTGAGGGCGTTGACCCATGGGAGGTTGTGGTACAGCTCCTGGACCTTGTTGTCCGATATTCAGACCTGGCCGTGGCATGTTGGCACCGCCTAGCATCTGATTAGGCATTCCTGGCTGCGGTGCTTGTGGATTGAAGGCTTGCCCCATTTGGGGCCCCATGAAGGGCACCATACCGTTGGTCCGCCGAGCATTGTGCACATAGTTTTGCAATATTGCGCGGAATTGCTGTTCAGGAACTTTTAACAGTTGAGCTTTCACCTGCGGATCAAGATCTTGAGGCATCATGCTCATGCGGACATGCTCCGTCAAAGGCTGGCCGGAATGTGCAACGGCATTGGCTCTCAGCTGTGCCTCTCGCAGAACAGCACCAACTTGCGGATCATTGCCTCCAGGTCGTGGTGTCATGACTGGCACGTGGTTCTGAGGCTGTTGTTGAGGAGTCGGTGGTCCTGGCTGGCCTGGAGGATGCATCGGTCTGTTTAGCATCGACATAGGAGCCGGACTACCACTTGAGGGAGGCAAGTTCAGGCCACCATTGAGACCAAGCAGCTGGTTGGGATTCCGTGGCTGTTGTTGGGCCTGCCGCTGTCTTTGTTGCTCCAGTTGGGCGGCCTGAGCCTGTTGTTGGGCCTGTTGTTGCTGTTGTGCTTGTTGTTGGGCCTGAGCGACTTGCTGAGCATGTTGCTGGCGTTGTATATTGTTCTGAAAGGCGGCCGCCTCAGCTTGACGCTGTGCTGCCATTGCGGGATTTTGGGGCTGAGGCTGTTGCCCATTTGGTCCAGGGAAGCCGTTCATCTGAGTGCCATTCATGTTATTGCTGGCCGGCACGACCATGGCGCCTTGGTCTTGAACGCGCATAGCTTCGATCTGTTGGTTTGCAATAGCAGTGAAATCAAAGTCCTGGTTGGGCTGGCGCTGGTTCATGCCAGCCTGGTTGAGCATACGGTTCTGGCCGTTGGGCTGCATTTGGTTGCCGTTGGCGCCTTGTTGCAGGTGATTGCCAAGGGCACCTTTTCTATAGAGCAGTTCGGCGTGCTGTCGGAATCGGAAGAACAGCGGGTTGATACCTCGGGCGATGAGTTGCTGCTTCTTGTCCTCGGGCCAGCCCTGAACGTCTTGCTGGAATCGTTGGCGGACGTCGTCTTTGCAAGAGTCCATGAGTCGTTTGGCGAACTGGTTGACGATCAAGTCCTCCTGGCGGGTCTGCTGGGCCTGCTGGATGTTTGGTTGCTGTGGATTCTGGCCTTGGTTGAGGTTGGCCTGGGTCCCAGGGTTCATGCCCATCTGCGACTGTGTCTGGCCCATGGGGACGGGCGATATCTGCATAGGTCGTTGGAGCTGGGCATTTGGAAAGGCAGGATTGAACTGTTGCGGCGTGCCCTGTCTCGGGTTCTGGACACCAGGCTGGCCCATCATGCCCATCGGGGCGGCGTTCATAGCGTTCATGGAGTTCATCTGGCCACCAAGGGTGCCCTGCTGCATGCGTTGCTGGCGTGCCTGGGTCATCATCATGAGCTTCTGCTTGATGTTGGTGACGTATTGGTCCTTGCTCTGGGCGGCCAGAAATGTTTGCGTCTCAAAGTTGACCGAGGCACGCATGGCCTCCATCTCTCCGACCTCGGGCTTCAGCAGGCGGTACTGGCTGTAGAACTGCTGGCCGAGCTGGGCGCGCTCTTCTGGCTGGACCTGCTGCTGCCAGCCCGGGGGCACCTTTCCCTGCTGCAGCTGGCCGCGGTAGTGTGCAATGAACTGAGCGGCGCCGGCCTGGGCCCGCGCGCCGGCCATGGCGTTCTGCTGGAAGTTGAGGGTTGTTCATGGTCAGTAGCAGGGCGTGACGCGGACACGTCTATGCGCGACAGAGTCGAGGACGCGCGAACGGTGAAGGAGAGCGGGAGGCGGGAGCGGTCGAAGCCGCGGGTGCAGAGAAGTGCGCACCACTCATGCAGGCTCGAGGCTCGGGGCGGAGGGGCAGTGGCGCGGTGGTTTCGTGCTGGAGGCGCGGCAGGCGGTGGTGGGTGAGCGATGCGATGCGGTGCGCTGGACCTGGACCTGGACCTGGACCGCTTGCGGCGGATGGCGGAGCGAGCAGCAGGAATGGCGGCCGTCTGCGTGCACGGAGTCGGTTCTCGCAGGTCGACAGCGGGGAGCAGCGTCGAGTCGTGTGGGGGGAGGGTGCGAGGGTGCGAGGGTGCGAGGACGGCGTGTATGGGCGGAGAGTGAAGAGGGACACGCTTGCTGCTGCGTTGTGGTGGATTGCCTTTGGAGAGAGATGGCTTGTCGGTGAGCTAAGGTAGGCGCAGGCGGGACCCTGTACCTAACAAGGATCGCGACTTTGGAACAGGGGTCCGTGGACTAGGCGTCTGCACGTCTGCAAGTCCAAGTCCAAGTCCGCGCAGCTCGAGCAACTGCAGTCTCGCCGGGGCAGCGCAGGAACACTGTGAGAGAGAGAGGCGTCTTTCGGACGGAATCACAGAGTGCAGTGCAGTGCAGTGCAGTGCAGCGCAAAGATAGAAGAGACGCGGGCAGCATAACCTCGCAAACACGCCCGCTGACGCTGCAAAGGACGAGACGGCTGAGCCAGAGTTGCCCCGTCGGGTTGGTGTCACAGGTCGACGTGTGTATGGACACCAGAGCAGCGACTGGCTGATCTTCCGCACATGTGCTCCGGCCCTTTGTCTAATCATCTCGCTGCCATAGTGTGCCCTCTTGCGGCTCGCCGCCACGCTGCTCTGGCGTCTCGCATTCTGCGGCAGCGTTCAAGCAGTTTCATCTCGCAACCAAACACCCATCAGAAGCCCAAAAAGCACCTCGACGCCGGCGCCCAGATCATCCGCACCCTGGCCGCCATGGCGACGTCGCACGCCCCTTTTGGCTGTCCTCTGTGTCCGTCCTGCGAGGACCTGCACGAAATTTGTCCAGCTACTGATCACGCAGACAGCCTCTCCACCCAGACGTGTCGACGCTTTCGTCCAAGCGCCAGGGTGTGGCGCGTCGCACCAATTTTGGGCTTGGGGACCGCTGGCTGTGTCTGATCTACCACCGACTCACGCCTGTCGGTTCTGGCCCACCACTACCCACCAAATCATCGCTGCGCAATGCTGCAGCGGCATAGCTACCGCGTGCGGCGCTGTCAAATTGCAGGCTCTCGCACTGGCGCCCCGCTGATTTCGGGCATGCAGACTCACGGTAAAATGCCCGCTCAGTGCTGCCATCTCGGAACCATCACGCTACTCAGTCCAACGGATGCTAGCCTGAGCTAGTCCCTCCCTTCATGGCGCCGTCCGCCGAACGACGAGGGACGAACCACATGTCTAAACTATCGTCCCTCTCCCATCATCGCGCCACCATCTTACAAGCTGCTCTTTACCTCGCTCTCCCAGTCCCCTCTAGGCCTTGCCCTCTTCTCTCATTGACCTCTGCTTTCCTGTCCCTTTGCATGCTATGCGCCGTAATTTGCAACATGTCGATCATCCTTGGCGCTTATCATTTCCCGCCTACTTCCCTGCGGCAATCGTTCCTGAAAATCGTCCGCCAATTGGGCCAAACATTGACACGTACTCTGGCCGCGCCACCGCTTGCTGCACCATGGTGCTGCCTCACTGGCACTCGCCGCAACAAGCAAACACTGTCCCAGCATCATCCTCGTCTTTCTCCGCTGTCTTGTACCCTTTCAGCTTGTTGTTCTTGTGCAACAAGACAAACGTTGGCAACTGTCTTTAAACGGTTTCGCATGTCGTTGCGTCAGGCGCTGAGACAAACTTTGGCGGCCACCCACCCGCATATACTTCTTGCGCGCTTAACATCTGCTGATCGCACCGACTACTGGAGTCTTTGAGGACTTGCCTTTCCATCCAACACTCAGCCTGAATATTGCAGGTCACGCTTGCGCCATGTCCTCTGGGCCGGGTTTGTCACGACGAGATGCGATTGCGCGTCTACATCCGGCACCACTGTTTCGATACCCGTTGCGACATTTGACAAGAGAGCTCCATAGCGAAGAGCTGCCTAAATATGTTTCGGTACCTCTTGCATGCAACATGCGTAAGCTGCAGCTATAATGCGACCTTTATGCCTTTCGCTAAAGGCTCAATGCGGGGAAGCGACCTCTTGGGCATCGTGCTTAGAGTTTTCTGTCGTCTGTTCAGATGCAGACTCGCGGCCAGGAAGACTTGTGGCTGCCGCATGGCCCTCCTGTACCTCGCATGCTTCTGACTGCGTCAGTTCTTCGCGTCATGTCCGCCAGGCAATATGACGTTTTGTGTCTTTCCTGTTTCATTGCATACAAATTACCGGAGTGTATATAGGACGCCATTCTTAGCATATCAACGCTTCTTCCCGTTACCAATCCAGAAACAGCCGGTTAACATCATGACATGTCGGTTTTCAGTCTGCTAGAATGTACCTCGAGGCATCGATGCCGGCCACAAATGCTTGCGAAGGGTTGAAGAGACTCGAACAACCATTCAGCGCAAGCAGGAACCCATGGGCACTGACAGACGCCCAATCAGAACACCCAGGAACCGCAACGCACTATTGGAACTGCTTTACGATCCACGTGGACCCTCAAGCCTCACGAGCATCACCACGAAGGTCATGTATTTAGCCTCGGCACGGCTCGGATCACACGGCGGATCGATCTTGGGCCAATAACAACAAAAGCAAAAGCAACTCTATCAGATACACAGAATCGATACCAACACGGGTGGAAACCCAAATCCTGGAAGGGCCGATCGATAGGCCCGAGAGCCGAGTGGACCTAATATTGGATCAGGTCGGCGATGTTGCTCGGAACGGCGACTACCTACTCTGATGGCATGGATATTGCACAGGCTGATTTGTACCAATGTTCAAGATTGGTTGTCTCGATGAGAGGTGGGGGGAAACGCGGTGTGGATGCCGGATGATGCGATGTCATGTCGTAGGCAGCACGAACGTAGATTCTTCCTGGATCATCTCCTATTATTGCCCGAACATCATATACAGCGCGGCAGGGACGTGGAGATGTCAGAGATGTTTGAGGCGTCATTGACATTTGACTGACGTGATTATCAATCATTAATAGCACTAGAGTAATGCAGATATAGACTTGTCTGCAATAGCACGAGCACGAAACATCCACCTTCATATCTCAGACATATCAATAGGATGTTCATGCACGCAGTGCAATACGCGGTATATTCAATCAGCCTACAAATCCATTCATGAATCGCTTTCACTATGGTTGCCTTGTTTTGCGCCCGACCTCAACTAATCCCATCAAATAAACAACAGCCCTTAAATGGTCAAGTGTCGTATAACTAGCACTATTTTTTCAACGAGCTACGACGCACGGCCAAAGACGTCCCGCTATCAGTTCGAATCCATCTAGTATGTTTGTGTCGAGCTAACGGTATATCGCATGCTCATGTCCATCCCAGGCAGACTCAATAAGCTTGCATGGTTATCAAGTTACGTAGCACAGTTCTTCCTTCCCAAATACATAATATGGTACCTACATACAGCTATTTCCCTATCAATCACGCAGACATTGTGGTCCTGGGTACATACAAGATAGTCACTAAATTGATGTTCGGGACGACTGGTTCAACAAAGCCAAGTTCAATGAAAGAAAGCACATCGGTAGACAGCAAATAGCCACGATCAGTAACACAATAATGTACTTGCAACGCAACAAGTGTTATGGGATAATACTGCAAGGATACAGCGCCGATTTTGGACGCATCCTAGGCTTGCATACTGTTGGTTACAAGTAAGCAGGAGCCTGAGAACAACAATCGAGGGGAATGAGTGCGAGGTCGGTTTTTGAGGATATCTAGCGTGGCATTGTAGCCAGGCGTGACATTCGGAGGCGTACGGAGTAGAATTGACACGCAAATAGATCGGGCTCTTTCATGAATTCATGCAATGAGGGGCTAGTTGATGTTGGGAGGTTTGATAGGGAGACTGACGTTCATTGTATCAAAGCAAGTGATCCCGTACCAATCTGGCACGTGGGGACTGAACTGAACGTGCTACTGGAATTTGATCAAGGAAGGGTGAGGTCTGGAGAAAAGCGGTATGTCACCACAGGTCATTGTTTGGTTTTTACAATCTTTATCTGGAACCCTAAGACTAAAAGGCAGGTGTCCAAAATGTGTCACTCTGGTTGAAAGTGAAGAGGAATGCACATAGAAAGGAGGTCTTAGGGCGTGATAAGAGATGGAAAGTGAACAGACTGGAAATGCTGAACTTGGTTGACTGGCTTGATTCGGTATGCTGTCGAGGTATCCACTCCACATATGATACATTTGGTCCTCATTCCGAGCCCATCTTCATGCTTTCGAACAAAGGAAATCTTGATTCGAGGGTCCCAATCGCTTATTTCTGGCCGAGAGTAGCAGCGCGGTCGTCCTCGAGCTTCTGGTAGAATGCGTCACGGTGACGGACAGCGGGGACGTGGTAACCTTTGAGGTATAAGTTGAGGTTTCTGATTCAAGGGTGCAAGAGGATGGATTTCTCATGCTTCACGTACCGTACCACCAGCCGTAGCCGGCGACCAGACCAAGTCCTGCGAATCATTGTCAATATGGCTCCCTGTCATGCGCGTATAGGCTAAGAACTCCAGAAAATATGCCAACAGCATCACATAACCAGAACGAGGAGCGGCACATACCCGAAGCAACGGAAAGGTCGAGCACGATTTGTCGGCGGAGCATCTGTGACCCGATGATTAGTCCCATTCGCACGCCCGTCCAAGGCACCCAATGGCTGTACATACGCCGGTGATCGGTTTGATAGGCATGGCGAGGTATCTGTCGGGAGGAGTGGAGAGATTCGGGGCGCGATTGCGGTTCTGGGGGCTGGTGAAGGTCGTCGTTGGTTGAACTGAGGGTTGACGTGCGATCGAGTGGAGTGACTTTGGCTCCGCCAAGATCTGGCCCGTGCACGTGCGCCGCGCTTTGGAGCTGCGAGCTCAAAGACAACCACCATATCCATGTGAAAGGAGATACGATACCGTCGGCACTCCGAGCCTCTGTCGAAATCCGCGCGCGCCCTTATCGCAAGAGCGCTATTCCGCAGTCACCGCAAACCGCTCACCCACGACAACCTCTCACCTAAACGCGCCGACTCTCGACCACACTCTCGCGTGCCCACCACCCACGACGTTCCCACTCGTTAAACGCCACCGAAAAGCTTATGCCAGGCATCATCAATTCCCCCCTCAGCGACAGCAGCGTGGGCGCAGTCGCAGGCATGAAGAGGGTACACGATGCGGACAGCGTTCCGACATATGGGGCACCGCACCCCAAGAAGCAGAAGGTCACACACCAACTCCGCTACACGCAACCCGTCCAGTACATTGCAGACCCCATCAGCGCAGAGATTGGCGATTTCGGCGACAGCAAGGAGTTTTTCCACCAGCAGTTGCGCCGCTCAGTAGCGATACAATGCAAGGCCCAGGGCTTCGATAGCGCGTCACCGGAAGCATTGGAGGAGTTCACGGGCCTAGTTGATTCCTGTATGGCATCACCTTTGCGCGATATGCGCAATGGCGCAGGCTATATCGGTACCCCGAGCTAATCAAGCATAGACATGACCAAGTTCCTATCACAAGTACAGAAGTCCATGAGCAGCGCGCGGCGCACCGAAACGGTACCTCACGACTGGGTATACGCCCTCGTATCATCCGGTCTGCGCGGCTCAGGACCACTCGAATCACACCTCGACACCGGCGACGTCCCACCTTCATTACTACAACCACATTTTGACCCACCTGCGCCTCCTGAAGCACCGCCGCCAGACACCGAGTCCCTCCTAGGTCCTGGGCTCTCTGGCAAAGCGGATAAAGAGGCGCGCCCCTACATTCCATCACATTTCCCGCCATTCCCATCGCGGCATACTTACAAGTCAACACCCGTCTTCACCGAGCGCGAGAATGATCCGCGCAAGATCCGAGAGAAGGCGACAGAGGAGGGCATACTAGCCGAACAGAGTCTTAGAAAGCTCATGGCCGCGCAGAAAGCCGGTATTCAGAAACGGAACGCCGGGAGGCGCAAACGAAGCGCGCGCATGAAAAAGAGCGACGAGCTGTGGCAGGCAGCCATGACAGACCTGCTCGCAGAAGAGAAGCAGAATGACAAAGAGGAAGAGAGACAACGCGCCATGGATGCAGATGAAGAGCCTGACTGGGATGCGCCAATGGAGGCGCGACCGCGGCAGGCCCCGGTAACGGTTGATCGGAATGTCAATCTGGAAGAATGCGTACACGTGAACTACGAGCAGCGATTCTGGCGAAAATCTGCTATGGGCGGTTAGAAAAAGCTCTACATGGTTGAGCGACCATAAAAGTTGATATCGAAGAGTTGTTTTACAGTCTTTTTGGGAAGCGAGGAGTTTAGGAGTTTTGCACGTCTGCCTAAACATGCGGCGGAGCACTAATGAGGCGTTCAAGTATCCGCCATTGACAAACTTGTACAACAGCTGTCTCAGTCATTATCTTGCGAGGACCTAATGATACAGGTCGATGATTTGCCAATGAATCATCGCTATAATATTCACAAATCTGCGTCTCCACTTGCCATGCTTATGCCCCCCATGTGATGTCTCCCTGATTACCCGCATCTCAAGCTGCGCTCTTATTTTGCTTCGCTTTCCATCCCTCCCAAGCTGTCGTCTCAACGCTCAATCCGCCCTCACATCTGTCGTCACGTTAGCCTCGAGCGCCAAGACCCGCACCTTCCTCGACTACCTACTGTCTCAACAACCTCACGACAGGCTCACATATAATCGTCGGTGGCTCCTTTGTGTCATCCTTTGGTACCGAGATATTGCACTTGTACTGCACCAACTCCTTCAACGCACAGTCGCTGAGCTTGATCGGTGGCTTTCGCGCTTTCCCGTTTGGGAGGACGTTTATTTGTGATTCGAGTTCTGAAAGAGAGTGGATGGGAAGAGGAGGTGTCATTGTCGAACTTGGGAGAAAAGAGTGAGCGGATTTTGATGGACGATTGGGTGAGGAGGGGACAACAAGATGAGTGTGGGTGCGAGTGCGGGTGAGGGAGCGAAGAAGCTGGGTGAGAAGTTGATGGCGGAAGTCGAGGTTGAGGACTTGAGCTCGGTAAGTTCAAAACTATGACAGGTTTGCAGGACACGAAGATTGATGTTTATGATAGGTGCTTAAGTCTCTAAGGGAACTAAGAGTTGCACCGTAAGTTCGTTCACATTTCAAAGGTCATGTCGTCTGCGCGAGTCATGCCCTACACCTCCATCTCTCCTAACGCCACACAGCAACGAAACACCAAACACCCATATCTTCTTCGGCATCCCAGAGATAGACATCCTCTTTCCCAGCTCAACATCACCCATCCTCGAACTCGTCTCCCCACCACCAACACACCACCCATCCGGCGCTGGCAAGACTTCACTACTCTACCTAATCATCGCCCACGCCATCCTTCCCACCACATTCTCCTCAACTCCACTATCAGGCCAAAATGCCGCCGTCATCCTCTTCGATCCACTCCACCACTTCAGCGTCCCGCGGCTCGCGAAAGTAATCTTCACCATAATATCCACCACCCTCCACTCAGCTGCGAAAGAAATCGAGCCGCTCAAACCCGCCATCAAAACCCTCATCGCAACAAGCCTCCTGCACGTGCACATCTTCCGCCCGCAATCATGGTCCGCAACACTATCAACATTGAAAAGCATGCCGGATTATTTATTCGACGAAGAAAGACACAAGAGCAAGCATCGCCGCATACACTCGATCGTACTAGAAGACGTCGATGCCTTTGTATGGTCTATCCGATCTTCTGTGTCGACTGATCTGACAGCGACGCCGGAGAGTAATCTGACGAGTGCTTCGACGCTCTTGACATCTGCTTTGATGCAGCTGCACACACAATTCTCTTGTGGTGTCATCCTTACCTCGCACTCCACCACGCCGTCATCTTTTCGGCCAGCGATTCCGACGTCGTGGCCGAAGGAGGTCAGTACAACGCGCTTGGCGGTTAGAAGAGTGGAGGTGTTGAAGTTTGCGCCGGCGCTAAGTGTGGAGGAAGCTGAGATTGAACGGGCGCAGAGGTGGGATGTTGTGAAGAAAGGGAGGTTTGAAGTATGGAAGATTGGGGCCGGCGTTGGGGCAGGGAATGGAGAGGGTTTTGTGTTCAGGATTGGGGATGAGGGGGTGGGTATTGAAAGGAATGAGAAGTAAGATGTGATGAGCTGCAGTGTGAGCAGCTATCCAGAAAACATGCACATCTTCATTGACAGCCAGTGTGTCGCGGCAAATCTTCATCGTCCTGTAATGTACATATGTTACCGTCATACCCCTTGTGATGCTACGCACACTAATGCCGGGCCTTTCTGTGCAATGCCAGATCAGGTTGCTGAACAGCACCTCACTTGCCCCAGGTTATGAATTCCCTCTCCTACCAGCGGCCTAAACCACTGCCCAAAATCAAGCATCCCGGCCCCACATCTCCTTCCTCCGCACCCTATCCTCCTTCGCCTCCCTCCTCCTTTCTCCCCACTTCTTCCTCATCGCCGCATGCTCCTTCTCCACCGTCGCCGCCTTCTGCCTTGCCTGAACCACCATCCCCACAAAGAATTGACTGCAACCGAATTTCTCTGCCAACTTCACTCGCGTCCACTTATACGGATCTGACGTCCGCAACCGCTTAATTTCACCAATCTCCTTGTCCGTGAGATGGTATTTCTTCTCATACGGTGCACGCACGGGGGCGGGTAGTTGGTTCGAAGGGCGAGGGGGGAGATGAGATGAGGTGTGTAGAGGCGTCCCCGCAGCGGCGATTGGAGAAGTGCGTTGGCGGAGAGAGGAAGTGGTTTGTTGGTGGAGCGCGGCGGTGTAGAGGTTTCGGCGTTTGTCTTCCTTTGGTAGAAACTTCAATGGTGTGTGGTATACGCTGGGCGCACTTGATGGTGGGTTGAAGATTAACGTAGGTTCTGGGCGGTTCGATGTGTAAGATGGTGCTTCGGGCAGCGCGAGGAGTTTCTTATGGCGCCGGGTGGAGGATTCATGGCGGCATTGCGTTAATGGGGCGAACGATGGTTGCCGCTGTTTTGAACAGACTCGGAGAAGGGTTTTACAAGTCGACATTGCGTGGAGCGGGATGTGGAGAGGCGCAATGGGGGATGCGGTGAGTTGTGGTGTGTTGAAGGGTTGTGAGGGTTCCGAGCTCGAACTTTTTAGGTTTTTCCGCTCCGGCACGTGTCTGGGCGGAGGGCTCGCGCGACAACCACAGCACAACCACATATCGCTATAACATCACAGAAAATAGAGTTGTTGATGTGTTCAATGTTATTTGTTCATTTACTCATATTTGCGAGGCTACTTCAAGACCAACCCTTACTGGTTGCGCTTGAGCTCGGTCGCAACATAGTGCAGATATGCTCCCAACAGCTTCGTACCCTCAATGTAGTTCCTCTTGTCCAGCTTCTCGTTGATGGAGTGCGCAGCGTCCGTTGAGCTACCCATTGGAAGCAACAGCACATTCTTGCCGAGCTCTTCCTGGAAAGTAAGAGTGACTGGGATACTTCCACCCTCACGGGTCATATCTGGCTTGACACCAAATACGCGCTCGACAGCCTTTGCCGCAGCAGTATAGTTGGGGTGGTTAGTGTCCTCAACCCACCACTTGCCGCAGTGCAATACGTTGAACTTGAATGTGTTCTTGGACTTGAGCTTGGCCCACTCAGCGTTGACGTGCTTCTCGACAAGCTTGGTGACCTCGTCAATCTCCATGTTAGGTACGGTACGAATGGAGAACTTTCCAACGACTCGCGCAGGGATGACGGTCTTGGCTCCTTCGGAGTAGAACGCTCCCTCAATACCGTGCAACGAAAGTGATGGGTATCGCATCTTGTGCTTGAGCGCCTCCTCCTTGGTGCCGTGGATCGCAACCTCGCCGCCTAGCGACTCCTTCAGGTCATCCATTGTGAAGGCAATGGGTGGATATAAGGCAGCCTCTTGCTCGGTCATGGGTGCTACCAAGTCGTCAAGACCTTGGATGAGAATCTTGCCATCTGGATCGACCAGGGAGTTCATGATGCGGACAAGGTCGGTCATGGGCTCATGAGTAACACCACCGTAGACACCAGAGTGCAGGTCCTGGCCAGGCCCGGCGATCTCGAGCGAGTAGTAGTTGCATCCACGGACTCCGTATGTCAAGCAAGGCTTCTCCGTTCCCAGCCAGTAGTTGTCCGAGATGCAGACCACATCTGCGTCCTTGAAGAACCCCTTCGCTTCCGCGCGGATAGTGTCGTCTAGGCCCTCTGAGCCGTTCTCCTCCATACCCTCAAAGCACATGAGGAGATTAACCGGCAGTTCCAGACCAGACTTTTGGTGTGCCTCGATCGCGTTCAACCATCCAAGCACGGGGCCCTTGTCATCCGTGCTACCACGTCCGTACATGCGGCCCTTATCGTCGATGGTGAGGGTAAAAGGGTCGGTCGCCCAGCCGTCCGACTTTTGCGCAGGCTGTACATCGTAATGGCCGTAGAGGAGAACGTTTGCCTTCTTCGGGTCGTCTCCAAGGCGTGCGAGGAGGCACGGTGGGAGGGTTAGATGTTCGCGACCAGGCTGCTTTCCGAGCTCGCGAAGCTCAACAGTACCGCCAAGCGCTTTGATCTGGTCCGAGAGCCAGTGGCCCATCTGAAATCATGTCAGGCCAAACTATCTTTACGATACTCGAGCGATGCTTACCTTGACAACATCAGGCCTCCTGTTGTCTTCTGAGCTGATACTGGGGATCGCAACAGCTTCCCTCAGCCTCTCAATGAACTTGTCCTGCAGGCTGTCCACCTGCTTGAAGTATGTGTCGAGGTTTGGCATCTTGTCAAATGGCTTGTAGATATAGGGCCAGGCGGCGTTCGGTATGCGATCAGGTGTGTATTTGTCCAACAGCCTAGGCGTTGCGACAAGTCTTTGTGTAGGCGCGGAGGAAGTGAAGCCTCGTCCAATGCAAAACGCGCTTATTCGCGGTGCGTAAGCCGGTGCTATTCGGGAAGGTGAATGTGTGAGGGCGATGGACTTCGCTCGTTGGAGGAAGGTGAGGGGCAAATAGCGGGGCATGTTGACATTGCTTTGGAAGAAACGCAACGCGACCCGCCAGCACGAGGTGACATTTCAGTCTAGAGGCCACCTCGGTACGATTCCGACCCACATCTTTTCTCCAAAATTTGCTAAGCTTTAAGCTTATACGGTGATCTGGATCCTGCAAGTAGAAGTGTTAGATCCCATATATGACATGGAGCTAGAGCTCCCTGATTGAGCAATATGATCCTTTTCGTGATGTACCAAAACCAACAATTGGGCGCCATCAGGACAAACTATGGAAGCACTCATGCTATACAATCGAGGTTGGATTATGTGTAACTTTGCTCGAAAAACTACATTATGGACAACATCATTCTTCCATATCAGCTGCAAGTGAATCGCTATGCAATGCTAATGTAGATGCAAAAGAAACCGCAAGACAGCTGCAATGATGGAAACTACGAGTACATGAGGCTCTGAGAGATATACAAATTGGTGCAAACAATAGAAAGCCAGCAGCCTACCACAGTCCACGTCTCTTCGTATCTATGAAGGGGCTGTACCTGGGGCAGGCTGCTCGTCTTGTGGCTGAGTTGGGCTCAATACGTCTTCGCGGGTGGCAGCCACACTTGCATCTTCTTGCTTAAAGTCGGGCAATTTGAACGTCATGTTGCCAGATCGAATTTGTTGTTCACTGCTTTCGGTTCTTGTCTCGGTGCTTGCTCCCATGCTCTGCGCAAAATCGACCCTTGATGTGCCAGTAACTGTGTGGGGTTGGGACGTGCTGGTTTGGTTCGCAGTACCATCGAGGCCATGAGGTGAGGCAACTCCACTGAGGCCGCTGGGGTGTTGCGTTGCTGGTTCGTCATCGAGAATTGAATGTTCAGGTAGCGCTCTTAGAGGAGGATCAGGATGTGGGTCTTTAGTCATGTGTTCAATCTCGACGAGAGACGACCGTCGTAGCTGCTCGAGCCTCGCTTCAGGATTCTTCACGTGATAAGTCAGCTATAGGGTTCTCTCGCGCGCTCGACAAGACACTCGCGGGATTTAGCCCGCGAAAGTCTGCTTGTGGCTGCGCTTCACAGTGTCTCCTGAAGGTGTCCGCAGCTACATTGACCCATTGCTGGACCATGATCTCGCCGCGAAGACATTTAGACCTTATTGTCCTTTGCAGATGCAGTAAAGGAGTCGGATGGGGAAGAGAAGCCGCATTGTGGACATACCCATTCGGTTTGATCCGGGACGCCCTTGGCGGCAGGTAGCTCGCCCGTCTCGTTTCGTTCCTCGCCCCAGAAAGTAGGCCGCCTGATAGGCGCCGGTGTGACGGGCAAGCTTGGTCTCTCTATGGCAGAGGGAAAATCAGTGAGGATGAGGCTTTCGCGTCGGTTCTTACGTTCAAGTAGCGGTGAGTGTAGCTCCTCAGTGCCAGTCGTTTGTTGAAGTATCTGGGTGTTGGTCCGCTTACCACCTTGCGAACCCATGATCGCCCGTACATAGTTCTCGATACCTGGCATGTTATCCCAGGCATTGGCGTTGTTCTGCTGGAAAGATTGCCATTGCTGGTCAGCAGACTTTGGAGATCCTAAAGCTTCAGGACTTGTGACCCCGTCACTTGAGCCCGCAGACGCTTCTAGCTCGCTGTTATCGTAATGCACAGTGGAAAATGCGTGAGTCGGTGACGGAGGTTCACGGGTTGGCTGGGGCTGGATATCTTCAGCAAAGACACGAGTAGGCTTCGGCCTATCAGCTTGTTGCTCCCAAGGGAAAATCGGCTTGGGCGCCTCTGCTGGCTTGGGTCGATGTTCAGGTACTTGATACCACATATCCCTTGGTGGTGCTGGGTAGGCATGGGGTGCCTGGAACAACTGACGGCTGTCACTGAAGGTGTATTGGGCGGTTGGGAAATTGGCAGCTTCGGGCCTCGATTGCGCAGGAGGCTCGAATTTTGTTGCATCCCACTCCATATCCGGCGCAGAGAATTTGCGCAGCTCTGTAGTCGGGACAGGTTCTAAAACACCCTGGTCAATATTCTCGACCACTTCACCGGGGTCGGTCATGGGTGGCTCAGTGGTTGTGACTGAGGCCTCTGGCTCGATAACAATATTGGGAACAGGAGCTGATGATTGGATCTGGAGGTGCGTTGTACCTGAAGCGTCTCTTCTCAAATGCCTGTCATGCACTTGCCACCACCGACTCAAGAGCTCGCCATAGACACCTGGTCCACTTGTACGGCTACTCGACCATGGCTTCTCTTTGCCAATGAAGTGTACAGCGCTGATGTCTCTTTTATAGTAACGATACGCCGGCTCCCACTGGTACTCGGCGTTCGGTGTACAATTGTACGTGAACTTCAGTCGCTGCCATGGACGATGCTCGAAGTACTGATTCAAGAGACCTTGATCAGCGCCATCGAAGCTGTCCCCTGTGGCTGCCATGGTCTGCAGCGCCCAGTATTCGCCCATGTCTGGTGATATCACCATGACACCACTGTTGAAGGCGTCAGGCCAGCCAATGTCAGGTGCGGCAGCGAAGGGTGCCTCGATATCGAACAGCTCATCGAGAGCTCGGAGTGCAACGACATCGGCATCGAGGTATACGATCTTGCGAAACTGGGTCTGTCTCCACAAAGCAATCTTGGTGAAGGCGAAGGACAGATCAGGACGGCCCATAAGATACAAGTTCGCGGGACTTGGTGTTCGTATGCGCTCCACCGGAATCAAGTAGTCGTAGAGCTCCTTCAGCTGCGTGATGGTGTCGGCAGACAGAGTCTCCAGAGTGATGAGCACGGCGAGCTTCTTCTTCGTACCTGCATCGCGGAGAGAATGTGCGAGGACGGCGGCACCAGGGAGGTATGAATCGCTCATAAGAAGCTGTATGCATGTTAGCTCGCCTGTATGTTGGGCCATTACTATGTCGCAATCTTACCGTGCAGTACACATCTTCCAAAGGTCGCGCCATCGTGAAGCTATGTGAGTAGAGGAGCTGGCAGTCCTCGAGAGTGAGGAGGAAGTAAAAGTTACGCGCCCGGAAGCTCAGAGGTCAGATTAGGCGACTTGTTTGTACAGGTTTCCCCGCAGCGCAATGCAGTGGAGTTGGCGCTGATCACCAGATTGGAGTTGTACCGAAAGAGTAGTAAGCGGGCGGCAGATATGCAGGAGCTCCGAGGCGCAACTGCAGCGCTTCAATGGAATTACTAGGCTACAGCTACAATTCACAGGTGCATTGATGGGAAACGGCGGTCGGTATGGCGGGCAGCAATCGGAATGCGAGGCTAGAACCCAATATTGGTTGAGAAATGAACATTTCCTCGTCCGTGAGCTGGGGAGCTTGCGCCACGCGACAGGGAATCGAGCTTCAGCGAAATGACCTCACCCATGGCGCGCTAGCGGACGGCCCACCTCGATGCGTGAACGAACCCCAACCTGACAACAACGCTTTCACTGCGGACTTGATGGTGTTCTTCTCACAGCACACCCACTCTAGCCACTGCAGCTATCCTATCTGAATGCATAGCTATAAAGCCACGTGTGAGCGTATAGGTGCCGTTCCGTCCTGTCGAAGGCTAGATGGCAGGAGCGGCCTCGTGATGGCACTAGCGGAGTGGGACTGCGGCATCACCGCCTCGACTGGAGCTGAGTGACTCCAGCAAACATTGGAATGCGACAGCGGCGACGCTGTATATGTGCCCGCAGAAACGACTGGTTTGACCATACATGATCTGACCATCTCTCCGGCAAGAAAAGCACTTACAGTCCATCCCGTGTCTTTCTCAAAAACATAAACAAACCTTTGAAAGCGGTCTGGCCCTCGAGCTCGATTGCCAAGTTTAAGCGAGTGGCCGCAAGGGTACCCCTGCTCAAGGCTGGATGACGTCCATCACGATCCCAGTCACAATTCAAGGTTGATGTCGCAAACGACGTAGGAAAACTCACAATTATATGGCCTGAACAACATCTCAAACAGAAAAAAACTTCCACCAAGACAATATCCCGAGAATCCAACCATCAGAATGACCTCCCCAATCCCCCTGGCCAAATCAATCCTCCAACTGACTCTCACCTCCGCCCTATCTGGCTACGGCCTCTTCCTCTCCTACCAAAACATAACGCGCCTCCAACAATACGAGCAACAAAGCGAAAAGGCCGCAGAATGGAGTAACACCGCTGCAGAGCGTCTGCACAAGACTCGCACGACACAAACGAGTGGGACGATCAGTGTGCGTTTCCCCCAGCACCAACTGGGACTACAACAGTGCCGCTGACATGTGAATGAAACAGTTAATTGTATCCTTCCTAACCCCCATCATCGCTCTCTCGACATCAAACTCAACATACTTGGTCTCGGCGGCGGCGGCGAATACAGCAGTCCTCATGTTTTCGCGTCAGCACATGGCGAATTTCTGGAACGAGAAGGAACAAACGCGCATCCCGTTTGTTCAGAAGTTCAATGACGCGGTGAGGGGAAGCGAGCAGGTCGTTCAGATACTCGGGCTTTTGGGTGCGAGCTGGGCGGTTACGGCTGTGGGGTGGGGAGTCATGGGGCAAGGGTGGTTGTGAAGAGAGCATGAGGACGGGGGGTGATAATGCATTATGGCTAGATGAATCATGAATCGTATCCTATCCAAACCAAACCAGCAAAGATTTGGTAAACCTATCCCTGCATTTCTAGTTCCTTAGCCACACGCACACTATCCGCCTCTCTGATCCACTCCTCAATCCGCGCACCTACATCTCCTACCAATCTCTCGTATGTCTCGTTGACGAAGAATAGACTGGTGTGCGCAGTCACTTCGTCCATGTTCTGCATGAACACACGCACCCACGTTGGATCAACATTGCCCGTCGAGTCTTTCGGCGGCAACATGCAGAACTTGCCGAGTTTCTTCTTCTTCTCCTTGGGCTCACCATCTGCACCGGGTGTTGGGGGATGCGAGGCATTGCTATCCGTCGTTGCCAGCGTGTAGTTTGATTCGTGCATGGATGATTGATCGTCGGGTGAAGCTTGGTTCAAGATAGCGCTACGGGAGAAGTCATAGTTGCCGTAAGGATGGTTTGAAGACTGGTGCTGGTGGTGGTCTTCGCCGAGATCCATGGCCCCAAGGTCTTCGTCGAGCGTTTGGATTTCGGGAGCTTCTTCGGGGGACATTTCGTAGCCCGTATCCATGTCAGTGGTGGGGAAGGAGTCTTCCGTTGAGTCTGACTCCTGTTTAGGTTTCTGCTTTTGTTCTTGCTGGCGTGTGGCCGGCGGTGCACTGGAGTCCTCGTGTGGCTCTAAAGGCCCCCCGTTCATTCGTTCGTGTTCTTTGCGCATTCGTTCCGCTTCCTGCTTCAGACGTTGCTCCTCCTTATATGAGTGTGAGTTCTTGTATTCCTCTTGTTCACGGTCTTTCTGCCGCTGCTGCTCCTGTTGCTTCTCCCACTTTTCTTCGGCCTTGGTTCGCTCTTTGATGGCCCTGTTACGCGCCTTCACTGCCTTCTGATACTCCTTTAGCGCTTTGTCGTGCTCCTTCTCGGCAGCCTTGCGTTCTTGTTTGTCCGTGAACTGCAACAAGTCCACAAATGGTGGCTCTTGTGGTATTGGCGGGATCTCTGCAAGACTTTGTGTACTGTCTGTACGGTGTGTAGAGCCCTCGATCGAGAAGCTACGGATAGGACTAGTCGCCGATAGTGGTTCTTGTGGAGTAACTGGGACGATCTCATTGTCGCGATGCTCCTGGACTTCCACAGATATGCGGGGGCTGTTCATGACGGACTGGGACCGCATGCTTGCCACCGTCGGTCGCGACGCAGAAGCAATCGTTTCGCTGCCTCTTTCATGAGACTGCGATGTCCGACTCGAAGACCGGGAAGGTGATGGAGACTTGGGCGATTTCGGCTTCTTTGGACGCCCTGTACTTACAGTGTAGTAGTTGACAAACCGGATGCGAGGTGGTGAGGCAACACCTGGGTTCGCCGACTTCCTTGTTTTTTCATCTTCTTCCTCCAACGCTCGCACTCTGGCATATCGGTCCTTCAGTTCCTTGTAATCGGCCATGGCGCTACCGAACTCGAAGTGCGACTTGACTAAGCCTTTCGTAGCCTTGTCTCAGGCCATTCGAATAGTGCTTATTCAGCCAGGTGTAAGGAGTTCTCCCAACCCTTACGTACTGGCAGCCGCACATCATTCTCGAAAGTCGGATTGAAATTGGGATCATTCGGCTGCGGATTGAAGAAGGTTGCCATCCTGCTCGGCTTCTTTTCCGACGGCTCTTCTGCAATCTCATCCACTGGGGCCGGGGCTGGACTGAACAGACTTCCGAGGCCTGCCTTGATAATTCCAGGATGCATTCCAAGAAACGGAACATCGAAATTGATCACGCCCACAATGCGATGGCGGAAGACTAGAGCAATGTCTGCAGCAAGCAAGCCGCCCATTGAGTGTCCCAGCAAGATGACGTCTGTCCATTGATCTTCGTGCGGCGCCAGCCTAGCACTCGTCAGTTATGTGCACTTCATGACAAGTATCTCTGACAAGTACCAGTTGGAGAAATTGTCTCTTGCACGTTCAAGCGTGTTCCGTGACTGGTATCTTGGGTAGAGTTTGGTATGTACAACGTGCGTGTCTGCAAGTGTAACTGTCACGAGGTTATGTACATGAGCAGGGAAGCTTCGAAAACTTGTCTCGTTGCCCATGAAGCCGTGGATAAATACAAGCAGTACTCGGCGCAAGTTTGAGCTATCCACAGCAGGATCCGGAACGAGTGACTGTGTCGACGACGATCGGGGGTCGTGAGAAGACATGGCGAGTACTGAAGGGTCAATGGTTGCAGTTGGCGCACCATGGGTAGATTGTCGCGGTGGTAGAGGTGGAGGCTGTCCACTGTATCTTGCTTACACGTTGGGTTGCGACTGCCCCATGTGCGGACGACGTCATTTTCACTTGTCGCAATGTGAGTGGTGGTGCAAACGAGTACGTTGTCACTATCCATGAAGGCGATGAGGTGATTGCGCATCAACAGTCAGGGTCAAGATATATTTGTTCTCGCGGTGCTTCTTGGCCCGATTGCAGGTTTGCGACAATGGAGGGGCAGTGCGAGGCGGGCAAGGGAGCTGGCCGCGTGGACAGCACGTGCGAGATGAGCGAGGAATGCAAGTACACTTACACAGCGAACGTGTCTTCTCTATCGCACACTCTTTTGTCTCGCACTTGTCGTCTATGCCGCCCGCAGAAGAGCCACTGTCTCGCCTTGGGGATCGTGACACGCCCATCTTTTACTCGCACCAGTCCGCTGGCTAAAACCTATCCCCACAAAGGACCTCATTTTACGTGCGTCGATCATTCTCTCCCGCAATGGGCACGCTGCACACAAGAGCTCGACGGAGGTCTAGAAAAGGAACATGTCCCTACCCTGGTCGCCATCCTGCGAAAGTCTCAATCTCGAGCCAGTCTTGGCAATAAAAGCCTCAGGAACACGAGCCTCGTTTGTATGGAAAGAGAAGCACCCAGCAGCCTGAATGGAAGGGAAGGGGTGACTTGCCCACTGCTCCAGCATGGCTCAGGGTCAGCTCATGTGCGACGGCGAAGCGAGCTACTAGAGGTATTGGGGGCGTCTAAGAATAACAGACTTCAACGCGAAATCGGACTGTTCCAGAAAGGTCGTAGTACAGTGTATATCCGTTGAAGGTGGTGCGAGCGCCATCTCCTTTGCACGGCACACGGCACACGGCACATGGGACAGGCACAGTGCGGCAGCGTCCAGGAATCCCTCGCGTCGACTTGTTCGCGGCACGATAACGCGACACGAAGAATTCCAGACGTCTGGCAGGAGCAGGGAATGATAGGTGGACGACGGCTGCTGTCCAGCGCCCATGTGTTGGGTAGTGACAGGGCAATCTCCGTGGGCGTCATGTCGTTTGTTTCCTGTGCCGGGCGGATCCTTCTATTTTCGGGAGGCCCGTGTACCAATTTCGCTAGCACGGCCAATCAGCCACCCTGTCGCCCGTCCGCCGCCCCCATGTCGCCGCTGTAGCTATTGAATCTGTTTCCTCTCGCAGCGCTTTCCCTCTCACACGACCTTCGCTGCGACGTGACAAGATACCAGCGCTGTGCGGCTCTGGAGAGCGTTCGGGACCGAAGTGCAGATTGTCGCCCAATCCACCAGGGGCAGCCCGTCGTCGCGCGAGGAAGAACCATTCACGATTCATTTACCCACGCTACGTTTGCACTACCCACAGCGGAAACCACCAGTAGTCCACCACGCAAACTTCGCCCACCCTGCTCGCCTCTAATAGTCGCCTGTCCGACCGCGCACCCGCCAGCAGCACATCGTCGTTCGTGAATGTTGCTTGCCTGACCGTCTCCAGGTGCGTCTTCCACCAAGTCGCTTATTGCCTGCTTGCGCCTTCGACCGCCATGCGATTGGAGTGCTGATCCCTCGCCAGATCCTTCCTTCATCAGCCACTTGCCTGGCGTCCGTTCGTTTCTCGACACTCACTCCACTCGCTGCTCGTATCCATTGACTGGACCTTCGTACCGGCCAAGACCATACGTCCACTCCTTCAGTCAACATTCTGACAACTCTGACCAACTCGCTACACTCACTCAACCACATGTTCGCGCAAACAACCGCATTCGCCACCACTCTGGAAGCATCACTGGCGCGCAACACAAGTTAGACCCCTCGACACTTTATGGACCACAATAGCACGCCGTCTCGACGATACAGGGTTGACCCACGCCACTATTCTCAGACGCAAAGCACTCGACAGGACGACGAGAAGAGACGGGATTCAAGCAAAGGAGAGGGTAAACCTCGGGACCCTCTAGACCAACCTCCGACACACCAAGAGGAGGAGAAGCGCAAATCAGCTATGACGAAAGACCACCGCTTCTTTCACCGCCGCCAGGCAGCGTCTCCTACGAAAGTCCTGACTGTCAACGTAGAGGTCATTGCGACCGTGGACTCCGGTGGAAATCTGGTAGCCCAGGAGACGAAGACGCAAGCTCCGACTTCTCCCCAAGCCTCCCCACCGTCAAATATTGCGCCCCCCATCGTCAATGCCGTAGGCTCTCCTGTAGATCCAGCAGTATCTGCCGCCGCAGCGTTGCTAGCCTCTCCAGCAGCAGCACTATCGCCAGTCGTCCCCATACCTGCCCTACCCTCCATACCGCAGGTACCAGCCGTCCCCGCCGTGCCAACCCGTTGCTCTTCCTGTCGTTCCTTCGGTGCCACCATTTCCTAGCGACTTGACTGTGCCCGCATACCCATTTTCATCAGGCGTTCCTGCTCTCGCGGTGGACACCAGTACCGGTTCTTTGACTCCTTCTCCTGCACCAACAAGTATGTCGGGGAGCAGCATCAGCCCATCATCCTTGCTGTTAGCATCATTGATCCCGGCGTCGAATTCTACCATCCCAAGTATGTCACTCCTTTCATCGAGTGCGTCCTCAACGTCAGGAAGCAATAGCGCTACCCTGTCCTCGTCAGTATCCGACCGTTTCACTGCCGCCGCGTTTACCGGTTCGTCATCGGCCAACTCCGTCGAGACATCATCAACACTGCCTTCCAGCGTGACCCCAACTGCCGACGTGGATAGTACCATGTACTACGCTGGGGGAGGAGCAGCAGGAACAGCCTACCCACCCGGTGGGCGCAGCGCAGACCACAACTGCTAGCGGTGCCAGCGCAACGGGCAGTACGACACCGCTTCAGACGCCTCAGGTCGTTGGCAGTGTAGTTGGAAGTCTTGCCGGTGCCGCGCTAATTCTAGCCGTTATTCTGTTGCTTCTACGACGTCACAAGCGACGGAGGCAAGGTGCGCTTCAACTCGCCGACGAAACAACCGACCGCAGTCCGCCTCCAATGATTCAAAACGACTCAAAGGCTTACCGAATACCGTCCGCTTTTCTGAACCGTTTCTCGGGCATATCCCGATCGACAGTTGAAAGCTCTACGACTGCCAGTGGCGAGCGCGGCTTTCAGCGAGTCTCGGGAGCGCGGCTAAACTTCCTTCTGCTTTCAGCGGGGGCATGCACTTCAGAACAGTTTTCGGGCGGTGGGACTTTGTCTGGGTCCTCCTTTTACATGGACGACCAAGGCACTTATGGTTCGCCAGGTCTTCCCAAAGAATTTGGCAAAGACGTTGATGGGGCGGCAGCTGCTGGAGGTGCAATGAACATTCGTCAAGGTCCGCGCCGTACCCCCATCATTCGCCATCCGGATGATGATGCAAATCCCTTTGCAGACCCAGCTCCTTTTCCAAGGGCCAATGCGCACTTAACACCACCACAATCACCCAAAAGAGATGCTCGTCCCAACACGCTTGGTCGAAGTCTCTACTCCCACGACGGATCTCGAAGCTCAAAGTTCACCGAGAACGTATGACGACCCCTTATTCGTAATCCTATTCTGACTGTCGCTTCTGCATATTGTTCAGTCTCATGACACGCATGTACGTGTCCAAGACCATTCGCATATTTCATTGTACCTAGCGTCTGTCAGCGGCTCCACTTTGTTATACCCCAGGAGCTTCCGTCCGTCATCACATACTGTCCTCGATTGGAACGCAGTACGCGGCTCCGACTAATATGTTATTGGCCTGTACCCCACACATCGGGAAGGAACGTGTTTCATAATGTTTGTTGGCATTGTTATCGCTTTTTGCGTTTATTCCTCAGTGTACATACATTCTACACGGCATGTCTTTTAGGACGCGCATTGCTGTGCATATGGTCGCCATGTCTCTTGACACATACTGAGAGGCAGTGTAGATACGGGCCGCATGTCTCATCTACGGACATACTGGCCTGTGTGGAGGAGTTTAGTGCTCGATCTACAAATGGTCAAAAAGTTTACTCCAACTTCCGATTCAAAGTGCATCATCTCTTCCAGGTCTCAGGTGCAACAGCCTCTTTGGGCTTGAGCCACTACATTTTCAAGTTCTTGAAACCGTTCGTTTGTATGACGCTTCTATGGACCAAGCCTCGTGCTATTGCGTTCGGACCACTCAATGCGGCGAGGCTGCGAGGCTGAGGTTGGGACTTCAACGAATCGGCGATTACCCAAGGCTTTACAGCCCTCCGCGATCGACATTTCGGCAGACCCACCACCAGGGCTTGGCTGCCCGCCTCTACGCTAAAGTCGTTCGGCGTGCAGCTGACTGACGCAGTGGGCAATGATGCAGTTGCGTCTAACAGCAAATTCGGCCAAGGAAGGCGTATTTCGCGCGCAGTGTTGCTGACTGCATGGTCGATCCAAGACACATCTCCATACATAAAGCCTGACATGGCCGCCGCCTCAGCGCATTCCCACATAACCTAAAGCTTCTCACTAAAACCTCTCGTAACTCAACACCGCAATCATGGCTTCCCTCGCAGCTATCCCTCAGCCCATCGCCCTCTTCCCCCAATTCATCGCGCAAGCCCCCGAAACCCTCGTCCTTAAAGAACACGTCCTCTCCCTATCCGGTGACAGCTTCAGCATCAAACTCGCCAACGGCACGCCCATCCTGCAAGTCGAGGGGAAAGTCATGTCCATTTCCGGGCGCAAGAAGGTGAGCGACATGCAAGGGAACCACCTTTTCAGCATCGTGAAAGAGCATCTGCATATCCATGCGACATATGTGGTTGAAAGTGCCAGTGGGCAGAAGTTAGTCGAGGTCAAGAGCGGGTTTAAACGTGAGTATTGAAAGGGAGCAGACGGGGGATGTGGAAAATTTGCTGATTTGAGGCAGTGGTTGGGTCGAAAGCGACGGCGACGTTTACGAGTCAATCGGGCAAACAAGAGGTCCTCACCATGCGCGGGAATTGGATGGATACATCCGCTGATATCGTGGATGAAGCTATGGGCGGTAAGGCCTCATCCTCTCCCCTCTAATCATCTATGCTAACGCAACACAGGCGCGGTAGTCGCGCGCATCGACCGCAAGATCCTCAGCGGTAAAGATCTATTCTTCGGCCAGCAGACGTACGGCGTGCAAGTTGCGCCCGGGGTGGATCTCGCGCTGATTGCGGCGTTGTGCATCTGTCTTGACGAGAAGAACAATGAGAAGAAGTAGAAGATCCCGCTGGTAGGAGTTGTGTTAGCGTTCATGAAAAAGGAGCACGCGAAGAAAGGCAAGGAAAGCGATCTTGTGAAGAGGATGGGGAGTGTAGGTATGGGCAAGAGGGCGACGACAACGTAATTGCAACACGATATGATACCTACAGCGACTCGAATGAAGAAGATTATTTATTCTATCAAAAGGAACACTCGTTTTGAGATCCTTCGGATCAATCCTTCCCTTCACCACCAACCTAATCTCGGTAATTTACCCACCTCCATCGGCCCCAATCCTCACCTACCACACCAACACCAGCACCAAACGCATGAACCCGTCATCTCTCCAGCCTAGGAAATACTTGTTCTATCCAGCCAATACCCCGCTCTACAAGCGCTGTGTATGCAGCCTTCAAACCCACAACGCACCAGCAGCGTTTCATGTACTGCCTGCGCCTCGATCAGGCAAAAAAGCAACCCGTGACTGTACGTCAGGCAACACGTTCTTAATACCAAGCCCCGCCCCCCGCGATCTCCACAGCTTCTGGAATCAATATTCAGTGAGGATTGTTTATACCGTATCACAATTTCAAATATGTCGGCGGCGCAGGTACGATCGGGATTCTTGACTGGCTTTACCGTGTTTGATTTTTCAGTTGGGCTGGTTGTGCCGGTGCTTTGCATACTTTTTACGGCGGCGGCGGTGCTGGTGAATTTGCTGCAAGGTCGTGAGGAGAAGAGCGCGGAAAGACAAGACGTGGAGAAACGAGATGTTGAAGAGGAGGCACAGGGCGAGAAGCTGGAGGGGACATGCGACACGGTTCAAATATTCGTGGAACTTGAAGCAGGCGAAGAGGTTTATGGGAGAGACAAGAGGAGCAAGGCGTATGATTTCGGTGGTCGGATGCGAATCAGCTGAAAGACTATAACGCCAAAATCGTCAACTTGAACAAAACAGTAGTAGATCGTCCTACTTCTCCAAACCCTCGAGGAACTCTTTCAAAGCGCTTCCTTGCCATCAGACTCCTGGCCGGACTTCCAGCAACTATCGAAATCAACTTCATCGTTGGTTCTTGCACAAACGTCTCGCATCCACACCGTTGGACACATTCCAGGGTCGAAAAGCATGCACCGATTCGGCTCAGAGCGGATACCGATATTGTACGGTCTCAAAAAGAACGCTTCTTCGTAGCCTGACTTACGACTGTCAGAGAAGGACCAATATCGCCTTTTGACATGGCGAAGCGCTCAAGACGGCCAGTGTGTTTGCAAAACATGGAAAGCACAGGATACATGAAGTTGTACTTGCATTTATTGCTGGCCGGGTTGTCTTCGATTGACCGTTCGCTGGACTCCCAGGATAACCGTTTGTGTTGGTAGTCGAGCAGCGACAGCGCGTGGACAAGTGAGCAAGTGGGCAAACATCGAGATACAACTTTTCGAGCATAGAAGCCTGCGCAGAGAGCCAGTCAAGCTTCGACTGGTGCGCTTACGCAATCATGTTTCTCTTGAATACCAGTGTCACCATCCGGGCCAGATCCCGTGCGTGTAGGAACGCGATGGGTTAGATGCTCGCATATGAATCTACGCCGATGCTCCGGGCTCATAGTTGAAGTGTATTTTTGAATCTACTCTTTTCCTTTGGCACCGCTGCCATTCTTCTCTAGATAGTCTTTAATACTGAACATTCCCGTACCCCTTTCGAGAAGGTTTGCCGGCTAGCGTCCGGGCTAAGGTTTCCAAACCAATCATGAAGATAAGGCGGAAAGTAGCTGGTAGAGTGCCGTCCTCGTTACCATGTAGCTCGCGATAAATACCGTCGGCGGCCAAGAGGACATCTCGATGTATCGCGCCCTTCTCGCGGCCGAGCACGGCGTTGGATTCGCCCATGGCCTGGAGGTCCTTCATCAGCGAAAAGCAATCCGGAAAGTCGACAACAATATCGTCGACATCAACGGTTAGAAGATTGAAGCCGGCCTTTTGCAGGAGCCCACCGATGTCTCGTACGTCAGCCAGTGGTGACGTGTGGGTAGCGACACCGCCTCGACGGTCTTGCTCGGCGAGCTGAAGAGCAGTACGCAGCTCGTAGAGACTATCACCGCCCATCATGACCCCCATGAAAGGGCAATCGGGCTTCAGGATGTTGTTCACTTGTGCCAGTACCGAAGGCAGATCGTTGATCCAGTGCATACTGAGGCTGCTCATGACAGCATCGAACGTGTTGGCATCGAATGGCAGGAGCTCTGAGGTGGGCAGGACATGTCGAACAATGTCTATCTCCTGGTTGAAGGGAAGATCGGCGTCACGGTACAAGAGGGTCTCTGACGACTCGGCGGCGGTGACAGTGCCTATGCGCTTCGATCGCGGGCCTTTGTCTGGTGAGTCTTCGGATGGTAGTGTGAGCATGCGGGATAAGTTGCAAGCATTGGCGCCCAAGTCGAGGACTTGGCCGAAGTGGCGATTGATGTCCTAGGCATGTCAATAGCTACACGATATATTGCTACAGAATCTACACACCAGAATTCGCTCACACAAGCGTGACGCCACTTCGTCCCGTAGATAGTCGACGCTCCTGCTGAGCTCCACATTGGCAGCGGCTCTTTCCTTTTGCTGCCATTTGTGCTGGTTGCTGAATATCTCGAATGTCGGGGCTCCGGGAGCCTGCATGGCGTAGCGACGGATAGCTTGGAGGGGCACGCATCGTCGCCTCAATGGCGGAATGAAGGCTCGGACCGAGAGGGTGTTCATCTTGGGCAGTATCAGGCGATGTGGTTTTGAGCGAGTGAATTGGAGGGAGGTGCAATGCACAGTCTCGAGAAGGGCTCTAAATCGATTCGTGATGTCAGGACGAGCCTAAAAATTGGACCCTGGATTCGCGACTCGATGGGCCGAGCTCCATGGGGAAAGCCCACCACCAGCGCGCTCCCCAACATTTCATATTCCATGCCGAGCGGGAAAGAGGAGGACTGGGTACAAGGAGGTCGACAGCATGGCTCAGCCGTTCCCGTACACGTACTACGCGTGCGACTGCTACGACAGCAACACGTCGACATCGGCCCAACGCGCCTCGCACATGGTCGCCGAGGCAGACGAAGAGGACGGCACCTTTGACCCCCGAAACCCGCGATCGAACTACGCCTTGTATCCGCTCGAGCACCTGCTGTATTGCGAAGACTGCCAGCAAATACGCTGCCCGCGCTGCGTCATAGAGGAGACGCTGAACTGGTACTGCCCAAGCTGCCTGTTCGAGGTGCCCAGCTCCGTGGTCAAGAGCGATGGGAACCGATGCACGAGGAATTGCTTCAACTGCCCTGTGTGCATATCGCCCTTGACAGTAAACTCAATCGAGAACCCGGATGCGCCCTCGGCTACCGGCGGACCATATATCCTGGCGTGCCCGTACTGCCACTGGAGCACCATCGAGACAGGCATCGAGTTCGACAAGCATACAGGCGTCTACGGCCAGCTGGCCCGCATAGCAAATGGCGGCAAGCCCCTGCCCACACAGAGGGAGCGCGACAAGGAGCGCGAGCGCCGGAAAGAGATGCAGGCCAGGCAACGCGACTCAAGGATTCTGCTTTCACTATCCGAGGACTCTCCAACATCCGATGCAGACAAGTTCAGCTCCACCCCCAGCCGGGAAGACCTGTTCGCCAACTTGAGCGCTTTCTACAAGTCGCAACTCGAGGCCCAGACGCCATCAAATCCCTTTTCAGCGCATGACCTCAACTTCTCCTCACCGTCCGCCTACTCTCGAATCATGAACCTGTACTCGTCTGCAGGTGCCAAGAAGCAGAAACGGGCAAAGCCAACACCGATGCGAGAGGCTGCATCAGAGCTCGAGGGCTTGGCCGTGTACGATATGGCCTCAGACAATGCCGCTATAGAGCGCATAAAGAGGGACGGATGGGGCACCACGCTCTCGCAGACTCAGAAGCTGGCCCAAATCGACCCAAATGTACAGTTCGATGATCACCTGCGGCCGATTGCAACACTACTCTGCACGAAGCGTTCCAAGCGATGTCGCTCATGCAGACACATCCTGTCAAAGCCCGAATCAAAGATCACATCTACTCGCTACAAGATCAAGATCCTGGCTTTGAGCCACATCCCCCGTCTGAGTATCCGCGCGTTACCAAACGCCTCCGCGCCTTCCGTTGCACCAACACCTGGGTCGTCGTCAACAGGACAGACACCATTCAATTACAACCACCTACGCTCTGGCATTGCATCTCACTTCCTGCTGCAACTCAGTAACCCACTGTTTGACACCATTCGTGTCACGTTAGCGACACCAAGTACTACACCTGGCAAAGTCCAAAGTCGCGTCACAATCCTCTGCCCGCAGTTCGAAGTCGGTGCCAACACCGACGTATGGGACGATGCGCTCTCCACTTCTGTACCTTCTGCAAGTCGCGGATCCGCCGCCGACGGCCAAATAGAGGCCGGCAAAGTCTGGGACCGCGGTCGCAACTGGACCAGCGTGGTTATCGAAGTAGTGCCTGGCTTCCTGCACCCAATTTCCGGCTTCGGTCAGGCGCCTGAGGAGCTTGATGAAGATGAAGATTTGCTTGAGATACCTATATTCGTAAGACTTGAGTTTGAGACGGAAGCGAATGCCGAGGACAGAGGGCTGGGTGATTCACGGGGTTCAAAGGGCGAGAAGGAGCGAAGGGAAGAGGCGTTCTGGACGGTGATTGGGGCAGGGCGGATCGCGCCGATGTAAGATACGCATGATTTTCGCGATACACTGAGATACCCATTTGCAACTGGCTTCGAAGTACTGCAAACCTATGCCCGATACGGGTTGGTCGGCGTTCCCGCCTTTCATCTAACACTAGATTAGCGAAAGCTTAGCCTCGATCTATGACAGCATGCACCCCAGCCACATGGTTTTGAGACTCTTGTTCAGGCACGTCTCTTTATTGTCGCATCGACGCGCGTAGGAACATCGCGTCTTTTCAACAAAACCTACAACGTTGCGAAGTCCATCTCTGCTAAGTGGCAGACGTGCGGTTTATGATGCCCAAACCAAGAGTAATCTACTGGTTCAGAACCGATCTGCGACTGCACGACTCACCTGCTCTCAAAGCTGCCTTGGACTTGAAGCCAGAATGCCTATACCCCATATGGACCTGGGATCCGCACTACGTCTATCGTGCTCGTGTCGGATCCAATCGCTGGCAATATCTCATCGACTGCCAGAACGATCTTTCGCAGTCAATAACAAAGCTGAACCCAAAGTCGAAATTGTTCCTCATCCGAGAAGCGCCTCAGACCTTATTTCCGAAGCTCTTCAAAGCATGGAAGATCACGCATCTAGTTTTCGAAAAAGACACGGATGCGTACGCAAGAGAGCGGGATGAGAAGGTCATGGAGATTGCGAAAGAGGCAGGTGTGGAAGTCGTTATCAAGGTTGGACGGACGCTGTATGATCCTGATGAGTTAGTCAAGGAGAACAACGGGAAACCAACTATGAGCATTACTCAAGTTCAAAACGCTGGCAAGAAGATTGGGGCGATTCCAAGACCGATACCTGCGCCCAAGACACTCCCGGACCCAGGCAAGACCGACTTCAACTTTGACCAGGAAAAGCCGGCCCAGGATCCTGACATCAACGCTGTCCAACGTGACGGAGACGAGGCGTCCTACTCCACTCTCGCAGGCCCCAATGGTGACTTCGCCGTGCCCACAATGCAAGAGCTGGGCCTGAAAGAAGCCACAACCCAACACCGCGGCGGCGAAACCCTCGCCCTCAAAACGCTCGACGAAACCATCGCCAACTCAGAATACACTGCAACCTTCGAAAAGCCCAAAACCGCCCCCACAGCCTTCTCCCCCCAATCCACCACCCTCCTCTCCCCACATCTGCACTTCGGCTCCCTCAGCGTCCGCGAATTCTACTGGCGCGTCCAAGACATTGTGACATCGTTTAAAGGCAAGGCTTCGCAGCCCCCGGCCTCCTTGACTGGCCAGTTGCTCTTTCGCGACATGTACTTCGGCGCGCAGGCCGCGCTGGGCTATTCCTTCGGGCAAACATACAATAACCCAGCCTGCCGCTTTATCCCCTGGCACCTGCCATCTGCCATTGATCCCGCCACGAATCTCATCACAGGCAAATACCTCGTCGACTCTGCGCTCGCCGAGTCGCACTTCCAACGCTGGAAACACGGCCGCACCGGCTTTCCCTGGATCGACGCCCTGATGCGCCAACTCGCGCGCGAAGGCTGGATCCACCACCTCGGCCGGCACGCCGTCGCGTGTTTCCTGACGCGCGGCGGGTGCTACATCGACTGGGAGCGCGGCGCCGAGGTCTTCGAGGAGTTCCTGATCGACCACGAGTCCGCGTGTAACATTGGAAACTGGCAATGGCTCTCGTGCACGGCGTTTTTCGCCCAGTTTTTTCGCTGCTACAGCCCTGTCGCCTTCCCCGCCAAGTGGGATAAAAACGGCGATTTCGTGCGCAGATACGTGCCTGAACTAGCTCACTTTGACAAGAAGTTCATATACGAGCCGTGGAAGGCGCCCATTGCGGATCAGAAGAAGTGGGGGTGTAGGATTGTGGAATCTGTTGATGGATATGTGCAGGAGGGCGAGTATCCGAAACCCATGCTGGATTTCAACGAGAGGAGGGACACGTGCATCCAGGCGATGAAGAACGCGTATCGTGTGGGGCTGTATGGAAATGATCCCAAGGTGCTGGATGGGAGTTGGAGGAAGCTTTTTGAGGATGGGGCGGAGGGGCCGACGGAGGGAACGCAGGGGCCGCCGGGGGCGATGGTGGAGCATGAGGATGTGGATGGGGAGGAGCATGATGCGCCTGAACCGTTGAGTCCGAAGGATGCAAAGAAGGTGGCGGCGAAGAGTGAGAAGAAGGTTGCGCCGAAGAGCGAGAAGAAGGCGGCGCCAGGGCATAAAAGAGAAGCAAGTCAGAGTACGTTGGATGGTATGGTGACGAGGAAGAAGGGGAAGAAAGAAGAAGTGTTTCCAAACGATACGCATTTTGGCTGAAGCGGTCGACCTTAGATACATTCATAGTAGTACATAATACTGACACCACATATCACAACCTGCCGAAGCACAACCCGCCCACATACCTACTCCTCCGCGTCCAAGAAAGCGAGCCCCTCCTTCGCCATCCCCCCACACGCCCTCTCAAGCGTCAAAAACGCAAAATGCCCTCCAACAACCGGCCTCGCAAAGAACCACGGGCCCGGGAAATTCCCATCGCCCTCCGTCTCATACAAATCCGTAAACGGGCGATCCGTCACCGTCTCGTTGAGCCACAGCGCCACTCGATCGAGAATCTCCGACCGTACTTTCTTGCTCGCCACAGCGGCGGCTTCAAACTCCCAATCGGACTTGGTGTACAAGTGTCGCGAATCGAGCGGTAGGCCGTACTTTTGCATCACGTTGCCGTACCAGTCGGATTGCTTCTTGTAGATGTGCGACGGGATAAAATCGGAAGTAATCGGTTTGCGGCCGCTAGACGAGCGTGGACTCAAAGGCTTCTGCGCGCCGTCGATTCCGGCAGCGAAGCCAGACTCTGAAGAGGAGTTTGTGAGGGACGGGTGGAAGCAGAGAACAGCGTCGGCGTAGAGAGAGTACAGCGTGGTCCAGCTGCCATACCAGTCGTATGCGAGCTTTGCGTGTGTGCCGTCGCGCGAGTAGCCGTACTCTTCCCACTTCTTCACGTACGTCTCTGAAATGTTGCGGTAGTGCTCTGCGTCACCTGGTCGATCTAGGAGATCGGCTAGTTCGCTGAAGGCTTTGATGCCGACGATACCCTTGAGCGCAAGATTGGTCTGCAGGGGCAGCCAGCCTGCGAAATCATCGGTACAGACTAGAGCATGTTAGCGTCGCATAATTTGAACCCGAGAAAAAGGGCTTACGTTGGTTGTGAGGCTCGAGAGCGTCTTCGACCAAATAACCTGTCCACTGCTTCCAAAGGTCGTAGCTACCATCGAGCCATTTCTTCGCTTGTTTGACACCCTTTGCGCCTCCACCCCATGAGTCATCAAGGTAGTTTACATCCTCGTGCGTCTGAAGCGCGAAAGGCTTTTCTTCTTCACCCATACGATCAGTCTTGTCGCCGATGGTAGACCAGATTGACTGCGACTCTTCGTCAGAGCTGTAGGTCAGAGAATTGACCAATGCGAGTCCCATTATGAGCATGTCACCACATTCTTCTACTGGCATATATTCGTCTCTTCCATCGGCGTGACCAGTAAGGTTCGGGAAGTGCGCACCGAGGTCGTGCATTGAGTACTTGTTGGGGTACTGTCCGCTCAACTGGTGCTCCAGAAGTGGTTCAAGCAGATATGCGAGCCACTTGGGCTGTGTGTAGAGGAAGAACGGGAAGGCAGGGAAGATGACATCAACGGTCTGAGAATTTCCGTTGGATGAGATCTCCTTCAAAAAGAGTAGAGGACTTTCCGGAGTTCCAGAGAAACTGGTTGCGCCCATTGCTTGTCGTGCGGACAAGGCAACAATGTCAACGTAGTTGGAGGAGCCAGACTGATAAGCATCGACGCGCAATTGCTCGGAGTAGTTGCTTGCCAGGTCGCTGGCCATGTCAAAATCTCGGTAGTGGAACTGGATGAGCTTCTCGTCTTCGGGGAACCATGACTTCCACAGAGGGCGCATGAAGGTGAGTCCGCGAGCAGACGCATACTGCGTGACAGGATCCTGTATGTGTGTGATGGTAAACAAGGCACTGCTGCTCGCGGTTGCAGACTTGGACGACTTGCTTGCGAGCTTGAACTCCTTCGCAAAAGCAAAGACTGGCTCTTCATCCATGACGGCGCGAAACTTATCATCCATCTGGTTCTTCAGTGACCCAGTGCGAGCGAACCTCTGACGCAGCTCGGAAGATGTACCAGACTCATGACGAGCACTTGCCGGGCCGGTGAAGTGCAGCGTGCCCCATTCAGGTTGGTCGTTGGTCTCGGTGAAGATCTGCTCGACCTGGCGGTTGACTTTCCACGTCTTCAAGCCTTCCGAGGATCCGCGCTGCTCGACGAGCCCCCATTCTATGAGGCTCTCGCGCTTTCCGCTGACCCATTGTCCGTTCACGTCGACGTAGATGTTGACATCAACCCCTCCCTCTACGTATACGCTCAGGTAAGCCGCTGGTATCGTCTGTCGCAGGGTCGATGTCGGGGTGATGGGAGAAAGGAAGGAGAGGACAATCTCGACATGCTTGGCTTTGGATAGCGACTTGGGCGCGCGGATCGAGTATGTGAGGTTCGTCGTGGATGCATCGTACTTGGCGCCTTCGTACGTAGGGTAAGCAATGGTGTAGCTGGGCCATCATGTTAGCAGGCTGTCTCGGCATGGATGCAGCGCACTAACTCTTTGCTCTTCTTGTCTAGCGAATCATGAGGCCTTCCAAGCAGCGGAAACACCTCGCTCGAATCTGGCAGTGAAGCGAGCACGCCGAAGCCCACCTGCATGACATGTAAGCAGCATTGGATGGCGATCAACTGAGTTATCTACCTCGGCGCCAGTCCAGAACATTGGCCACTTGCTCCACGGCTCTTCTCTGGCATTCTGGAGCCATGTGCTTAGGTAAGGATTGCGAACGATGAGCGGCAGAACTGGTGGCTGGAGAGTTGAAGCTCCCGCGACGCTTGCCAGAAGCGCCGCGAAGGTCACACTGAGGGAACGCATTGCATCAATTGATGTGGCGCATGCAGGAAAGCGAAGACTAGACAGAGGTAGGCTCTCAAAATGGAGGCACAAGAGACGCAGAAAAGCCGTTGCAGGTGCGATTGATGGAGCTATGGTAAGCTATCAGCTGGTCAAGTCGGGGTAGCTCCAGCCTGCAGCGAGATGACGCGGGGTTGTGGAGAGAGCCGCCAATCGAGGACACAGGTTATCTGACTATGCAGAAAACCTACCTGACTATGCTAACTAAATAACGCAGGAGATCTATATATAAAAAAAAAAATTGTTGCAAAGGCTACTAAATATAGTATAGATGCAAATTTTAGTATATATAATAAATATTATAATAAGAATATATTTATAATATATTTTTATTATATTATAATAGATAAGACCTTTTTTATTTATAAGCTATTATTTTATATTCTTAAGATACTTAATAATAATCTAGATAATATTCTCTCTCTTATAGATAAAATTAAAGCTATTAATCTTATAGGTAATACTACAGAAGAAGTAGAAGAAAGTAATAAAGTAGCAGTAAGTATATAGATTATATCTTAAATATATTTCTAATATATTCTAAGATTATATTTAGTTTATATATAGAAATAAGAGAGGTAACGCTTTTAAAGCTAAGTAAGTAGAATACTATACTACTATTCTCTAGTACTCTAGAGAATTAGATAGAAGTAAGGCTTATATTATATAGCTTATAAATACTATATCTATACCTTCTCTAGACTAAGATATAGTAAAGAAGATAGCTCTTATTATAAGTCTTATCTAAATATATTTATAATATGTTCTAAATAAGTTCTAGTTCTAGTATTCTAAGTGCTAAAATAGCCTAGTAAAATAGATATTTTCTCTATTCTTAAGTATATAAGCTACTTAATATAAATTCCTTTATACTAGAGTAAAGACTTATAAGTATATTTAATAAGAGTTAAAGATATTTATATATAATAGTATATCTAATAAGTTATAAGAATAACTAAAGAATATTTAGTTATTAGTGCTCTATATTAAGCTAACACCTAGTTAATCTAAGGCTTATAAGTAAATATATTCTTAATATATTTCTAATATATAACGTAAATTAATATATAAGCTAATAGCATAGTTAATATATTACTAGCTAATATTAATTCTAGTAGAGAAATTACTATACTCTAATACGCTTAAGTTATAAGCTTTATATTAGCTAATAATGCTACTAAGTATGCTTATTTTAGCATATTTATAATATATTTATAACGTATTATAGCCTCTAATAGAGCAGAGAAAATAGTTTATTAGCTATAAGGCCTAGCAAGTAAGTTCTAGAACTAATAGATACTTAATTAGATAGATAAAAGAAGATATAGATATTAAATATCTATAAAGGCTATTTTAATATAGGCTTCTAAAGTCTAGTACTTATAAGTATAATATTATAGAGCTTATAAAAGTATCTATAAGTAATTATAGTATAAGAAATATTCATTTAATATATTTAAAATATATTACTAATATATTCTAGGCGTTAATTACTCTTAGAGATAAGAGAAGATAGTTAAGCTTTAGAGTTACTCTATTTACTATTATCTTATTATCTTAGATAATATTTCTAGAATACTTTATTATACGCTTATTATATATTTTAAGCACTCTTATCTTTCTACTACTTCTTTATTTATAAGTATAGTAGAGTTATATAATTTAGAGAAGATTTTATACTTATAGCTTATGCTAAAAACTATAAGATATAAGATGCTTTATAATATATTTAGAACGTATTTCTAATATATTATAGTAACTTTTCTTACTTCTTCTTAACTTAGCACTTATCTATAAGCGTAAGAACTCTAATTAATTAAATAACTATATATAGCTTTTATAAATAAAGATTATATTATAAGGCTTATCTATAAGAAGAAACTTATATACTTTCTATTTAGAAATAATATTAAAAGTATTATATTTAAATAGAGGCAAAATTATTAAGAGCTTAAGTTAGTATAAATATATCTATAACATATTTCTAACGTATTTATCTCTAAGATAGAAAGCAAGCATATATTAGATATATTATAATAATAGCTTAGAGAGTAATTATAATTAGCTTCTATAATAAATAAGCTAAGATCTTCTTAAAGTAAAAGACTTTCTAAATAAATATATTCTTTAAGAGATATGCTAGAAAGTAGTATAAGATTTTATTTATAGTATTTCTTAGCAGAAAATATAAGAAGAGTAGATTTATAAATAAATATATTTAAAATACGTTCTAATTATATTTTAGTTATTATGCTAAGCAAAATTACTACTAACTACGTTAGGAAAACTAAAAATCTGTCGAATATTTATTTCTATTAATACTGTAGAATTGACTGTGTCGCTAGCGAGTTAATCAATTTAAGGAATTTATGTTTGTTATTAAATATACTTTAAAACAAAACTTCGTCGAAATAGTTAGTACTATCAGAATTATCAGAACTGTCAACGCAACAGTCTAGCACGCAACTTTACTATCTTTAACTGTTATATTTTCTTTCTCCCTACCTACTCTGTCTTTCTACCTGCGCTATTAAAGTTTACTTCTTTAATATACTTTCCTTAGTATCTTACTACATATTTACTTCTTTCTGCATTGTAACTAGACATTACAGATATTACTAGAAAGAGCTTTATTAAGATTGTTAGTAATATAAGAATTATTCTATTACTATGCTAGTCCTGCATTCTATACAGTCATCTACTATTAAGCACTGTTAAGCATCGTTAAGCACCGTTAAGCACCTTTCCTAGCAGTGCGCCAGACCTTAGCAGAGTGCTTCTAAACTTATAATAATTAGTTTAGTTTAATGCTAGTCTATGCGTTAATCCGTAACTATCAATCCTCTACCTTATAGTTTATCTTAGGAAGTTGTTTTAACGTCCTGCTTACCTAGTACTTTAAGTTCTAGTTTACTGTCTAGGTTAAAATAGACAATGCTAATACACATTTCTGCTAACTAGCTAAGTTAGTACACTTAGAACATAAATTAATCCTATGTATTCTGCCTATCTTACGGCTCTATAATAACGACGTGCGTAGCTTCTATTAGTATAATTATCTCTGCAAATGCTATTAAAGCTACTATAATCTAAGGCCTATCTAGATCTCTCTATTTAGCAAGCTTAAGGTTAATTTCGTGCTGTTGTTATACCTCCCTGCATAACTAAGACGCTCTTGTTACTAAACTTCTCTCTTAAGCCTAGCTACGTTACTGCCTGCACGATTAGTTTATACGACTCTATAAGGATTTTAGCGCAGACTTCCTTTAGTAGTAGTAGTATATTAGCTGCTTTCGCTACATCTTCTGCTGCAATGCTCTATATCCAGCTTAGCGTTCTTAGAATTTTAACCTTAGAGCATAAATTCGATAGGTTTTAAAACTTTAGGCTGCTTTTAGTTATAGCACGCGCCTCTTATACTAGGAAATAGTCCTTGCTTAGGTTAGTAAAGAGGTCCTTTACGCTATTTAACGTAAAGCGTTTAACTTTGCAGCTGCTATATATTTTAAACTATGCTGCCTTTAGAGTAGCAAGCATAGAGTAGGATGCTATTATCTGCATCTTAAAGCAGTTAAAGATTACACGTCTGCTAGCTTCTAATTTATTAAGGCCTTCTTTTTCCAGGATATCTCTGCATTATTGCTTAGCGTTTTGTACTGTGCTAAGGAAATCTAGATATAGGTAGCTTTAGAAGTAAGGCAGGAAGTCGCTCTTAATGCTAGATATTAGTTTGCCTTATAAGTCGCGCGTCTTTAATATTCTTTTTAATATAAACCTCTGCGCTACTGCTGCTCCTTAAGATATAAGTTCTTTATACTTATAACGTACCCGACTCGTATCTGTGCTTGCGTCGTACTTTACATTAGCAATTATATTACGCCATTATTTAGCTATTGCTAGGCTATTAAGGGCTGTGTTTTAGCAAGTCCTATAAGATAGTATCTCTGCAATCAACTAGTAGACTATATCTTCTATCTTATAGATGCGATTGCTAGTTACGGAGTCTCTCTTATTAGTAGCGTTAAACTAGTTAGAGACCCCTTTCCTATTTTAAAGGCTAATAAGTGCTAGCGATACAAAGATTAAGATCTTATTTAGTCCTTATTCTATAGGCGTTCCGAACAGGGCCTATGCTTTCTATTAGTATCTATAGTTGTAGCTTCAAATATCCTAGTAAAACTTAGCTATAATTATGCCCTCTAACTTGCAATTATAAAATTTATTAAATATAGTCCGCCCCTATATAGTAACATAACTAGGAAGCAGTATCGCCCTCTTTTCTATATAAGAACTGCCTTTGCGTATAATCGTTCGCTGTGCCGTAACGCTTATAGTATTATAAGCTCTAAACACATACTTATCTATCTTTCTAAAGCTGTAGACTATTACAAACCGTGCTGCTAATAGTGCTAGATAGTGCTTCGTAGCCTTAGAGTGCACAGCAGGCGTATTTGCTTCTAGTATTGTCTAGTAGACTGTTTCTTAATAATTCACGCCTTCTAGCACGTAGCTCTATAAGGTAACTAACTTATTAGCAGCAGCAAGCGCTTTAGAGATAGCGTTAGTAGTATTAATTTATATCTCTATTGCTTCCTCTTTCATTAGTCTGCCCTATGTTCTCTAGGAGGAGAGTTACTAAAAGAAGCAGAACTATAGAGCTAGCAGATTGCTTAGATTACACTACGTAGAGTTTGCAAGATCTATCGCAACTACCTCGTTCTTCTAGGCATTAGCTGCTCGCCCC